CGAAGGGTTGTAGTTGAGCAATGTTATTCTAAGGGTCTTAGTTAGGCAACGTTGGTTTTAGGGTAATAGTTGAGCAACAAAGGTCAGAAGGATCCTAATCAGAGTGATGGTGGTCTTAAGGGTCGTAGTTGAGCAATTAAGGTCGAAAGGATTGTAGTTGGCGAGTGATAGTGATTAGAGAAATGTAGTTGGCGGGCAACGAATGTCAAAAAGCTAGTGATCGGATAATGATGATTTGAGGATAGTAATCAAGCAATGAAGGTCACAGAGTCATAGTGGCCGGGTAACAAATAATCTTTCACGCCTCGGGATCTAAGGTGAAAGAATTTTATTTATTTTATTCTTTATAATTATTTTATCTTTTCAATTATTTAAGTACTAGATAATAGATAATCAGAGCCAACTAATTGTATTCAAGAAAAAATAAATAGCGATAAATATAATTAAATTTCTACAATCAATATTTATATTTTTATTTTTAAGTTCAAAGTATAAAACTATATATACAATAACGAAACTATAGTCATTGCTGGAGGTGTCAATTATTGTCACAACCTGAAAACCCGACCTCGATCCATTTAATAACTCAAATATTTGAAATAAATTATTTGAAAAATATGAAAATTCTGAAGTATAACTCTTTGGCACTGATTTGGTGAGCGTTGTGACCTTTAGCCATTAACTATATTTATTTATTTATTTATTTATACATACATACATGTATGACATTTAGATCATATGATGCAACTCAACTTGATCTGTTGGCTTGCTCGGAACTTGATTTCAAATCTTACATATATGATTTATATGTGAATTTGCCTTAATTAACCTAAATGCCCCCAAAAAAGTCATATATGTGCTAGGTTTTAATTGCTTGATTATATATATATATATATATATATATATATTATGAATTAAATTATAATTAATATACAATAATATCTCAATGAGTAATTACTTGGGCTTTGTTTGGACTAATTTTTTGACTGCTTTTATGATAGGAAAAATAGTTGGTGAAAAAATTAATATTTGTTTGGAAGACAACTTTTTTTGCTTTTTAAAATTTTTGTCTTTAAAAGTTATTTTTAAAAAGAGCTTTAAAAAGCAAAAATAAAAAAGTTTAAGCTACCTCAAACAAAATCTTAATAATTTGCTAAGTTTGTCGTTTGTGATGAATGTTTCTTTTTATAAAGGTAATTGTAAAATTATTATGAGGAAAATAACTTTTTTAAAATTGATATAAAAGCAGCTTCCAAAAGTCCAACCCATGAATTTATTGAAAGCAACAAAAAAATAGTAACCAAACATATATTGTGGTTGTGGTCTTAAAAGCAAAATAGTAATAAAATTGTCTCAAACAGACTATTCAAATATAGACTAATGTCATTCCCTAATATAATTGAACCTAAGAAAAAAAGCAAGGTTCAAACAAAAAATATGATTCAATTCTCTGAGTACCTTGCCTATAACGCTTAGGCTTCGTTTATGACAGCTTTTTTATTGCTTCTTACAGCAACTTTTTTAAATAGAATGCTGCTTTAATAAGCAGTAAAAAAGGCGTCCAAAATGAAGCTTTATGCATCGTTTTGGACAACATTTTTATTGCTTCTTAAAACATATTTTTAATACAAAAATTTAATTTTTGTACTAAAAAAATGAAGCTTTATGCATCAAACTTTGGACGACTTTTTTATTGCTTCTTAAAGCAAATTTTTAATACATAAATTTTAATTTTTGTACTAAAAATTTACTTTAAGAAAAATTAAAAAGCCGTCTCAAACGATGCTTCGTTTGGAGCAGCTTTCTTAATGCTTTCTACAACAGCTTTCTAATACAAAAAAAATAACTAGTTTAAAAAATGTTTGTACTAAAACGTTATTTTAGAAAACAATAAAAAGTTGTCCCAAATCAAACTTTAATTATCCTAAAAAAGCATAATATGCCATGCATGAAAAATATATGTTAGAAATTTGAAAACAATTTTCGTACAAAGTTCTTAGATTTATATTGAGATTAATACAAATCTTAGATATCATATATAGCAATAATCTCAACTCAAATTCAAAAACTTTAGAGTTGGCCTTAATTCAAAACTCATCAATATACTCTCTTGGATAATTTTTTCGCCACCCTTTCTCTCTAAAGCACAATCTAAACTCAATAATCAAATTTTATTATTGTATATCTCAATCAAAATAATAATATATTTGTATTATTTATCATATATCAAAATGTTTGCTTTTTACCTAATTCATGTTGGCTAAAATGCATGATTAAAACAATTTATTTATCTTTTAAAATAGATAAAAATAAATAAAAAATAAAGAGTAAAAATTTACTAAAATAATTTTATATTTTTGTGGGCAAAACATAAAATATTTCTATTAACTATATAGATTATGATAATTTTTATTAAAAAGAAACGCACACCCACCGCTGCTTGTCCGGGTGGTGAAGAGCCGGCTGGGCAAAGCCTAAGTCCCGGGTTCAAATCCCTTGGCAAGCAGTGAAAACCTTAAGTGTTGGCCACTATAAATTAGTGTGGGTTGCATGCTAGATCAACTGGGGTTTTCACTGGCCTAAGGACAGTGCTTCCTCGTCACAAAAAAAAAAAAAGAAACACACAACATGACGCAAAAAAGATAACACGACGCTACCAAACATCTCATAAACAATATAAAACTCATAGATTTTCTTATCTTTTATCAAATCTATAACACATGTGAGATTTATGCTCATAATTAAAATTTAATGTTACACCTAACATTTAGAATATATAGGCATATATTTTCAATCAAATATGATAAAGACTTGTATCAGCCAAAAACATTAATGAAAATTCTCAAATGTTGGTAGAACCATGGACTTGCACATAAACTAGGTTTTTTTTTTTTTTTTTTTTAAGGATCTCAAAATACAAATTTTGAGAAACATAATAGTTTTAGACTACATGTCTTTTGAAGAAGCTAGTCTTAGCTTGGTAGTTGGGAGCTTAGGCTTTCAATCAAGAGCTCTTGAGCTTTACTACTTAGACATTGTTTGGGATGACAACATTTTTTTATAAACTTGGTTGTGAAATTGATATGAGAAAAGCAATTTAACTACTCAATTTGTAAAAAATATTTTTTCACTACAAAATTTTCTAAAAAATAGTAAGAAAGCAGCTGGAAAGTGATAGTAAAAAAAAATTATAGTTGTCATTGAAAAGCAAACCAATGAGAAAGTTGTGCCACATAGGCCCTTAATTTGTTTGAAGTAAAAAAAAAACTAGAATGAGACTTTCTACATGAATATCTTCAAAAGAGGTGAAAAAGAAAGCTTAAATGATGACATATGTAAAGGAGAAGGAAAAAGACCACAAGAAGCCATAAAAGCATCAATTCAAGGCCATGTGAGCTATAGGTTAGCTTCCTTATCATAATAAAGTTTCCTTGATATATATAGTAGCATGAAACCTATAATGTGCATTTTAAAAATATATATATATAGTTGCCATCTGAAAAGCTTTACGATTTAGATCTTGTTTGGGATGACAACATTTTTTTATGAAGTAGGTTGTGAAATTGCTATGAGAAAAGCAACTTAACTACTCAGTTTGTAAAAAATATTTTTTTCACTACAAAATTTTCTAAAAAATAGTAAGAAAGCAGCTGGAAAGTAGTAGTAAAAAAAATTATAGTTGTCATTGAAAAGCAAATTAACCAATGAGAAAGTTGTGCCGCATAGGCCCTTAATTTGTTTGAAGTAAAAAAAAGGAAAAAAAAAAAGAATGAGACTTTCTACATGAATATCTTCAAAAGAGGTGAAAAAGAAAGCTTAAATGATGACATATGTAAAGGAGAAGGAAAAAGACCACAAGAAGCCATAAAAGCATCAATTCAAGGCCATGTGAGCTATAGGTTAGCTTCCTTATCATAATAAAGTTTCCTTGATATATATAGTAGCATGAAACCTATAATGTGCATTGAAGAAAATGAAAGATCAATGGAGTATTTAAGAAAAGACCATTCCATTGCAGCTTAAAGGGTGTAGGTTGATTTTGTTTGCTCCCAATTGTTGAATTTGCTAACCCTAGATGGTAAACTGTGTCAAATAGGCTAATAAGCATGCATTCTACCCGGGTGTTCCTTACCTATGCCCACCTCATTAGCTGCGAAGAAGCAGGAGACAGCAAATAGATTTAGCTCATTGGAAGAGTTTGATGACCCATGCACAAGAAGTAACAATGAATTCTTAGGGGTTGTTTGGTAGCAGGATTTAGGCCGGATTCGAGGCGGATTTGAGCAAAATCCAGCCAAACGGCCAAAAATGCAAAACCAAATCTCACAGCAAATGAAAGCCGCCGTAGACGGAAAATCCCGCCTTTTTGTGCTAAATTCCGGATTTCTGAGATCTTGTTTTTTGCTGGATTTATGAAATCGTTGGCTGGAGATGAAGAGTTTGCTCGTTAAATCCGTTTTATAGCCAAACAATCATACAGGATTTAATAGGATTTATCATGAATATAAACAAGCAGTTTTCGAGATTTAGGCCCCTTGGGAGTTCTGAAATCCATATCTAGCGGATTTACGAAATCCTACTTAAATCAAATCCTGGGTGCTACCAAATAGCCCCTTACTGTTAAATGTACAAGTTGAATTCAATTGCAATTTTGATAGTCATAACAAGTAAATGCTGATGCGTTTATTAGAGCCTTTGCCTATTGAATGAAAGCTTCAATCTCAATGTTACCTTAGAAAAAACTGAATTTATATCAGACTACTATACCAGAATTGTCTATCTAATAGTCAATATCACTTACAGATTAATCATTCAAATATACCTCTTATGGATGGGAAATTATTAGGTTTGTACACCGGATGCCGTCCAGAGCCCAATGAAAATGCGCCACATCAACCCCTACTGGATACTACGGCTCGGTACTGCTCGGCACTGGATAACGTGGCTGCACCTAATTCGTTTATGGACGGTAAGCAGTATCCGGTGTCCGCACAGAATAATCTCTCCTCATGAATAAACATCAAAGCAATCCAATGTAAAATATAACTATAAATGTAAATGTAATTACCAGAAAACATTGAAAATGAAGTAAATCTAACCTACGGAGAAAGCCTTTTGGCCTCCAGATTTATACTTCTTAATGCTTCTAAGATCTCTTCAATTCTTGAATGTGAAGAGTTTCCCACTGTGAACTTCACAGGAAAATCATTTACAACAACCAAGCTATATCCAGGCTCCTTCTTCAACCCACTACATCTCAACATCTTCCAGGCCTTGGCAACGCCATCCCATCTCCCATCAGAAGCATATAGAGTTGATAGCAAAACAAAAGGAGAGCTTGTGGTGGGTTGAAGTTCCAATAACTTCATGGCCACCCTCTCCCCAACAACAAGATTCCCATGAAGCCGGCAAGAAGAGAGTAGGCTTCCCCAAATGACAGAATCATTTCCAAATGGAAACATGCTTGCATAGGCTTCAGCCTCTTCTAATCTTGAAGCTCGACCCAAGAGATCAATTAGGCAAGATAGATGCTCAATCTTAGGAGGATTCCCATAAATCTCTTCCATGGAATCAAAATAAGCTTTTCCCTCATCCACCAAACCCGCATGACTGCAAGCTGCAAGCAATCCAGTGAAAGTAACAGAATCTGGCTTCACTCCATTTGCATTCATCTGGTCAAAAGCTTGGATAGCAATCCTTCCAAGTCCATGGCAGCCAAGTGCTGTAATAATTGTGTTCCATGAGACCAAATTCCTCTTTGGCATGCCATGAAAAACACGATTAGCATATTTAATGCTGCCACACTTAGAATACATGTTCATGATGGCATTAAAAACACCAACATCTAGCTCAACCATGGATCTGATGAAATGGCCATGTATCTGAGCACCATATCTGATAGAAGACAGTTCAGAACAAGCAGAAAGAGCACTTGCAACTGTAAAATCATCAGGATTCAATCCATAGACTTCATCCATGTCTCTATATATCATCAAGCCCTTGTCATGCTCTCCAAAATAAGAACATGCAGCAATATATGTGTTACAAGTAATGACATCTTTCTCTTTTATAGAAATGAAAGTATTTTCAACATCACCAACAGAACCACATTTGGAATACATACTCAAGATCACATTACCAACAAAAGCTGTCCTGTCAAGTCCCAGCTTAATTGTTTGACAATGAAGTCCTTGTCCAGTTGATAAATCTTCTTTCATAGTGCAAATTCCAATAACAGCCACATAAGAGAACCGATCGGGAAGCAATCCTTGTTGGTTCAATACTCTGAACAGCTCCAATGCTTTTTCCAGCTGCAAGTTCTCCCCTAAGCCTGTTATAAGGGTATTATAAGAGACAGAATTTGGTTTGGATACTTTGCTAAATATCAACAATGCATGATCCGTGCAGCCACATTTCATGTACATTGACATAAGTGAGTTGTAAACAAAAGAGATGCCATTGTAACCAGATTTCAGCAAATGCGCATGAACCTGTTTGCCCTGAGGCAAGGCCAAAAGGCTTGCACAAGCGCTGATTATACTGGCATATACATATTCATTGGGCTGTAAATGCATTTGAGTGAAGATGTTCAAAGCCATAGAAGCTTTTCCTGTCTGTTCATAGCCAGAAATGAGAGCTGACCACGAGACAAGGTTTTTGTTTGCCATTCCGTCAAACATTTGATGCGCGTCTCTTAAATAATTGCACTTTGCATACATATTGATTACGTGGTTGCATAAGAAAACGTCAGAATCTGAACCAACCTTAATGAGGAAGGCATGGAGTAGAGCGCCAGATTTGGCTACTCTGATCTTGGAGAATTGCTGCAGGAGTGTGCCTAACTTCTCTAGGACCATGGGTAGTCACATAAGCATACTACGCTACAGCAACAGGAAGCAAACTCCTGATTAAAGGAAGATGAAGAAATCAAAAGACAACCAAATGAGAGTTCTATTTTCCTTTTAGGATATAAGAACAAAGAAACCGAGCAACAACCAATATTTCTACTATACCAGATAAACCTATGAATTTGAATTTTTTGAACAAAACACTATGACGGTATTATAAACTTTCACTGAAAGAAGAATACATGCATGAATGTGCCGATAGGCTTGGAGATAAGTACAAGTTTAGCAGCTCTAATGTTGAAGAACTATGTCAGGAGTGTACTTTTGGATGAAGCATAGGCATATGGACGACAATTATAAGTCCTGATTGAAAACCTGATACTAATCTAATTGATAGGATAATTAATCAGGCTTGATATTTAAAGTATTTAGGATTATCTAACAAGGTTTGTGGTATTAGCATGTCAATAACCAATGCTCAAAAATAGATCACATATTGAGTGACTATGTCGTTAGAATTTAAAATTTAATTGTGATTTGAGGTATCTATGTTGTTAGAATTTATGTTTGATATAAATTAATATTATTCCCTCTCAAACTTAAAGGAAAATTCTATAAGAAGGTGGTGAGACCAGCAATGCTTTATGGTGAAGAATGTTGATCATTAAAAGAGAATATTAATATTAAGTGTTGCAGAGATGAGGATGCTCAGTTGGATGAGTGGCTTTACTCTTAGAGACAGGATCCTAAATGAAGATATACGTGAAAAGGTTGGAGTAGCTGCAGTGGAAGATAAGATTAGAGAGTCGTCATAAATGATTTGGTCATATAAAAAGACAGGCTTCCGTTGGATAGGATAGGAAAGTAAATGTATTAGATTTGACTTATGTTAACAAAGGTAGAGGTATGCCTAAAAAAACTTGGTTGGAAAATATTAGAAATGATCTTTCTTTATTAGATTTAAATGAGAATTTGACTCTTAACAGGACACAACGAAGAAAAAGGATTCATGTAGTCGACCCCACATAGTAACATAAAGGTTTGATGTTGTTGCTTTTTGTTGTATATATTAATGTTATTGCTTCAATGTGTCTAATTTACTATATTATTTTTGTTGATTTTTTAATTTATCAGTAGTAACCATCATGAACTGAGAATAGATAATCAATTTTTGCTAGATATCGAGTTTGGATACATGTTGAAGTAGTGACCTTGATGCGGACATCCGAAGGTAGACGTTAATCAAAGGAAGAGATGAAGATCAATGATTTAGATCCCTCTATTTTCTCTTAGTTTATTTATTATATTTTTGATTTAATTATGCATTTTTTTTATTTTTACCCTTACTTAAGTATCTTGTCTTATGTAAGCCCAATGAGCAAATTTGATTTCTAGTTTCTTTTAAGGCCCTTACTCTTGTATTAGATCAATAATGTATTAATAAAAATTTTGTTTCTACACTTTGTTCTTGAGAGCTATGGATTTCTTAGGAGAGTGGAAGTCTCCATGTGAGGGCAATAAAATACCCACCAGACGCAGGATGTGTCCGAGCTCGTAATTGAAGTCCCTTGGTGAAGGGAAATGCATCAACTGTTAGCCGCAGGAAGTGTCCGGGCTCACGATTTATTTTCTTTCTCTAATCCCCCACCTCTTTCTCCTTTAACTGCTGGCTAAATCTTCCCCTAGCCGCCGACATTTTACCTCCCATCCTCTTCCCCACCACCGGCCACCCACCCCCTTTACATTTCAACCATCGGCCACCACCCTCCCCTTCTTCCAACCACCGGTCTCCTCCCCGTCTCCACCCTAAAACCCCACCAAACCACCATTCCCAAAACCCTAGTCGTCGGCCCCTTGAATCCAAGGTGGTCATTGCTTTTGCTACTTCCCAAAAGTTAGGTTATGAAGATTGAGAGGGAAAATAATTCAAATTCAAATTTAAAATCTTTCCTAATTTGGCATGGCCTATATTTGGAAAGTTTTAAACATTCAATTCAAAATTCAGATTTAAATTAATAGGAAATCAGAGTCATCAATTCCTCCGAATTTAATTAACCTGTTTAGGAAACCCCATTAAATATTTTTCTAACCCTCCCTCACTCTTTGAAGCTGCCGGCCCCCTCCCTCTTTCTCCCTCTATTCAATTAATTTCCTTCCTTTATTGCTCCCCAATTAACTCCCATATCTTAATTTTGAATTTTAAATTTTGAAAGGTCTTTAATCAATTACCTAATTTAAGATTCTAATTAAAGAATTAATCAATTACCCCATTATCATCTTCCTAATTTAGCCCTATCTTATTTGGAAATATTTCATAATTCAAATTCAAATAAATTTGTGGGAGAAGACGCGAGATTGGGGGGATCCAGGTCATTTTTCTTTTTTTTTCTTTTTATATTGGTTGGGGTATTAGCATTACCGCATCATTCCTCTGCTCCACTACTCCTTAATTTAAGTAACATGTGTACGACAATCCTATAAACCATTGATGGTCTATCATCTAATCAGGATAGTTCAATGTATATGCCCTATCAAACTATATATGATAATGAACAGGACCGGAGGCGGTAAGCTCCATCTTTACAATGCATTCTCTATCTGTATGCTTTCCTTCATCCTTGTGCAGGTCATGAAGAAGGACGACTGCTAGCTTCTACATGGTATCAGAGCCAAGAAGGCTCTTACCGTGAATAAGACAAGTCCGGAGTTATATTATACCATAATGGATGATGAAGTAGAAGCAAATCCTCTTCTACTTCATCAGCTCTGCCACAAATAGTGGCTACCAATGTTACCATTCCAATAGAACTAAAGTTCATGATGTCGAATGTTAAAAATGTCCTCAACACTCAACTAATAGCTAATAATTACCTTATTTGGCGCCTGCAGATCTATAAGTTCTTTGCTGCTAATGGCTTAAGCGGATACCTAGACGGTTCCACACCCAAACCGATGAGACACATTCAAGGATCAAATCAAACTTTAACCCCAAATCCAGCTTACTCCACCTGGATGATGGTAGATCAGAACCTATCATCGGCGCTTTTCTCCACAATTTCAGCATTTATTTTACCATATGTGCTCAATCTTGCCACCTACAAGGAAATATGGTCCACCTTGGATAGACACCTACAGTCGATGAACAGATCTCGCATTCTGAAAATTAAAAATGAGCTACATCAGATCAAGATGAAGGAGATCACAATGTGTTACAGTTTTTAACTGAGATAAAATAAAAAGTTGATGCCATTCAAGCGGCTGGTTGCACTGTAGATCCAGAGGATATAATACTATATACACTCAATGGCTTACCATCAGCATACAATGCATTCAAAATGGCCATTCGCACCAGGGCAAAACCTGTTGATTTGGATGAACTCTATTCTTTACTTTGTAGTGAAGAAGTTAATGTTCTTTCTGAATAGTTAACTGATATTACACCTTCTAATACAGCAACAGACTCATCTTTTGCCTTAGCCGTAGTTCATGGACGATTTAGAGGTTGCGATAAAGGAAGATCTTCTACTCGTGGAGGTTGCAGCTCCAATGCACCAGGTCGTGGAGGCGGACGTCGCTCCTCTCCGCATATTGAGTGCCAAATTTATCTTAAACCTGGACATTCTGCTTCTAACTATTGACATCGAGGGAATTTCTCTTATCAACCACAGCAACCACAAGTCTTTGTCGCTCATGATGAACCCTCTAATGCCGATTGGTTTCTAGACACTAGAGCCTCTAACCATCTCACCTCCGATATGACTCAACTGCAATCATCTCAACCATATACTGGACTCTCTCAAGTGCAAGTTGGCAGTGGACATCAATTACCTATAGCACATTCGGGACAGGGTATCTTACCCAAACCTTCAAGTAACTTGAACTTCCTCTCATATTACATGTCCCTCACATTACCCACAATCTTCTCTCAGTAAACCGGTTAACTCATGATAATCCTTGCTACATTATCTTCCATTCTAATGGCTTTCTTATTAAGGATTCCAAGAACCATCGGACTCTACTTCAGGGATCCTCTCATCAAGGTCTCTACCCAGTTAAGACTATACCAACTTCTCGACATCACTCAATGTCTTCCACCAATGCAGCTTTAGCTTCAATTACAAACAACTCTTCCTCTTGGCACCAAAGGCTAGGGCATCCTTCATCTTCCACACAAAAACTTCTGGCCATTGCATTCTCCTCCAATTTATGTTCTGCTCTATGTGATGCCTGCGCTCGGGCGAAGAGTCATAGATTGTCTTTTCTGTCTCTGTACCTAGATCTACAAAATGCTTAGAAATTATACACACTTATGTATGGGGACCATCCCCAATTTTGTATGTGCAAAATTTCAAATATTACATAATGTTTGTTGATGATTTTACCCGGTATACCTGGGTCTATCCACTTAAATACAAATCTGATGTTTTTTCGACTTTTCTTTAGTTAAATGCCTGGTTGAACGACAATTTCAATTACCTATTAAAATGATTCAATCAGATCGTGGTGGTGAATTTCTAAGCTTACAATTTCAAACATACTTACAATCGGTTGGCATTTTTCATCGCCTTAGTCGTCCGTATACACCACAACAAAATGGTGTTGCTGAACGCAAGCACATACATCTTTTGAAAACCACCCGAGTGCTCCTCTTTCATGCTCATATTCCGCCCAAATATTGGGTAGATACTCTACTCATAGCAACTTACCTTATCAACCGTTTACCTTCCCTCAACCTTCATAAGGCCTCACCTTATCAACTACTTTACAACAGACCTCCTCTATATAATCACCTCCGAGTATTTGGCTGCCTATGCTATCCATGGATCCCTACCACTCATCATCACAAACTTCAACCCCGGTCCCTTCCATGTGCATTCATGGGTTATGATACTCACTCTAAGGGATACCGTTGCCTTAATCTTAATACTGGACGCATCTATCTTACTAGGCATGTCACATTCTTTAAACAACAAATTCCCTTTAAACTTCTTAACTCCTCATCTACTAGTAAGCCTTCAACCACTCATACCACAACGAATGTGCCTTCTACCAATCATCCTCGTTTTGGTTCCAACACTATCAAATCTCATTTCTACACCAATACAATCTACCGAAGACAACTCTTGTCCCCACATAACATGTGTTCCTACTAGTTCTAATTCCCAAATTTTTGCCCCTCCATCCACATGATAAAATCCTCAACATGAGCATGTTATCTCCTCATTCCCCTCTCGTCATCATATGCTGACCTGACAAAGGACGGGCCATTTGAAACCAAAGAAAATTTTTAACTTAAACACTGTTGCTATACCTCTCTCTCCAACCTCCTTCACGGAAGCTAACAAACACTTGGAATGGAGGCAGGCTATGTCCACTGAATTTCAAGCACTTCTTCAACAAGGTACCTGGGCACTTGTTGAACCTAAACCAGAGCAAAATGTACTTGGCTGTAAATGGCTGTTTAAAACCAAACTAAATGCTGATGGTTCCGTCTCTCAGTATAAGGCACGATTAGTAGCACAAGGTTTTAAACAACAGTTTGGTATTGACTACATAGATATATTTAGCCCAGTGGCTAAATTCCCCACCATATGACTATTACCTATTAATGCTACAACACCTAGATGGCTTATATATCACTTAGACGTTTCAAATCCCTTCATACATGGGAAATTAGAAGAGCAAGTTTTCATGAAGCAACCACAAGGATTTCAAGATCCACAATATCCCACATATGTATGTCAGCTACATAAAGCGATTTATGGTCTTAAGCAATCTCCAAGATGATGGTTTGCAACTTTCTCGACACAACTTCTCAATTATGGCTTCATACCCAGCAAAAATGATCCGTCCTTATTAATGTTTCACCAATAAGCTGGCTACATTTACCTGCTGGTGTATGTTGATGATGTCTTAATCACTGAAAAAAATTCTGCAACCATTGACAACTTATTGATACGGCTTCACTCATGTTTCCACATGAGAAACCTTGGTCCGGTACAACACTTTCTCAACATTCAAATTTCCTCTCACAAACAGGCTCTTCATCTCTGCCAATCCCGCTACATTGATGATATTTTAAATAAAGCAGGTATGCTTCATTGTAAACATGCTTTAAGTCCTTTGCCAACCAAAGTGCAATCACCAGATGATACATCACCTATATTCCCTCATGCCGATTGCCGAGCTGTATAAACAACTTGTGGGATCCCTTCAGTACATCACACTCACTCGTCCCGATGTGGCTTTTGCTGTGAATTACCTATGTCAACATATGCACAAACCATTTCAAATATATTATCAATATCTCAAGCGAGTTCTTCGGTACCTTAGTGGCACGATTGAGTATGTTATGCCTATTACAACATCAGAGTTACAACTTCAAGCTTTTGTTGATTCGGATTGGGCAGCTAATCCCTCCGATCGCCGATCAATTTCGGGGTTTTGTGTATTTCTTGGTACCAATTTACTATCTTGGTGTGTTAAAAAGCAACCTATTGTTGCTCGATCCTCCATCGAAGCGAAATACCGCTCCCTTGCGGCTGCAGCTGCAGATGTCCTCTGGCTTCGACGATTGCTTGCAGATTTTCTTGTCTCATCTTCTTCCCCGACACCTATACATGGTGATAATGTATCATCATTAGCTTTGGCCAACAACCTTGTATTTCATGCTCGCACGAAACATATTAAAGTAGATTATCACTTCATCGGTGACTGCATCCAGGCTCAACACACTGCAGTTCATCATATATCTACAACAGATCAACCCGCATATATCTTTACTAAGTCTTTATCCTACACAAGGTTTCAGTATATTCGCTCCAAGCTGACCATTCACACGAGGTTTCAGCATTACCGCATCATTCCTCTGCTCCACTACTCCTGGATTTAACTAACATGTGTACGACAATCCTATAAATCATTGATGGTCTGTCATCTAATCAGGACCGTTGAATGTATATGCCCTATCACACTATATATGATAATGAATAGGATCGGAGGCGGTAAGCTCCATCTTTACAATGCATTCTCTGGGGGGGGGGGGGGGGGTATCTAGGTCTTTTCAAGATCATATTCGGGTTTTAGGTCAATTCGAATCAGATCCGATTTAATAAATGGGTCAAATTTTTAAACCCGAATCTGAATCATAAAACAAATATTTTGACTCAAACTCAAATTTTTTTGAGTCGGGGGATTATTTCATTTAACGAACTAATCGCGTTTTTGACCATCGGATCACGATAAGTTATGGACTAAAGCTTAGGTTGGTATTGGCATCGCAGCAGTCATGTGGAGAAGAGACGTTAATTGGTGAGGGCAAACCGCGAAGAGGTAGAAGGAGAGGGCGGTAAGGAATCGCTCGAAAGCCTTTATGATACCGCCAAAACCCTAGCTTTCATTTCCCGCTTCTTTCTAAAGTATCCGGAGTTTCTAGATCTTGGCTTCGAAGTACTGACGGGAGTAACAAGGTTTGGCATCACATTTCCTTTGAGTTCTGCGGCGCCTTTTTTTATGTGAACTCCGTTTTGTTTTCGGAGTACATCCTTCAAATTCCATTTTCTTTGGTTTTTTAGGAGCTGATTTGGTGGAATTCTTTGAGTTAGGGGGTTGAAAGTTTGGATCTTGCTGGGGCTTTAAATGGCTTTATGTACTCATTTATGTGATTTGCCTAGGGTTTCGATTGATTGTGGATAGTTGATTTGAGATTCTTTGTGGGCGTCAGAGGGCGGCGGTTGGTCTTTTAAGTGTGGATTGGGATGAATAGCGTTTTCAGCGAGCAGATACTGGCGGACAAGCTTTCCAAGCTCAACAGTACACAGCAATGCATCGAGAGTATCCTTTCTGTTTGTGATATTATTTGTTCTCTTATTTAGTATAAATTCTTGTTCTTTTGAGCTGAATTTTTCTTTCAATATTACCGTTGTTTATCTCTTAGAAACCATCTTTATTTGGAAAATTTTGTCTTTTTTGGTTAAATTTTTACCCTGCTGGAGCGAAGTTGTTGGTCTTTTGTTTCCTTGTTTGTTTTCTTTATTGATTTGTATGGTTTTAAAAGTATCTTGCAAGTTCAAAGAAAAAATTAAAAAGTGAGGGAAATATGCAAGGAGATAAAATTATTATGTTAATATGGTTAATTGTTTTCATGAAGAAGTTACTCAAGTTCCTTGGCACGTGCATGTTACTCTATATTCTTTTTGGCAAATAATTTAGAAGAAAATTTCAGTCTTCTAAGGTAGTTTCAGTATAATTTAGTGCCATCACCTCATGCAGGAGTATATAACTCATCTATTTCATTTAAAATCCATTCTCGCCATCTCAGTATTTATGAATAGTAGGAACTCAGCTCATCACCAAAAGATCGAAAAGCCATGCATGCAACATTACGTAAAGGTCGAACCTACCTTAACATTGTTTTGTTCTGCTAAACAGAATTGAAGGAAACTTTGCTCCATGTTCTTCTTTATGCTTTTGTGTGTGGCATAATCTTTCTCTTCATGAATTAAGAAGGTTTCCTTAACTTATTTTGTTACTAGCCTTGTCCCATTGGTGTATTTTTCATCGAAAAAATGCAGAACAGGTAGTTCAAACATGGGAGAAGCAGTTTCACAGCTCCACTAAGGAACATAAGATTCCATTTCTATATCTTGCAAATGACATTCTTCAGAATAGTCGGCGTAATGGTATGGAATTTGTGGGTGAATTTTGGAAGGTGCTTCCAGCAGCGCTTAAAGATGTTACCGAAAATGGTGATGATCATGGAAAAAATGTGGTATCCAGACTGGTGAGTTATCTATTCACATTATAAAGTTTATCTTTGCATGTTGGTATTGCAAAAAAGTGTTTTACTTGCACTCTTTCTCAAAATTGTACAAATGATACAATGGCTGGCATTAACCATGATGCTCATTTTGGGTCTGTAGTGTAAGTGAATCTCTCTCATGAGTGATGGTTTATTGAAAAGCTACCAATTATTGTATTCTCTCCCTCTCTCTCTCTATATATCATGTTGTTAGTGTAAGCTCATATTAAATCCCAAATCTTTTGCAGTAGAATACTAAAAATAAAAGAAGAAGCGTAATATTACATGCAAGTCCTTTATTTTTTTTGAAATTTTTTTGCTAGCCAAATCTTTTGTATCCAATGTGTTTCCATATGTCTCAAAGAAATAAAATGAAATCGAAATAGTTTGTAATAATCGAGAAATAATTAATAATGCAACTTGTATCTTTAAAAAATGTATACTAGGAACTTTAAAAATGCAATAGATTTATTAGTTATGCTGATTCTGTAGATGCTTTTATTGAAATGTATATGAAAGATGATAAGCTTATTCCTCCTTGATATTTTAGGTTTAATATCTGCTTAATGAAGATGATGCTTCTGCTACAGTTTAACTGAATTGTAAGCATTGGGCGTTTATGGCTTAGGAATGCAGTAATCAATCCTCAATACCTGCTAAAAATAGAACATGTCCTTCTGGTTTTGTTGTATCCTAAAATTTTCACCACTTCACTCTTATTGAATTTTGTATATCTTTCCTTTTACAACTTTAGGTGGCAATATGGGAGGAAAGGCGGGTTTTCGGTTCACGGGCACATGGACTCAAGGATTTAATGTTGAGTTCTGAGCCACCACCTCCGTTGCAATTGAACAAAAAACGCTCTCGTTCTGTTAAGATTGTTAGAAGGGATTCTCGTTCCATTAAAATAGTAAGAACCTTGGTTCAATTCATTCCAGTTTTCTTTATGATAATTTTTTTTGGGTCTGAACTGAGGGGTTCTTGAAACAGAAACTGTCAATCGGAGGAACAGCTGAAAAGATTGTGTCTGCATTCCACTCTGTCTTAGGTGAGCTTCCAAATGAAGATGCAGATCTCAATAAATGCAAGTCTGCAGTTAGACGAATTGGGAAGATGCAGAAAGATGTGGATGCTGCTTGTGCTCGAGGTATTATCTACTTTACAAATCAGTTTTTCTGTTCCCGAAATTTATTTGATTAAATTTGTTCATTGTCTGTTGCATTCACTTTCTGAAATTTGACCCACTTTTAGTTGGGGATCCTCACCGCACAACATTGGCTGAGGAATTGCAGGAAGAGGAGAATTCTTTGAAAGATTGTATTGAAAAACTCAAATCAGTCGAAGCAAACAGATTAATATTAGTGTTGCAATTAAAAGAAGCGCTCCAAGAACAGGCATGTATCAATAGCATTTGATTTTCTAATATTTGTTTATGATTTTGTGCTTTTATCTCGTGTTTCTAATCTGAATTTTCTATAGGAATCTGAACTGGAGAACATTCGCACGCAGATACAGGTTTGTCCTTGATTTCCTTTTAAGACCCATAGATTTGGAATTCGCAAATTGCAATTATGACCCCAACTAATTTTTATATATGGGTTCATTTGCTTGACATAGCTCTGATGATTCCGCAGCTGATTATATACTTACACAAAGGCTTAAGTTTCATTTGGGACGACTTTGTTGTTGCTTCTTAAAGCAACTTTCTAGTATAAATTTTTTAATTTTTATGTTAAAAAACTGCTTTAAGAAGCAACAAAAAAGCCGTCTCAATTGAAATCTTAGTTTGGGACAGCTTCTTTGCTGTTTTCTAAAATGGCTTTCTAGTAAAAAAATTTCTTGAATTAGGAATTTTTGTACTAAAAAGCTGTTTTAGAAAGCAACAAAAAAACTGTCTTAAACAAAGTCCAAGTCTAATTACAATTTGTCTAAACTCGTTTTTATATGCATTCTATGTTATGTTAATGGCAATTTTGATAAGTGTATGGATTTGCATGAACTATCACCACAAGCATATGGTTTTTGTATTTGTCTTAGCTGTTGTCAATTAATTAGATGCTTGCAAGTATTACCAGTTACGAAGGGAAATTTAGCATCGTGGGCCTGATTCACTTTACATTATTTTTTACTTTGTTTGGTTGCTGGAGAAATGAGGGAAACAAAATGAAGGTTGAGCTTAAATTCTCAGAATGGGTGGTCATCGTTTTATGATCTAGCCACAAGCTACTCACATTTAGACTTCATTTGGGACAACTTTTTTATTGCTTCTTAAAGCAGCTTCCTAGTACAAAAATTAAAATTTTTTCCTAAGAAGTTGCTTTATAAAGCGGAAAGATCTTCGTATGTTTAAAAGCCTTAGTCTGTTTAAAATGAAAAATGAGGTTCAAATGCTTAAATCAGTGTTTGTGGAATAACAAACCGTCAAGAAATTGTTGTGATTTCATTTCAATTACTTCAATCCAAACAAAGCCTAGTTTCTTTCCTGTCACAGGTTGCACAAGCACAAATAGAACAAGCCGTCAACATGAGAAAGAGACTAATGAACGAGACACCAAGTTTTCCACCTAAACGTGATTCAAACGGTGTGACATCTGAACCTCCAAAGAAATCAGCAGCTGCCATTGCCGCTGAGGTTGCTGACAAGCTTGCAGCATCAACACACTCCCAACAAATCATGACTTCTGTCCTCTCCACCTTCGCCGCCGAGGCAGCTAAGAATGCTGTACTGAGTACATCCTCAGCCAGTAACTCGTCTTCAACACCAAAAAATAATGCGAAGCTTGAGAAGCCAATGATGTCCTTGCAACCTGTAGTCGCCACCACCACTCCCCAGCCTCAGTATAATCTATATCATGCTCCAAATCAACAGTACATTCAACCTTCGAGCGGATTAATGATCGGCGTACCATATGCATATACAACCTTACCTCCGCCACCGCCGCCTGCACCTCAAATGATGAGTATGTCAAGACCGCCACTACCTTTACCTGCTCAGCAGCAGCACCAGCAACCAATGCCACCGCCGCAGCCACCGCCAATGACGCTGGTTCCGCAACCAGCAGTGCAGGCGATGCCTATCGCCATACACCAGTTGCCATTGCAAATGAATCAACAGCAGGGGCAGTTTGGGCTTCTGCAACCAGCTCCACCTAGTTACAGGCCCTTGCAACCACCCAGTATGGGTTTTTACCATCACCAGTCACAGTGAAATTTGATGTAAAACTCCTTTTTTTCTGAATGTTTTTCCTGATATATGTTATATGCAGGATGAAATTTTTTTCCCCGTGAAAGGGAAGATAGAATTGCATCTTTGGAGATACTATTGTGCAGGGTTGGTTTATTGATGTGTTATCAAATGCAAGCTCAATAGCTTTGTGAGAACATTTGCCTCCATTAATTTGCCATCGAAGTTCTGCTTGTTGATGTTATGATATACTTATTTCAGCACTACAATTACTGGCAAAGGTATGTCAATTTACATCAGCCATTTCAACTACATTTGGAAGTTCTCGCACTGCAAAGTTGTCTATGGTAATTGAAAATATTTGTATCATGTAACTTTGTCATTTGTAGCTATTTTTTCCCCGAATTTTTATAGGCATTGATTTAGTTAAGGCTTTGTATGGGACAGCTTTTTCACTGCTTTTTAAATAGCTTTTTAGTACAAAAATTTTGTACTAAAAAACTTCTTTAAAAGCAAAAAAAAAAAGTTGTCTCAAACGAAGTCTAATAATTCTTGTCATAAATAAAATCTTTTAGGATTTGATTTTGCATTTTTTTTTTGTATAATGAGTGAGGTTGTTATCTTACTATTCATTGGATTATTGAGCTAAGTAACTACCAGCTCCATGTGATCATTGCTTCAGAGCTTAGTAGATAAATTGGAGCTATTCGATTTAAATTTTCTATTGTGATGCAATCATGTTTGAGAGTTTAGAGAACTTAATGGATTTTTTTTTAGTAGCAATTTTATTTTACTAAAAGTAGAGGATGAATGCTATATTTTTAAAATAAAATTACTACCAAAATAAAATTTCAAAAAAAAAAAAAATCATCATCAAGGCTTCATCTTGAACAACTTTCTTATTACTTTTTAAAATAAAAATTTAGTATAAAATTTTTAATTTAAAAAATTTTTATATTATAAAATGTTTTAAAAATTACTAAGAAAGTTATTTTAAACAAAGCTTTAGTTACAATAGATTATTCTGTGTGCACATCAGACAAGAAGAATTGTCCTACTATCTCTGTGAATACTAAAAGCGCAGTAAGGAGCACCTCGTTATATTTTTATTGTTCACAAAGATAAAATTGGAGGATTTTTTCCGTTCTGTTTCAGCACAGAATAATTCATCAGTTACAATGAGAAACTATTGTATGATTTCTGAGACATAATTAGACGAATAAGTGATATTGCAATTAGTAATTACTCTATTGAGCATATCTAATTCAAAATAATAAAAAAATTTATGATAAATAAGCAAAGAAAATAATATTTGTGCCAATAAATAGAAGGGGATTTATATACATTAAATAAAAATAAATTCTATTTATTTATATATCTAATATTCAATTTTTTATTCAATAATAGTTAAAAATCTAAGCTCTTTTAAAATTTTTATGAATTTTAATTTATTTAAATTAAAGCATTTTTTATTGATATATTTTAAAATGATTTAAACATTAATGTAAATAAAAAAATAAAAATAAATTTAAAATAATACAGCAGCCATTTTGAAATCGCATATCATTGAAATAAATGATAAAATCATAGTTTTAAGTAATCTAAAAATGAATTAATTAGTTATGTATTATATTAATTTTATGTATATTTTAATTAAATTTTAATTATGATATCGGAGCTAATTTTTTTCTTCTTGAAAAATACTTTACAAAATACCCATCACTGCAAAAAAATTTCCTACAAATATGAAAATGCTTCGTTTGCCTATGCCTTAATTCTGTGCATATATTTGGAAAAATGCTTAATATAATTCAAACGCCGAGTAAAAAGATAAGAAAACAAAATAAATAATGCTAAAAATACTAAAAGAAAATGTAAATAAAAAATATAATTATAAAATTCTTTATTAGATTGTAAAAAAAAATTCCTTTAATTTCTCTGATGCGAATATCAGTGCCTACTGTTTAATAAAAAAAAAAAATAATATATTATTAATGAAATAACACAAAAATATTGAATATCTTGTAAGAGCTTTCTGATTATGATTATATACTTGAATATCTAATGCTAGAATACTTTAACAATGCTTGTGGATGCTTTAGTAGTCCATTAATTTAAGGCAAGTTAAAAAGCCCAAACACTAAGCCCATTAATAGATGATAGGCCCAGGCTTTCGGCTTTGGTCCACGCGCCAGAAACACCGAATCAGCAAAACCTTGTACTTTTGCTTTGTGTTACGGGAAATTATTGGGTTCGGACACTTATAATGTCTGAAGTCAATAAAAATGTGCCACATCATCTCCTACTCGGTATTGAGCTCGATATTGAGCAATACCAAGCATTATCGAGCTCAGTACTGCTCGGTACTCATTACTTCATAGTACCGAGCTCAGTACTGCCCTATACTCTGAAGTTCGGAACGTAAGCTGTGTCAGATATCCGAACCCAATAATTTCCCTTTAAAAATGATCTTATATTCATTGTATATATTCAAATTATTTTATTTTAATTTTTATTATCTTATATTCAATCAATATTTTTTCAACCATTTGTCGAATCATTTAAATCTATTTTTTCATAACATTATCTTCAATAAATATTATTTTTATTATTTCTTTAATATACTAATTTTTCAATATATGTCTCCTAATTTTCAATGATAGAGCATTTCATAGTCTAGTGTTGGTGATAATTAGTTTTATCTTAAAAAAATTAAAATCTTTCTACCTAAGCATAAATTCCTAATAAATTAAAGGAAACTTTGTAAATTTCTTTTAACTTGCAAACATATATGTGGCCAAGAGATTTGATTTATTCTCACTAATTACATCTTAATCATCATTGACCAAATTTAAATATGTTTATTTCCAACTTCTTAGAATGCCATACTTAACCTAATTCAAATGACCATTTCTAACAAGACAAAAGGACTTCTAAAAAGTCAAAATATATTAGTGAATGGATGATGAACACGTTGACTATAATTTTTCATAGAATTTATTAATAGGAATGTAAATTTGACTTGAAGAACACTTCAAAATTTAATTTGAATATGAAATTTTGTTTGTATTCATACATATAGAAGTATTGTATTGATTTCTGAATGCCTTAAAAAGTAAAAAATCTTTGATTTCGTTTGGGATCTCTTTCAAAGCTCAAATTGAATTCAATGATCTAAATAATATTTTGGGGATCAAATCAAACAAGATTAAAAGGTTCAAAGTCTACAGTTTCGTTTGGGATGACTTTCTTACGGCCTCTTAAAACAGCTTTTGTACTAAAAAGCTGCTTTAAGAAGGAGTAAGAAAGCCGTCTCAAACAAAGCCTTCATTCGGGTTAGCTTTCTTGCTGTTTTCTAAAACAATTTTTTAGTACAAAATTTTTTGAACTATTAATTTTTCTTCAATATAGTTGTTTTAAAAAGCAATAAAAAGTTGTCACATATCGATTAATGATTATATCGTTAACAGCCCTAATGATGAAGTGTTTGAAACATTTTAACATTTAATCAATTACATCTAAAACTTGTCAACATCAAGCCCAAGTGTGTGAGAGATAAAAGGGAAATTATGGTGGATTAGGCTCCACTAAAACTTGCTTTTGTTTTCTATCGTCTAAATTGCTTGTGTTGTGGAAGGTCAGCATCAAATTCCCATTGAAAATGCCTTTGAGCTAAGAGCACCATCCTCATTGCTGATAAATGAATGATTTACTAACCATAAGATAAGCTTACTTTATGCAATTTTCATGAAAGAAAAATTTAGCTAACTTTAGAGTTTTATATGAGGGATTATCATATGATATTTCACTTTGATAGGATGTACTATGTGCAACAAATGATTTAGTTGTAGGGTGGTTATTTTTTTAATGAATGATGAAGGGTTTGATTGACTTTTGCTAATGTCCTTCTCTTGAAGTTTTGTGATGGGAGAAAAAAATCATAGTGGGATCGAGCGGTGTGGCTCTTTGATTGACGGACGGAAAGTCCTCCCCGTTGCTCGTGTTCGAATCCAATAACGTGCCCGAAAAGAAAAAAAAAATGATAGTGATGGCTTTTTTGTGGGTGGATCTAACTTCTTTGAGAATATCTTAAGTGTGAATGATATATAATATTAGTTTTATATCGGTTATCCAAATTTATCAAATTTTAAAATATATTTTGTTATATGGGAATTAGATTTATGTGTTTTGAAATTTTATGTCAATAAAATTTGAGATTTATGTTTTAATTTAATGAAGATTCTGCGCACACATAAATAAAGAGAACGAAGAAGTTGGAGATTTTTAATTGTTCTTAATATATGTTTATAGTCACTATGAAAAAAAAAAAAAGTATGAATCAATCTCATGAAAATGATTTAATACACGCCACCGGGCTTAGCTAAGTTGGTGGGTGAGAATAGTTGGGAACCCCCTAACCCATGTTCGATTCCCCTTTCATGTGGCGCAACCCACCTTAAGTAGAGAGAAAATAAACGTGGGTCCTGTACCTGTGGGGCTGATTGCTGGTAGGCTCGCCGAGGGATTAGTTACTCCGCCAAACAACTCCTAAGAGGGGTGGCAGCAGGTAGATACCCCCGTTTTCAAAAAAAAAAGAAGAAAAAAAGAAGAAGTTTAATACTAACATACACATTATTATGACTTGTACACTTTAAAACATATTTAAAATAATTATAAATAAATAATAGTGTATTATATATATAATTTTTGTGGTAATATTTCTCTTATTAGGAAACCATCAGAATTTTTATTTAAAATATTATGCATTCCTGTAAAAGAGAAAAAAAGAACGATGAAAATAAAGTGATGATCTATTTAGAAATTACATATATTAATTAGCAAGTTAAAATGTTGAAGCTGTTGTTGAGATTTTAATTAATTTAAAATAATAGAATTAATCAATTAGATAGATTAATGATTTGAAGAAAAAAAATCATTAAATTTTTATTTGACAAATTCTAAGTGTTGTTATTGCTATTATCATTATGTTTCGCTCTTTTTGTTTCCTCATAGGCTTGGAAGGAATTTAATTCTAATTTTCTTAGGGAAAAACTTAGTGTATTATGATGGGGAATTTTTTTTTTATAGCGTTATTTTTACTATTAAAGTGATTTTAACCATCACAAAAAAAAGCTAGAAGGGATTTAAAACCGCTACTATTTTGGCCAGGGGTGTCAAAATTGGTCCGTGGGTCGGATTCGGGTCGATCTCGAATTGACACAAGTTTAAATAGGTCCGTGTCGTTAGTCGCGGCGAGGTGAGACCTATGTCGGATTGGGCGAGACGGATGCCTGATTGGGCGTGTGCAAGCGTGCTATGCCAGGGGAGACGAGACTTGTAGCAGTGTGGCTAGAAAGGCAGGCTAACAGGCCTGGACCCGTGTCAAGTTCAAGTTATTTTCGGATTTCTGGGTCAACCCGAACCCAACCTGATTTTAGAATCGGGTCACATTTTTGAACCCGAGTCCGACCCGTCTGAGAAACGGATTGACCAATATCGGAAATTTTTTAGGTATGTTGCGGGCTAGAATATACGCGGCGATATAATTAGAAAATTTTCATCTCAACATTGTACGGATATTCAGCACACAAACAGAAGACTATGATTTTTACATGGAAAACCTTGAAAGGGGAAAAACCACAGGGTCACGCTCAGTTGAAAGGGTTTCACTAGTGTTTGTTTGAAATATAAGAGGCTGACTCGTACTTAAAATTTAGAACGATCATATTACAATGAATCACTTCTAGATAGAAATATAGTTATAGCGTCGGGCAGAGTTTCGGCGTCTCTTGGAGATCAGGCGGAATTCTGGTGTCACTTGAGCGTCGAGAAGAATTCTGGCGTCGTTCGGAAGTCGGGTAGAATTCCAGCGTCGGGTAGAACTCTGGCGGTGGTCGAGGAGGAGTTCTTCCCTCCTATCATTCTCTTCTTCTTGCTTGGGTCCCCTCTCAAGAGAAATGAGGGGTCTATTTATAGATTTTCTGGAGTGGCATGACCCGTAAATAGATGAGAGATCTGAGACAAATATGGAGTGGTTCGGATGAACAATCGATATTGAATCCTACGATCGTGGACTGTTTATCAGACATTTGAAGGTCTTAATGATGTCGGAATTCAACGATCTTGGGCTCGTTGGATTTGTCTCATCGAGCCGCTCGATTCGACTATAAGCTCGTCAAGTTTGGAGACCGTTTGGTAACTCAAATTGTTGTATGAACTTTCTAACAGCATTTCGGGTCCTTGATTTGGACTCAGTCGGGCTCAGATTGAGTTGAATTTGGTGTCGTTGAGTTCTTATTTTCGAGACGCTCAGTTTGACTGCAAGTTTGCTGAAATCAGAGTTCAGATGCTCCCGCATTTAATTTTTGAAGTTTCCGGCTCGATTTTGCCTCGAGATTTGTACCCGATCAAGATCGAATTTCATGTCGTGTCAAATATTGGCACCCATAATTTTTGCCTGATCTCTGTCACCGCAGTTTGATGCAAACACCTTTCTTAGCAGTTTTGCAACTACTAGGGAAGCGAAAGTGCATCTCAAGATCGTCTAAAAAAACACAGCTCACCTTAGCCTGTTGGTTGAGAGCTTATGCTTTCAAATAAGAGGTCTTGGGTTCGAGTCTTTGTGTATGCGTTGTGTGTGTGAGTTTTCCTTAAATGACCTAAATGTCCCAAAAAAAAAAAAAAAAAAAAAAAAAAACGTCTAAAAAAAAAAGATCGTCTAAAATATGAAAAATATTACAGTAGGTTTCTTAAAAAAAATACAACATATAATATTATTTGGAAAAATGAGGGACAAGAAGTTATATTTTCTGTTTGCGGGCAAGCAAATAAGAGAATATGTGTAATATTAAAATTTATGTATTAATACAACTAATATTTATTTTAATTTTCACAATATCATTTAAATTTAAAAAAAACTAATCTTTAACTGTTTATCAAAAAAATAAGGAAATTTCAATCATTTCTTTTTTTTTTTCTTAAGCCGCTCATTGATTGTGTCATAATTTTGAAGGAACGGCCACTTTCATTAAATTAAGGGTTTGTTAATAAGATGTAAATATTTGAATGTGATTAATGTCACTTTCAGTGGTAATTACAAGCATTAAATTGTTTGTTGACTTTGATTTAACGGTCGATTAAAAAGCTAATTGCTCGTAATTAAATAGATTAAAATCCTACCAAGCAATGTAACAAATCACGCAATTACAGTAATTAAATAATTATTAATTAGTCAACGTTGAGATTAATATGTTAAATGGACTTTTTAGTTCTTAAAACTAAAGCAATCAATAATTTATTTATTTGGTAGAATAGGTACTTGCCAAGTGATAATCAAATGTGATTTTTTTTTTTTTTTTTTTTTGTAATTTTTTGGAAGAGTAAATATTTGAATCCGGATTAACAAAATTTAAAGCATATTTAAGAAGTACTTTGTATTTTATTTTAGTAAATTTATAGTCGATATAGAGGGGTTGAAGAGAGAAATCCAAGGAGATCACCAGCAGGATTTCAAGAACATTTGAGCTATGAGTGATGCAGGACATATATGAAATTTTGAGTTAGATAAGGATTTTGCATGCTTATTGAATAAGAACTAATTAATTAAAAATTTTATGATGATTCAAACAATGAAATAAAACCAAAAAGAGGTAAACACAATATTAAGACAAGTTACTCGCGAAAAATAAAAATCATATAATAATCAATTACTCTTGACGTTGCATTCGAGATGTGTTTCAACAAGAAATGCCTAATCTAACAATAAGAGTAGTGCTATGAAATATCTCTCAAACAATTCATATTAAATACTAAGCTTTTAGCGGAGCTTGACAAGATTTTGCATGAATCAAATAAAACCACAAGCGAGGGTCAACGAAGGAGGTAAAAGAGAATGAAAGAGTTCACCCTTTGCTAAGATTCAACCTTCTCACAAGCTTGGACAACAGTTGGTGGCGTATTGACGGCTCGTACAGTAACAAATCCACGCTCGAACCTTTGGATAGAAAGTAGCCAACTTGGGACAGCGATTCCGGACAATTCCAGGCACCAACGGTCACTCCAAGAGGGGCTGGACAACAGCGAACTGCTGCTGGAGTCTCTGGACAGCAGATAAGTAGTCTTGAGAAGATCCTGGACAACAGTTTGGCACTTGGAAAAACACTGGACAACAACCTATAAGGTCTAGAAAAGCCGTGGAAAGCTAATGTGAAAGCGGTGGACTTCTAAAAATGAAGTTGGGAGAGCTACGGGTGCATAATAGCTGCTCTTCTTTGCTGAAATTCCCTGAATATGAGAGGTGAAGTGGGGCTGTAGATGTTGGGAGAGATGAGGTTAATTCCAGCTTGGATGGGGAACATAATTGGGCTTTGATTGATTGGTTTGTGGAGCATTAATGGATTGATTGGAATCTTAATTGGGGGCATTAATTATATAAGAGAGAGAGAGAGAGATAAATTAATTTGAAATCAATAAGAAAGGATTTGAGAACTTTCCTAAAATAGGAATGATATTTTAGGTAACTTTTTAGATTCAAATAAATTTGAATTTTGCAAATTTATTGACTTACCTAAATTATTCAACCCAAATAGGAAATGAGTAAATGTAAGCAATGATGGAGAGAACCCAAAGGAGAAGGGGCGGCGGCCTGGGCTTGGGTTCGGTTGGGTGAAGGGCCGACGGGTGGGGTGTGTTGGGTAAGTAGGCCGATGGTTGCAGTGGGGGAATTTGGCCGACGACGAGGTGGAGTGTGGCTAGGGAATCTGGTGGCTAAGAGAAAGAGAATTGGATGAGGATGTTGGTGGCTTAACGGGGAAGGAGGAAGGGAAAGGAAAAGGAACGAAAGTAAGGTAAAGGAAGAAGAACCACGAACCCAGTCGTCTCCAAGGTTAGTGGGTGATCCGATTTCCCTCCCTAGGGATTTCTCCAAAGCTCTCTCTTATAACTCTCACAACTCTCCAAAGAACACATGCGCAGAATTTTTTTTTTTTTTTATAATTCATTCATTACCCCTCAAAGAAGAAGGGGAGGCTTTAAATAGCTAATACAATGAGAAAATAAAAGAACTACAATGCCCCTTGGGCTTACACATACCTAAGCCCTTAAGTAAGGGAAAAAATGAAAAATCATAATAAAACTTCATAAATAAAAATAATACATCAATAATAAATATGAAAATCAAAAGTAAAGCGAAGTAATCGTGGCCGTAGATCGATGGCTACGCCTCTAGTAAACTTTCCATGTCTTGATGTCCTCATCAATGAGTCAACTGCAAAAATATGAAACAAGTGGATAGAAAATGGTGACAACCTTTGATGGCCGTTAGAAGTGGAACCAACCTCTCTTTTGAGAGAAATCATTTTGTGCGGACATCAGACCGTTCAGAGACGAATTAGAACTCACCACGTCATCTAGTACACAGTGGTAGCCAGCCACGATACACAACAAACTAATGATGTGGCGCATTCTGATTCGCCCTGGACAATATCCATATCCACAGAATAATTTCACCTCTTTTGAAGGTGGGCAAAATAGGATTGTGAAATGCATAATTTTATGTTTAAAATATAAAAAGAAATTCATTTCTTAGAATTGGGGCAATTATATTTATTAAAGACAGGCAAAATAGTTAAAATGCTTATTCTTCTAAGAAAAAAAATATTCAAGACTGAGCTTTTCCTGATTCCACTCTTGACTACCATCCAACAAACTGGTCAATATCGCCCGCAAACTCCTCTTGCTTGGAGGAATCCAAATCAACATTAAATTTTCGACAAAGAGACTTTGGCTGTATGTTGTTTGCTGTGAAATTTAAAATTCTAACAAATTATTATTTTTTAATATTAATGATTCCTAATACTGATTTTATTTATAAGAATCACCCCACGATTATTCTGTTAATTAATATGTCATTTTCAGTTAATCATTATTTTTATTATAATTAAATACCTCACTTTTTTGTTTAATGAATTTATGCATCTTTTTCCACTACTAATTATCATTAAAGACTGATTGCAAGTTGTATAATTTCTTATTTGTTTTTGTTTTTGTTTTCAAAATTGACAACTTTCTTTAAAAAAAAGTTTTTTTTTTTCATGCACCTAATTTGGTTCGAACTTGGAACTCTTTCAGGTGCAGATCCAGTCAAATAAAGCAATGATAAAAGACTGTCCGAGAGCGGAGAGCAAGCAGGGAAATAGGGAAAAGGCGGCATCTTTTGGTTAATTCCCTTGCTCTCTCTCTCTCGTCGGATTCCACGAAGTCTGTGGGATTCTCATTGGTTCTTCTTTTTTATCTGCTAGAATCCATCGAGATCCGTTCTTCTTACGGATTCAAGAGGAAAAATATTGTTTTTGCTGCTCTCATCCTTTCAGATTTGTTTTGAAACAAGAATTCGACCAGTTCTGTACAGATTCTTGCTATTTCCCAGGGAAACGATTTCTTTTGAGCGGAAAGGGATTCCTTGGGGAAGATTCGATTTGAATTTCCGGAGTCGTCGGATTTCGTCCTGGCGTTGAGTGTGTTTGCTTTTGGATGCTTGATGTATCTGGTTCCTCAGCGTTTACTCTCTGGTTAGTTTATCTCATGAGATTATAAGGGAGGGGTTTTGTTCTTCTCAGGGTTTATTCGGAAAATGGCTGCGGATGATTTGATTGAGCTGAAGTTTAGGCTTTTTGATGGTACTGATATTGGACCCAATAAGTACGATCCTTCTACTGCAGTGGGATCTCTCAAGGAAAACATATTGGCTCGATGGCCCGCTGGTAAGTCCCTGGATTTGCTGTCATTTTGTGATATCTTCATTTACTCCTTTTTTTATTTATTTGTTCGTTATTTTGCTTGCTTGTTTAGTTGTGGTGGCTTCGTTTGATAAGTCTGATTTCTGCTCTTACTGCAATTCTATCATTATATGATGTTTCGATCTTGTTTTGTAAAATTTGAACTGTGATTTTGGCTCATTTAGCTTGTGTTGAAGTTTTGATTTGGATGAATTGTCTTGCTTTCGGAGAAATCAATCGTCATGGATTACTGGGGGCTGTTTGATAGAAGATTTACTAAATCTTTTAAATCCGGATTGAAACCTAAAAACTATTTGGCTATCTATTTCAGGATTTAAGGTTTGTAAGATGATTAATCATTCAATCTATTAAATCATTTGAATGATGGAATTTAACAACTCTTGGATTTAGTCAATAATGGAACTGAAACCAAATTTATCAAAGCAGCAGGATTAAAAGTCTCCAAGTTTTTATTTGATTGGATTTAAGCTTTTACTTAAATCCCATCGAAAATAGGATACCAAACAGCCCCAGGCTAGAAAGAAATCTATTGTTCTTAGCATTAAAGGGAATTTTTCAGGACTTCCCTCTTAATTTAGTTTCATCCTTTATCTAATGTATGTGGTGTTATTTTTTTTTATTGAACCTTGAGAGTGCGTCAGTTCATTCAAAGCATTACTATCTCCTGTTTATTTCCTATCCAAAGTTGTCCTGTCTATTGTTTTTGTTGTGAAGACTATTTGTAATGTTGTTTGTGATTTGCTCTCTCCTGTCCATCTTTTATTTCAGCTGTTTCTAATTCATGAATTTGTGGAAGTTGCTTCAGTAAGTACCATGCTTTTCACCCTTTATGTAATCAATCTAAACTAATCTGATTTCGTTGTTTATTTGGGACATCTAAATTCCTACAAGCATAACTGTACGTCTCAAAATAAAAAATAAAAAAAAGGGCTTGGGGTTTGAGGGTGTGGAGTGTAATTCTTATCTTATATTTTCATTCTTATTCCGATTCCTGTGATTTTCCTTCTATATTCCTTCTTGATCCACTAATGATTTTACTTCGCTATGTTAACTATATTAATTATTGTCCTTTGATGAAATATTATCATTATTCTTGGGGAACCATATTTGAGTTAGATTTGGAAATTCTATTACTTGTTTTTAGTGCTAACGTAGTTTTGACACTTGTTTTTGATTTATCATTGATATATCATCAAACACTTATCTTTAAAAGACACAAATGTCGAGGCAAAATTGAGTTGAAAGGTTTCAAAATTAAATTTGGGATCATCCGAACTCCGATTTCAGCAAACTTATAGTCAAACTGAATGTCTCCAAAAAACTAACCCAACGACACCAAATTCGACTCAACCCGAGCCCAAATGGGACTAAATCGAAGACCCGAAGCAAATTTGGAAGGTTCAAACTATAAATTGGATGACCAAACGATTTTCAAACGTGACATACTTATAGTCGAATAGAATGGCTCGACGAGACGAATCCAACGAGCCCAAGATCGTTGAATTATGACATCATTAAGGCACTCAAATACTAAATAAACAATCTACAATCAAGGGGATCAATATCGGTTGTTCATTCAAACCACTCCCAATATACCCTCGATATCTCTCCTATTTACTAGCCATGCCACTCCTAAAAATTTATAAATAGACCCCTCGTTCATTATTAAAGGGGAAGACCAAGGGAGGACCAGAGGAGGAAGCAAGGAAGGACCATAGGAGGAAGAGAGAGAAAATAGAGTTCTCTGGCCACCACACTCCTCAACCACCATCAGACCACCTACCCTCACTAGATTATTGTCGAACTTCTGTCCAGCCACCTAATAAAGTTGAATTTCTGGCCGGCCACCTACTGACGCCGAACTTCCACCCGACCATCGACTACAGTCCTTCCGACCTCCGTCACTAGACAATAGTCTTTCTGACCTCTATTGCCCGCCGACTATTGTCCTTCTGACCTCCATAGCCTAACTGCGATCTTTCTAACTTATGTCGCTAGACAACGGTCTTTATGATCTCCGTCGCCCATCGACTATGGTCCTTCCGACCTTTGTCACTAGATTACGGTCATTCTGACCTTCGTTGCCAGATAACAATCTTTTTTACCTTTATCGAATTCCGATTATGCTCCTTCTGACCTCCATCGCCTGACAATGGTCTTTCTGACCCTCGTCGCTCGCTAACTACGGTCCTTTCGACCGCCATCACTTGACTATGACCTTTATGACCACCGTTGCCCACTGACTATGGTCTTCCAACCTTTGTCGTCAAACTATGGTCTTTTTGACCTTTGTCGCCCACCGACTACGGTCCTTCCGACCTCTATCACTAGAGAACGATCTTTCTGACCTTCGTCATCGCCCGTCGACTATAGTCAGTTTGACATATGTCACTAGACTACGGTCATTACGACCTCGATCGCCAGATAGTGGTCTTTCTGAACTTTATCGAATGTCGATTATGGTCCTTCCAACCTACATCGCCTGACAAATGATTTTTCTGACCTCTGTCGCCCGTCGAGGCGCCGACTACGGTCCTTCCAACCACCTTTGCCCGACTACGGTCTTTCTGACCACCGTTGCCCATCAACTACTGTCCTTCCGACCTCCGTCGCCAGACAACGGTCCTTTCGATCTCCGTTCCTAGACTATGTTCTTTCCGACCTTCATTGCCTGTTGACTACGGTCCTTCCAACCTCTGTCGCCAGACAAAGATTTTTCTAATCTCTGTCGCTCGTCGATTAAGTTCCTTTAGACATTTGTCTCTAGACTACGGTCCTTCTAACCTCTGTCATCAAATAATGGTCTTTTTAACCTTTATCGAATATCGATTAGGGTCCTTCCAGTCTCCATCACCTGACAATGGTCCTTCCAACCACCGTTACTTGACTACGGTCTTTTTGACCACCGTCGCCCATCGACTAAGGTCCTTCCGACCTCCATCGTCTGTTGACTACGGTCCTTCCGACCTCCATCGTTAGACTACGGTCATTCCGACCTCCATCACCCGTCAAATACGGTCCTTTTGACCTCCGTAGTCAGACAATGGTCTTTTTGACCTCCGTCGCCCGTTGACTACGGTCCATCCGACCTCTGTCGCTAGACTACGATCCTTCCGACCTCCGTCACCAGACAACGGTCCTTTTAACCTATGTCACCAGATAACGGTCATTCTAACCTCCATCGCCCATCGACTACAGTCCTTTCGACCTCCGTCGTTAGACAATAATCTTTCTGACCTCCGTCGCCTGTCGACTACAATCCTTCTGAATATGTTGCTAGACTACGGTCCTTCCAAACTCAGTCGCCACATAACGATCTTTCTGTCCTTTATCGAATGCGATTATGGTCCTTCGGACCTCCATCTCCTGACAACGGTCTTTTCGACCTCCGTCGCCTGCCGACTGCGGTCATTCCGACCATCGTGACCCGACTACAATTTTTCCGACCTCCGTCGGCCACCGACTATGGTCTTGCTAACTAAACGAACATGTCAATGCCGATTCTTCCATTTCCCACCATGTAATGCACTCTATATGATGTATATTTGTCATATCAAACCAAAACCTTCCGGCCTTCCCCCAAGGAAGGGCCTCATTTGTAATTGACTGCAAGCACTAGTGGATTCATTCAAACTGGGCTAGGCCCCGTGGTTTTTCCCTCTTTTTAGGTGTCTCCAAGAAAAACTATGGTATCTTTTATGAACGCTACACCCTCTCTTTTATGTGATTTTGTGCTAGATCTTCGTACAAAACTAAGACATTAAACTTTATATTTCTTTATTACCGCAAAAATTCCAGGATGCAACAATCATGATTAGAATCATTCTAAATTCAAGGAATATTTGCTTTAAACTTTTCTTATCTTCTGACAGTTTTCATTGTTGATCCTTTTTTCACTTTAAGCTTTGCTTGGATTTCATTTCATGAAAAGAATCATTCTAAATTCAAAGTAATAGTTTGTGTGCATCTGAAAGCCATGCTGGCTAACCCATTGAATTGCTCCTGAAAACTTGTTCCGAATCCTTCGTTATTGATATGGTTCTCTTTCCTTTCATTTTCACTAACACCGAGAAACTCTTATTAGGTAATAAGTAATTGCTTTAAGTGATTGTTTTCAAGTGGTTGAATAGCAAGGTACTGGAAAAAGCTGAAGAAAGCTCCTGAAGTTAAACATTGGCAACCGCAGAAACGTCTATAGTTGATTCTCATATCAGAGAAGGCCTTTACCCATTGAACTTTGTTCTTTCCTCCTGTCCATTGAAGTCAACATTTTTCATCATTGCCCATGGAAGGCGGGAGGAGCGCTTGGTGTAGGAGGCTGTTAAGGAATTTTAATTGTTTGTTAAACACTAATCTACTTGGTTGAAACGTTTAAATTGCTTTCCTCGTTTTCTTTTGCTTCTCTGTTGCTTATTGGATTTTCTAAATGCTTACATAAGTAGGAGCTCCATAGGTAAACTGGCATATAGACCTGTAGAAGGTCAGCTTGTTTCAACAATGGAAAGATTGGGAATGAATGTGTCAATGAAAGAAGTCCAAGTTTTAATTTGACATTAGAAATAGGCATGGAGATTGATTCTTTGATAGAAGTACGCATTAACACTGGGACATTATAACAGGGAAGCTACATATTGGAAAGAATCTGTATTTCTTTGGCAATTAAGGATCGGATTGAGTTTAGAGGCTTCTCTTGAACTGCAGAAACATTATGTAACTCTTAAGTTCATGGGTATGTTAGTTGTACGTTTTCTTTTTTACATGCGTCCTTTATAATTTCTGGCTGCTTAAGTGTTACTGTTGCAAGGTAAAGCTAACTAGAACTCTTAGTTATTATTTATTGTTTATACTAATCGAATAACTGAAGGTATTTGGTGGAAATGGTTACATGCAGGGTTGGTAAATGTTTTTTTTTAATTAAATATTCTAAAATATTTATTGCTCAAAATGATTGCTGACTGAATCTATTTCTTTTAATCGCCATGCCTAGTCTATGTAGATTATTTCCTGTTCTAAAAATGGAAAGGTATGTGGTGAAATTATCCTTTTCTTTTATTCATTGTTACAAGGTGGAGGTTCAAAATAATTTGTAAATGTTACAGAAAAATTGTTTGACCCACTTCTTTTATTACAATTTTTTTCTTGGAAGTTTGCAGAATGTTGACCATTAAAAAAAAAACATAATATTAAGTAAGTGTTGTAGAGATGAGGATGCTCAGTTGAATGAGTGCCTTTACTCTTAAAGACATGATATGAAATGAGCATATATGTGAATAGGTTGGAGTAGCTCTAGTGGAAGATTAGATTAGAGAGAGTCACCTTGGATGGTTTGTTCACATAAAACGACGGCCTTCTGAAGACCCGGTTAGGAAAGTAGATGTATTCGATTTGGCTTATGTTAAGAAAGGTATAGGTAGACCTAAAAAGACATGGTCAGAAAATATTAGAAATGACATTTCTTTATTAGATTTATATGAGAATTTGACCTGTTACCATTAACAGGACACAAATGGAGAAATTGATTCATGTAGCCGACCCCACATAGTGGGATAAAGGCTTGTTGTTGTTGTTGAAGTTTCTTATTCAACTCACTCCTTTTTCATCATGTCCTTTAAGTAAAATGTCATCAACACAGAAATTTAAGATAATGGATAATGGAGACAAATAAACCATGTTGAACAAAGATGGAGTGATTTACACTACTATTTTGGAGGCCAACCTTAGCTAGAACTTTGCAAAATTTATCAAACCCGGCTCAGGGACTTTGTTTTAGATCATAGATGGCTTTTGTTGAGTTTACATACTTTAATATTTCCTTTAGCAACGTATTATATTGGTTGCTTCATATCACTATTACACTAATATCATCATATAAACTCACATCCATCTCTCAGAGAGGTTGTTTTAAAAAAGATTAGACCCCATATGTCAAACTTCAAATAGGGCAGTACCATAAGATGTCATAAATAAAAATGACACCGAATGATGTTTATCAAATTCACAAGCATTACATTGAAATTTTAAAGAACAAATAACAATATATTATTGAAGATGATGTGGTGGTAGATGACTTAGATGATAGCACCATTAGAAAGGAGTGATGGTGGAAGAGGGAATAAAGGAGACCCTGATTGTTAAGCCGCAACTCCATTAGCTTCAACATCTTCACTAATCATCATCTTGGTACTAAGATCCTAAAAATTATAGGGAAGTAATAAAATATTGCATAACAATATTTGATTAGACATTGAATGGATAATAAATTAATAGAAACTTTAGGAACATATATAGTATTTGGAAGATATATGCTTGTGAACAAAGATACAAAGCCGTTGTTAGAAACATGATAGTACGATCCTTCTACAATAAGGTCCGTCAATAGAGAGGACTTGTGAAGAGAAGAAAATAACTGGAGATTACATGTTGTATATGAGGAGGCATTATAATCTCTTATATATGGTATATATGAGGTAGTGAAACCATCATTAACTAATGGAAGCAATTTTGTTGGAGGTGGATAAGGATGATTATGGTGCTGAATAAGATGATCATAACCCTCCTTAGAAAGATTAATAGATCCATAAGAAATGGTGTGAGTTGGAGAGTCATTGGTGGTAACCAAAGATTTAGAGGCATGATAAGCTATGGAAGGATAATCAAATTTAACATAGTAATAATCAGAAGGATGATTAGTTCAATCATAGTGGGAAAAAATAGAAAAATATTTTTCTCTGCATCCAAGTACACCACAATGTCCTGTAGCAAGAGTAGATTATTCAGACTGATGGGGAGGGAGTTGAAAGCTCATTGACTTGTACACTTGAAAGAGCAGTTGCAATGTTGGAATGTTAAAGACGTTGAAGCCTATCATCAATCATGATTATTCCTATTAGAGTGAAAGGTGCAGTCCTGAGAAAATTTGGTTACAAGAAACTCCTCATTATATTTTTGTCAAATGGTTGGATCAATTATGAAGGGTCAATATTAAAGATGCTCATTCCACTCATCCCATAGGGTATTGTAGTATTCTTGTATTGGAAGATCATTTTTTTGTAAATAAAACAGGTTAAAGAGTGTATACCCTAAAATGTTGCTGTCTTGAGAGTAAGCGGAGCAAAGAAAATACCAATTGCTTTAGCTGTTTTTTAAAACATGACATTGGAAACAATGAATGATTCAATACTTTTAACATCTAGGTGAGAACAAAATCTGAGGCTTACCATTTGGAGGTTTTGATAATGTTATCATGGGTCAGATAAGAAACATCCAGATGAATAAATTTGTCATAGGAATCAAGAAGAAAATGAAATGTTTTCAACCAAAGATGATAGTTGGTACAATTAAATTTGATTGTTGTACTAATATAAAAAGAGGGTTTCAAATGAGAAGAAAAGACTGAGATATTATGAAACTTTAGAGAAGATAAAGAGAAGTTAAGGATGACTTAAATCATGTATGAGGCATGGCTCGATGAGGAACAATGAGAGAGCTCTCTTGGAGGTTGAAGGTTGTTGGTCTACTGGAAGAGCAATTAGCAATATTGCAGCATCAAAGGTATGCTCTAAGCAAGGAGCACAACAACATTCAGAAAAAGCCAAGCTAGAATAGGTATGCGTAGAGAGTGAGGGAAACATGAGCAGACAATAACTAGCCCATATGTAATGCTGGTTTGGTCTAATGTGCAATTGTAGTGGAAGGTCAGCAAGGAAAGTTAGGCACTTAAGCACTCAAGGTTAAGTTGTGAGCATAGGTTGATGGTGCGTAGATCAGGACAAAGACAAGCCATTTGTTGTCAGGCAAAGGATTGAGTTTAGTACAATACTAATTGGCGAAGATACGAAGAAATAAGACATAAGGCATAGGGAATGTACACAAGTGAAGGGAGAAGGAACGATTGTAAAATTGAGACTTTTGAATGTCGATCCATCTATGAGCTAGGACTAAGATAGATCAATGGGAGGTGGATAGAGGGGTCAGGGTGTGGGTACTGGGGTCAAATTTGCTCTGATGACTGATATCATGCTAGAGGATAAAAACTTGTATATATTACTAAATAAATTGGAGCCTATAAATGGGTATACATGTAAAAAAAGAAAAACATAAAAGACCTTGTAATGTGATATAAAAACAAGAGCATTTTTCATACCCATATCTCCTAGCATAATCACCTACTTATTCTATCAACAACATAAAATATGTTTACTTTAGACAACATTTAGCAAGAATAAATTGAAAATGAGGATTTGTGTAGCCATACTTAAATACTTGGTATAAAGATAATGATAATGATGAGGTGGCTTATGGCTTGGCATCATGGGGTCTCTTGATTTAGTATCTTTTTTATTTAGAAAGAATTTTCTTTTAAATTTAGGTATATTTGGTAGAATGCTTTTGTATCATTGTATGAAGAATGTAGTCAGTTTTTAAAATGAGTGATTGTTTTGGTGCTATATGCTGATAGGACGGCACTTGTATATAGGAGGCGGGTCAAACCGCCTCCTTCCTACACCGCCTAAGGGAGGGGCCCATGCCCAATTTGTTTGGATTTAATTAATTAAAAAGATTTGATATCTTTTGAATTAATTAAATAATATCTTATATTTGGAAAGAAGATTTAATTAATTAAATCTTTTGAATTAATTAAATACTATCTTATATTAGGAAAGTGGATTTAATTAATTTGAAAAGATTTGATATATTTTGAATTAATTAAATACTATCTTATATTAGGAAGTTTTTAAGGAGGTGGAGAGGGCTATTTAAAGGGCATGAAGGGGTTAGGGCTAGACAGGCTTAGATTGGAGTTTCTCTTGGAGTCTTGTGAGGTTTTTAGGGCTCTAGACCTTGCGTCTAGAGATTGGGAGAGAACGATCAGCCTCTCGAATAGAGGATCACCTGTATCTTTCTTTATGTGTGTGTTTTTTGTTTTGCTTCCTTAGTACAATCTACTGTTTTGGGACTGTTTTCACCCAGATTTTGATTATTTTCTTGCTGATTTCATCCAATTAGTGATAGGTTTGCTTGTGAACTCAATTATTCCCTTAGGGTTACTTGCGAACTCAAGTATCTCCTATCATCTGCATTATATATTACTTTCTTGATAAGGTCACATTCACAGTTCATTTGTTATTGGAATACTGATTTAATGCTTTTGTATCTTATAACTGTATTATTGGCAGGCAAGCAAATTACTCCAAAGACAATAAATGATTTGAAGCTTATAAATGCTGGAAGGATTTTAGAGAATAATCGAACCCTTGCAGAGTCCAGGTTACCTGTTGAGGTGCTTCCTGGCAGTGTAATTACAATGCATGTGGTTGTGCGACCTCCTGTATTTGATAAAAACAATGGTATGTTATCTTATTTGAATCATCATCTTTAAGTATCTGAAAGCTAATCATTGTTTTATTTTTGTTTATTTTTTGTGTGGAGCTTTTTTTTATCACAAATTCACAATATCAAATCCTATGGTCATCATCATATATATGGCTTACCCCAACTATTTGGGGTTTTCTTATCAATTCGTTAATGTTGAGTGTAGCATTATGTGGTATGCCTATTTTGTGCATTTTTCTTTTGGACAACATCATCCATTCATGCTAGGTTTTGTCCACCATTTTTTCTTCAAAACACTCAGACATTATCTTATTTGTGTTTTATTTGCACATCTTCTATTATTTGTTGTACATATCAAATTATCAAAGTCTATTTTTCGCAATCTTTTTTCCATAGGATTTAATTCTAGGCAGTCGTTCAGCGATGAATTTTCTCATTGCATCTTTTATTTTCATATTTGTAAGGGCTCATTTTGTTGCCCGATATTAGAAAATATGTTTTGGAAAACTGTGAATACATTGGATCCATCATCTAATTTTATGTAGTTAAAAAAAATAATATTGACTTTAACCTCCAAAAACATCCTCATAATATGTCAAAAGTGGTGATTTCTTTTTTCAGTTAAGGAGTAAAAATAAAATATTTTTTATAAAACTTATTTTTTTATATTTATGTTCAAATGAGCCTAAAATAAAAGACTTCTTAAAAAGAGGTCAAGAGTTTGAATCACCTAAAAAAATTCATCTTTGTTAAGAGGAAATATTTTCTTTGTTATTGAATTAGTAAGTGGGGCCTATAAAAGGATACATGAAGGAAACAAACAAGATAGATTAAATACCCTCAATTATGAGGATGTAAAATTTCTTAGTCATATTTCAGTATTAAGATTCTATTTTATTTTATGTATATATAGATCGATGATTCACTCCCAAAAAAATCTATATAAAAATAAATTGGAACCCACTTTCATGAGTGGATCAATCAAGCTTAAGAAAATGCATCCACTTTTGTTGGGAAGAATTTTAATTTGATCACTTCATCAAGATTTTATGTGGGAAGAGATTTTCTATGCGTTTTTTTGGAGACTATAGTTGTTCTTTTTATATTAGCTTTTACTTGTTACATAAGTGAGAAAGGTGGATGGCCTAGAACTTATTTTAAATTTGACATATAAATAGTAGTATTTTTTGTGATGCACATTTCTGATAAAATGACAATCTATTTGAATATCTTTAGTTCCTTTATGAAAAAAAGCTTGTTTGACCATATAGATGCCAATATGATTATCTCATTATAGAATCACAGGCCAAGTAAAACATAGAATCATGGGCTAAATAATAGAGAATATAAACACCCCTAAAAGCTTTTTTACTCGCATCATTTTGCATGTCAAATATGCCATAATCTATATGCTTTAGGCTTCGTTTGAGACGGCTTTCTTATTGCTTCTTAAAACAACGTTTTAATAAAAAATTAAAAATTTTGTTCTAGAAAGCTGCTTTAAGATGCAGTAAGAAAGCCATCCCAAACTAAGCCTTAGTTTGTGACGGTTTTCTTTCCGCTTCTTGAAACAACTTTTTAGTACAAAAATTAAAAACTAAAAAGTTGCTTCAAGAAACAGAAAAAAAGCCATCCCAAACAAAGCCTTAGTGTTAGCATTGGATTTCCCAATTGTGAGAAGTGAAGACAAGGAGATGTGATTTAGAAGTGAAGGAATTTAATTAATTAGATGAGGATAGGATAGAATCCCCTCAAAATTGATGATGAACATAGTAAAACATCAAGATCTTGTCAAAATGAAGGTGGTGATTTTTGCATTCAACAACATCCTCATATTGAGAGGTATAAGAGCAAGGAATCTAGTGATTAATACTATTTATAGAGCAGAAGGTGAGAAATTGCGATTGTATGAATTTTAAGCATAATTATTATGTAAATTTTCTATGAAAGCTCAAATTAACTTTTATTTCTTGATAAAAGTTTCAAAATACATGAAGGAACTTAGATTTTTGTTCAAGCTAACCCATATAACCTAAAAAATCATCAATAGAGGTTCAAGATAGTAAGTGTCCGTTTGAGTAAGGACTGGCTAGGACTCGATATAGGGGTGATGAACTAAAAAATATTTGAACAATGACTAATGGTAGAGGATGAAAATGTCATGGTGATATTTACCTATCTCTCATGCATAACAGTGGGATTTAAATACAGAGGAAGATATGTATACAAAATCTCGTAGTTTGCTAAGAGGAGGGTCCTTATAGATAGCACAAATAAATAAGATAGAATTAATGTTTAGTAGGATCAAGAGGGTGGATGAGTTTTTCCAGCTCTTATATCATGTTGAGAAGAAATGTTTTCTATGTTATTGATGGAATATTTGAGGTCTTAAAATAGGCATAGAAGTTGATTCATAAGAAAATAAATAAGAGAGAATAACAACTCATATCGTGATGATGTTAAATTGCATATAATCACCTTCTAGTATTAGAAATCCCATGTATTTTGCCTCTAATATGTAATATATAAAAAATCTTCAAGAAGTCTAAACTCAAATGCCGTTGTTTTTAGTTTAGTATCTTCCAACTCATTCCCGCAGTAGAACCAGACTGTTTTTTTTTATCCTTCGAGAAAAAGATTCATTATCCTCATAAAAAGGAGGTAGAAAAAGATTTCTTTTTTGATTCATCTCTAGAGTTTAATACCTCATTCAAGAATTTTTTTTTGATCCACCCATAGGAATCAATAGAAAAGGCAAATCCCGGGTTATCTGGCTCAATTATTAATAGAGTGAATAGATCAGTCGTTTCTTAGAATCTCTTTTATGATTCAAAAAATCGTGGGGTAACGTGTATCCCCCTTTGTTCCAGTCATAGAATAGATGGACCTACTTCTATTTCAATTCCAATAATTTTTTTTTGGTATCATCTCTTCATCTATCAACCCCATTTTCTCCTTGTAGAAAAGCAGCTAGCAAATGCCTCAAAGGTAAACAGATGTTCATGCTCAATCCTTTGACCAAACTGGAATCCTCATCTCGTACCAAGCCTCTGCAACTCCTCTTCCCTCTGTACAACGAACTGGTAATAACTGCAATCTGCAGGTTTGAGTTGCCATTACATTTTTCATCAGGAATTACAGTCTGCAGGTTCGGTTTGCTCGTTTGAATATAGAAGCAAGAACAAGAATGATACTGTTCTTATTGTTTTCACATCCTTGTTGGCATTGCTTCTGTTAAGAACTTGGAATGGTTAAATCATCTTTATACTTGGTAAGTTGTAAGTAAAAATGAGACGCTGTTGCGACGTAATGATTTAAGCAGATCTTTCTCTCTGTAACTTTGGTTCAATAACCTACTGGGTTGCTCTGAATCATTAGTTTGTTATATGAGAAGTATTTTTAAGCTATGGGCAGGCAATTTGGAGCCTGAGACTTTTTTTTTTTTCTTATCAATTTTTGCTCTGCTCATACATTTTAGAGTAATCTCATACTTATGAAATAAACACATGGTCAAATCAAGGCTTTTGAAGTTAGTTTTTCATTTGGAGCCATGAAATGACATTTTTTATTTCAATAATCTCATTGATTTTATCATTCAATTTTAATTATGATTTTACTTTTTTTTATATAAATATTAAAAAAGTGTATTTGAGATATAAAATGAAGAGGATTATTTAGGTTATGCTTATGTTGCAATGTAGGAATTTAAGACTTTGTTTGCTACCGTTTTTTTTTTAAATGATTTTTAAAGCAATTTTCTATTACAAAAATTTTTAGTTCAAGAAATTTTTGTAAAAATATTGTTTATAAAAGCAATAAAAAAGCGGTCTCAAATGATGCCTAAGAAAAATTTTAGAGCTAAAATTTTCATAGAATTTTGATGATTATTGAGTTTTAAGAAAGTATTGATCAAATTGTGAACTCTTGGGTGAATTTTTTTTTGGTTTTGCTTGGAATTTTGCTAAAACTCTCAAAATTTATTGAGCATAAACATGATAGGAAGGGATCATCAAGAGGGGCTTGAATTGAATTGAATGTGTAATAGTACACTTTAAATTTCTTTTGAAATTAATTAATTTAAACTATCACAATTAAAGCATGAGTAGAAGTTAATAATATGACAATCTAATTATGCAAATTAGTGTACAATTACAAGAGATGATATGTAATATGAATAAATTATTATAAATGTGGGTATAAATATTTACACAATATAAATAATTACACTTAAAAATATATACTTGTAATCAAATCATTTATTCACACAAGTGGTATCATATGGTTGAATTCTTGATGTAGTTTAAGTGATTAAAGCTTCGTTTGGGATAATTTTTTACTTCTTTTTAAAGCAGTTTTTAGTATAAAAATTTTTTATAATAAAAAACTGCTTTAAGAAACAGTAAGAAAGACATTCCAAACAAAATCTTAATAAGTAAGTTTTTAAAAAAATTGACCATAATAAGAAGCATGAAATCATCTACACTAGCTATAACAATTAAATTACAACCACTAAAGTTACACATATAAAGTGATCAATGTCTACAATTTGAGAGTGATTGGAATTTAAGCACTTGTTAATTATTCTAATCAAAAGAAGAACATGTAAAATTAAAGTGTTCATCAAGATGACAATCAAGCATAAACAATAAGTAAATGTTTAAGGAAAATAAATATAAACTACAAAGATTTTGTGTAAAAAGATCTTTAGTTGATTTGGCTCTAAGTAGCTTACATCCATGTTGAAGCCCTTCATAGACTTTGGGTCTCACTCACTAGACTTGTCATCACAACAAGTCCTCTTCTTTACTCATTAAATAGGTAGAGAAATTTTTGTAAGCTAACATACACTTCAATCTTTACACAAAAAATAAAAAGATTTATAAGATAAGCCATAAATTACTCAAGGCCTAAAAAATGGAGAAGATCACATGTCCTTTATATTTTACTCTCAACTTATGGATATTTGTGTAAAATTAACTTATAATATTAATGCAAAAAAACTCTCTCTATCATTATAAAAATTATGTATTTCACATATCAACCTATTTAACATCATACATCTATTCTTCTAAATGTTCGTTAATTTTTTTTATATAAAGGTGGTTGTAAAATTATTATGGAGAAAATAACTTTTTTTAAAGCTCTTGAAGAAAGTAATTTTATAGCGCAAAAAATTATTGAAAGCATTGACCAAATAAAAACTATTGTTACGATCAGAAAATAAAATCATATGAAAATTATCCCAAATTAAGTTTAACTTGACATCACTTGCCACCACAAACACCTTAAGGAAAAAAAAAAAAAACATGTCAAAATCAATATCATAAAGAGAAATTTTCAAGAAGATAACCGATTACACATGAATTAGGAAAAGAAATGTTAAAATTTTTAATTTAAAAAGACCAGAAACTCAATCTGGTTTTGAATTTTTTGGAAGAAAACGCGAAATGGCTATGCGTTTTCTTATAAAAAAAAACAAGCTATGTTATGAAAATGCAGCAACGACGCGTAAGCAGCGACATAGCATATTGGGGGGAAGACGCGACTACGCAATCACGCAACGCGAGGCAGGCAATGCGACACACGATAGGCGATGCCACGCGGGCGGCGCCTAGATGTGACTCTGGCAGGCTAAGTGGGCAGTAGGGTCATTTTCGGGTTTCCTGGTCAACCCGAACCCAATTTGATTTTTGAAACGGGTCGAAAATCTTAACCCGAACTCGACCTGATTGGTATTCGGGTCAACCTAAACTCCAAATTTTCGGATCGAATTCATATCAGTGTAAATTTTGACACCCCTAAAAACAAGCATGTTCTGCATTTTCCTCAAAAAACGTGAAGTTAGATTAATTTTTTATCCTTTTTAAATTTTAATTTTAATTCATACGTTGAACCTTTTTAAAATTTCTCCTATCCTAAATAGTTGACAACTGAAAATTAACAAAGCAACCGTTAACCTCAAATCCACCACGCGTCAACCACACCGACAAGCAAAACCTCTGCGCTCTTAGTTTCTTCTTCCACCACGCAAACCAAAAGCGTCACTGCTGACCTCCGACAACAGTGAGCTTCAAGCAAAAAAAAAAAAAAAAGAATTTTGACTCAATAAAAATACTTTTATTCTGCATTAAAAAAAATCTTATATTTAAATTAAATAGAAATCAAAATATTCCTACCTTTGCCCAACTTGGATTCCTCTTCTTCCCTTAGTTTCCACCATAAAACTGCTATAAATAGCCACCGATCTCCATTTCCTGAACTTGAAGCTTATAAATATACAGAAACAGTTAGAGGGAATTTTAGCTAGAATTATTCTTCTGTATCAAAGAAAATGGCGACCTTGGGTCCTGAGTTCATAATCAGCTACGCTATGAAGAAGCAATATAAGGAGAAGATGATGGCCATGGAAGAAGAGATAGGAGCAGAGAAAGAAAAGAAGTGCCCTAAAAGGAAGGGCAGAGCGCTTGGCTGGATGAAGAAGAAGGTCCATCCCAGTAAGGCTTCTTCTTCTCTGTTCAGAAACGAAGCCAAGAGTCCTTAAAAGGTCCTTTGTTGGATATTAATTAGAATTTAGCTCCATTGTTTAATTAAGATTTTATTTGGGCTTCAACCAACAGGAATTAATATATTCTCTTGTATATGTGTAACTATGATGGATTGTTTGATTTGATTTGTATTTTATTTTTTCCTTTTGTTATAGTATATGTTAAGGAAATTATTTGTATTTTTTTTTTCATTTGAATCATTATTCGAGGAGCTATATATGCACTCATATATTTTAAATAACATGATCAAAATGACATTATTTATCAATTTTTATAAGCATGAATAAAGTGTTTATTGCACATTTTTTATTTTGATCACCCTTATGTATTGCAGGTAAGTAATTTGAAGTTCAAATTATGTTCTAATCATATTCAAATTATGTTAAAATCTTATTAGAACTATGCTAAAACATTATTAAACTTTGATAGAACTATGTTCAAATCATGTTGGAACCTTATTTCAATAACATTCAAGTCATATTCTAACCTTAAACAAATCATTTGTAAACATTGTTCGGACATTATTCCGGTGAAAGTCATTCATTTTTAAGAAATGTACAAGATATTTCAGGCAGATCAAAGAAGACTGTCGAAATCACACTTCAAATTACCAACCCCGCCCCAACCAACGCGCCAAAAATCCCAAAAAACAAATGATGATAATAAAAAAATCCCTTTATTGTTTGAATGAGGATGACTAATCTAAAGTGTTTACCAAGATTGTTATTTTGTGTATCACTAATAACTTGATAGTAACTAAGGCTAGGCTTGATTTTCCTAGAGTGTGTAGAAGTCATACTGAATGGAATGAAGATTAACCAATACAACTTACATGATTAAAATCTAAAGCCTATAGCACTTTCACCACCTTCTCACATGAAGACTCATCATGCCCTTAATTTCAGTCTCCATCAACCCCATTGCATGCAAGGAGAGAGGTGAATTGTTGCAGAGCTTTGTCTAAAATTTATTTTAAGACTAGCTCTCGGACACAATTAAAAATTTTCAAGCTCTTATCCATCCATTTTTCCCCACTATTAGAATGGAATCCCACACCACTCCTCAACTTAAGGACTCATGTAACAACCCGATTTTTGAAAAATATTTAAAAATAAAGAATCTAAAATTCTATTTGAAATGAAGCGTTGTGGCGCTGGCCTGTGAGCACAGTGGCGCCATAAATCGCTATCGTAACATTGAAGCATATGTTCTATAGTAATTCTAGATTCAACATGCAGCGCTATAACCCTAGGTGGTGAAGCTGTGGTGCTATACGCACACACACATATTTTATTTCTCTTCACTCACTCAACCCTCACTGCCTCCAGGGTTGGCTTGCCATGGAAGGAAGAAATGTAAGAGGAGAGAGGAAAGAGAAAAATTGCATTTTGGTCGTTGATTTGCTTTGCTGTTTTTGTGAAATTTGCTCAGCTTGTGATAGGTAACTATTATCATATCTCTATTTTCAAATATTTTGTTTTTGATCGTCTGATTTCTTCTAAATTGAATTTATTAATTTTTTTATGAATTTAGTGAACATCTATCATGTAACATTTTATATGTTATAGTATTTATTACTCTAAATATTTTGACTTGTTGATTGTGTGATTTTACCGGGAAGAATGAAGCTATTATTAATAGAAATTTTATTATTTTTAATATAAGCATATATTGGTATTATAAGCATTGTGGATGAATATGAGTATATGATTGGGTAATAACATATTGTTATTATTATTATAACTATTTAGTAATATTATATGTGAGGACAAATAAAGTCTGATTTTATTGACGTTGGCTGAAGACTAACATGTATAGGATGGTGGGCAGACGTACATTCCTTTAAATACTATACTTTTGTATTATCCTCGATTGTTTTACGTGATTTTCTGATTGAGAGTTATAAGGATTTATTACTGTGCTAACGGGTAAGAAATGACAACTCTAATTATTAAGACAATGTTAATAATTACTGAAAAATACTACTCAAGCCAAAACTCCTTATTTATTTAGCGTGATTACTGAATGCATATTTTTACAGTATTGCCACTGTTACTATTCTATTTTACCATTCTACTTATTACTATTACTGTTTTTTTACTATTTTAATATCACTAACATCGATTTTACAGACAATGATAATATATTACTAATACTATTATTAATGATGCTGATATTATTACTGATACTATTATCAATTCACTATTTTTGTTACTACTGATTAGATACTGATGTATAATGAATGAACCTTATGTGAATATTGATTTGATTATACTGCATCGTTATAGATTCCAATGATTTTCATAGATGCTTTTGCTTTATTAATTTATACAACTTCCTTACTGTTATGATGTATGCCATGGAAAGGATTATTTATTGTTTATTGATTCGACCTCCCTATTGATTAATGATATACTAATTTACTAGTTTATCGATTATATTGTTTATGTACTATATTATTTTACTAGTTTTTGTACCATATTATTCTATTATTTTATAGATTTTATTACTAATGTATGTGCTTTTTATTTATACATAGATTTATGATCATATTGACTGCTACTGTTATGAACTGACTTATAATATGCATATTATTTTTTTATCATGCTTTGAGTTCATGTGTAAGATTTAGTGGCATGTTGGACATTTTAGCTTATTATATATGGTTTAAGTGATTTCAGGTCAATGTAAAGGATCAAGAGTGTGAGATTGATTAGTTATAAGATCCTCTAAGATATTTTATTTTTTGGTTTAATTATTCTCTTATAGTCATGATTATATAGATTGTATGTGGTGATTGTATAACTCCTAGCTATATTGTGTATAATTTTTTTGAGTATGAATAGAAATGCATATTGATGTTTTGATAAATAGAAGTTTTTTTGTTTCTATTTTATATTATTAATAAAAGAAATTAGAAAGCTTTGGTGGTTGTTGGTATATATATATAAGATAAAAATAATTTTTTTTTTCAAATTTGATTCCGGGGCATGACAACATTTCCCACCATACTACCCTTCAACTTTCATAACTTAGACTTCCTCTCACCTCCTTTATAAAAAGGTTAATATAATGCAATAATCATATAACATTTTAGCATTTTAATGCCCTCACATTTTAGGTTCTAATTCCTAGACTCTTGACTTCTATGAAGACCTCCAAAGGTACAAGGAAGAACATTGCATCAAATTTAAAGCCAAGAAGTATGGCCAATCTAATAAAAACTATTCTCTCCATTTTGCACTCCCTAACATCACAGTTTTGAACATATGGGCCGGGGCTACAATTTGAAGGTTGTATGTTGGATTGCAAGAATATAGTCTAGAATCACACATCAACTTGGTTTTCCATATGGAAATCAAAATAAACTTTGAAGTGTTGACTAACCCTTTTTCATTCAAGGAGGATGCATACTTTTCACAATAAGGGGAGCTTCAACAACTTTAATCATGGCTATGAGGATGGGTTTTGGGTCAAGTGGAATACCTTCTATTTCAATTAATTTGATTCCATTTCAATTGAGGATGCATTTAGTTAGTTTATTTATGGTGAGATTACAAATTACAGCTATGTTCAAATTTGTTTCCATTGCTAATGAAGTACATGGTAAAAAGCCTTCAAAAATATCTATTGGAATTATCATCCTCTATTATTTTGAAATGGTGGGTGAATGGGTGGGTGATTGGTGACTTCAAATGCATATTGTATAGTAATGATAAGTTCTTTTCGACAAGCTTTTTAAATTCAATGACTGTTTATTCTTCTCGAGTATCCTAGATTTTGCATGTTATAGTCCTTTCAGCTAGTACAATATTTAAACTAAGAATCTTATAAGCTACAAAATTGATCATGTGCTTTGTAATTCCCAGTGACTGGACTCCCTCATATCCTCCTCTTTAGACCATTCTCCACTTTTGATAACATAGGTGTTATGAAATTTTAGTTTATCTGCAAGAAGTTTCATACAAATTATCCAAATTTTCGGTTGGTCAATTTTTGCATCGGGTGATCCTATTTTTATTCATAAGATATGGCATCAAGTGATGAGAGGAATATTACTAAGCAACATATTTAAATCCCTTTAAAGCTTATTATTAACAATGATAGAGAATTAAACATCAAAGATACAAGCACTAATCCACTTGATGAACTTGTTAAAAATGCCCATTATAACAAATTGATTAAGGAGAAATAACTTGCTCACACTTTCAAAGGCCTTGATTAGTATGAAATCCCTTTATTTCTCAAAAAGATCATATTTTTTATGAATGCAATTTGAGTGATAGAACTAAAAGGGTAATATCACTTAGATTCTAGCTATTAGACATAAGTTTAGATGTGATTTTTAAATAAAATATTAGAGAGAGAGAGAGAGCTGAACTTAAGAGAGAGAGAGAGAGAGAGAGAGAGAGAGAGAGAGAGAGAGAGAGAGAGAGAGAGAGAGAGATGTAATAAGCTATAATGGTGGCATGGAATCACTTTGGGAATGAAAGCTATAGTTGAGTATTGAATCATATTGGGAAGCTTATTAATGAGAAAAATAATAATTGATTGCTAATAAGGATTGATACTGAACAAGCTTCAACATGAAGAATTTATAGGTGAATTCTTTCAAAAATATTGTTTTATTCATGCCAATATTTAAGATCGTTCATTTGATTTTAACTTAAAAATAAGGGCAATAAGCTAGCATATTTTGATCATAGAGAGATAGGTTGAGCAAAATAATGAGATCGACTGCGAGAAAATTTGATGTGAATTTGAGATTAAGGTTCGTTTGGGACGGCTTTCTTAGTCCTTCTTAAAGCAGTTTTTTATTACAAAAAAAATAAATTTTTTGCACAACGAAGTTGTTTTAAGAAGTAGTATGAAAGTCGTTTTATTTGGAACAGCTTTTTCGTTGTTTTCTAAAATAATTTTTTAGTTAAAAAATATTTTTAAAAAAACTATTTTATAAAGTAAAAAACAGTCTCAAATGAAGCCTAAATTTTGATTACACAATCATTCACAAGATTTAAAGTTGATATTTTTTGAGAGGAGGAAAGAGTTAGGGAAGTGATAATATTTTTTTAATGAAATTATGAATTTGCAATATTTTTTTGTTTTTTAATAAAGAAATGAGTAAATGACAAATCATTTCAGTTTTAGAAAGTCAGGAATCTTTAGAATTTGGTATTTTAGGATATCCATTCATTTCACATTTTTTTGAATAAGGTTGGCCTCTCTTAATTGGGAAGGGTCCACAAAATAATGTTTCAATAACTTAAAATAATCCTATTTTATTCCTTTTTACAGAAAGTTTAATTTAAGATAAATAATTGACATTATTCCATTTAAAGCAAGATCTAACGAATTTAAGCTTATTATTGAGGGAAAAAAAAAACAATGCTGTCTCTGAATACAAAATTCTTCAAAGCATTTGGAGTAATGTCCATAAAATAATTTCAGTTTGTTACGAATAAGTGTCGAATTAAGGAGAAATTATTCTGTGTTGAGTCCGGACGGGAAGTTTCCGTCCTGACTGTGAGTGTACATTGTGTACAATTTTGTACATAGTTTGATTTTTTGGTACACACTTTGTACAAACACTTTGTACACTCACGACCCGGACATGAACTTCTGCTTGGACTCCGTACAAAATAATTTCTTCAAATTAAGGGTCTCCTTAGAGCAACAACAATTTTTTTTTATAAAATTAATTATGAAGTTGTTTAGTTATTTTAATTATAAAAAAATATTTTTATTACATACATTTTTGAAATTTAATAATAAAGTAGTTAAATAAAATTATAATTATAGTCTGAAAAATAAAACTATAAGAAGATGGTTTCAAATAAATTCTAAGTTTAGCTATAACTAGAGTTAATCAGTCATGAATTAATCAATAATTTGTGAATTAATTCTTTTTGTTTTCTTCAAATTAAGGGTCTCCTTAGAGCAACAACAATTTTTTATAAAATTAATTATAAAAAATATTTTTATTACATAAATTTTTGAAATTTAATAATGAAGTAGTTAAATAAAATTATAATTATAGTCTGAAAAATAAAATTGTAAGAAGATTGTTTCAAATAAATGTGAGGGAAAAAAGTTTAAGTATAAAATTATTAAAAATATTTAAAAGAGAATATATTTTGCATTATTTTTTTTTCTTATTTCTTTTTATTTTTATTTTTATTATATTATTATGATAACAATTTAGACCTGAATCATTATCTCTCATAATAAATACCTCAACTTGAATTTAATCAATTTATAGAGCTTGCGATTAATTAATCAATATTAAGATAAAATTTTTACTTGAACTCAGCTCGACTCGGTTGCATAATATCTGCCCGTTCTGCCCTATCTGCCCGCTCTTTCTGCCCCTTCCTCCCCCTATCTCCACCGAGTAAAAAAAAAAAAAATCTCAGAAGCATCTTTTCTTCTCGGATCGGAGGGCTGAGGATCAGATGAGCAGACCTCGAGGGTTTCAGCTTCTCCTAACTCTGAAGAACCTCTAGATCTGCTCGCTTTCAGCTCGGATCTGTTGTCTAGGTACTGTTTTGTCCACCGATCTTTAGATTTTCGCCGAAAACTCTCCTTTTCTCATGATTTCCTCATTTTTTTTCCGGGAGGTTGAGAGATTTCCGCTTGCTTAGGAGCTTTTTTTAATCTTTTGCTTGATTTCTTCGATATCTTTTTTTCCTTTTTTAAAATCCTCCTAAACAGTCTTAGATGCTTTGATATTTTAATTGTTTTTTGCCGCTCTTTTCTCTTTATCGAACTCTTTTTTTTTTTTTTAATTTTTTAAAAAATATCTTCTAATTTCTATGGGAATTCCTGTCTAAATCCGACGGTGTTTGCTTCGTCTTCCAGGTTCCTCCTTACGTCAAAATTAAATCCTGGCCGTCGAGATGGAGACGATGTTCTTCGATCTCTTTTTACCTTTTTTAAAATCCTCTGCTAAACAGTCTTTGATGCTTTGATATTTTAATTGTTTTTTGCCGCTTTTTTCTCTTTATCGAACTCATTTTTTGTTAAATTTTTTTTTTAAAATATCTTCTAATTTCTATTAAATTTCTATGGGAATTCCTGTCTAAATCCGACGGTGTTTGCTTCGTCTTCCAGGTTCCTCCTTACGTCAAAATTAAATCCTGGCCGTCGAGATGGAGACGATGTCGCTACCCATCGCCGCCCTCAGTTTGCTAACTTGCGCAGCGGAGGCCGTTGCCGCGAGAATGCTCACCGCTCATTTTTTGCTAAGTTCGGTAAGTTTACCGCTCTCTTGATGCAATGATTCCTTGTCGTCGTCTAGGTTGTTCGCGCGGAACTCAAAAGTGGAAATCTGTTTCGATTTTGGAGCAGGATTGAGGTCCGACCCTGCTGGGTCCCCCGGCTGAGCCTGGATGAACGCAGTATTTATTCGTAGTTGCGTCAAATATAGCGTTTCGGTATTTCGGAATCTTTAGAAGCGAATATCCGGTTTTTTTATTTCACGACCAGACCGTCCATTCTTCGACCGGTTTTTTTATTTTTATACTAGAAATGGCTAGACCGGTTTTTTTCCTTCACCTCATTTCATCTCCGATTTACTATCCTTTGGACAGTTTTCTTGACTTTTAGGCTTCATTGGATAGTTTTATAGCTGCTTTTTTAATCCATTTTTTAATATAAAATTTTCTTGAAAGCAGAAAAAATTGTGGTCAAAACGCTGTGACGGCTTTTTTACTGCTTCTTAAAATAGCTTTTGAATACAAAAGTTTTAATTTTTTGTACTAAAAAGCTAATTTAAGAAGCCGTAAGAAACCCGTTTGAAGACATCTTTCTAGAAAGTAATAATCAAATAGGAATTGTAATTGCGGTCTGAAAAACAAAGCATAAACAATTTTCACAAACGAAGCCTAATTTGTAACTGATGATTAATTAAAATATTATGGTAGGCTAAGTATAATTTAATTAGTGTAATTAGAATTGTTAAAAAATTATTAGCTAAAATTATTGATATGCAATCAAACAAGTTTGATTTAAGTACGTTAATTTATAAAACTAAATCAGCATTATAAACTAAAAAGATAATAAATTAATTAAATTGGTAGAAATTTATTTAATTTGACTAAATACAAGTTACTGTATAATCAGCTTTGTAAAATTCTAATAATGGTTCATTGGAAGTGGTATCTTGTGCTAATTATGATTTAATTAATTTAATTAGGATTGTTATAGGCTAAGTTTTTGTAATAAATATCACAATTATTTAAATTCTTAAATCTTGAAATAAGCAGCCAAATAATATATGAATTTAACATCTATTATATTAAAATATTCTCAGTTTTTAACCCGGAAAAAATTAGCTAAATTGGTGGCATGTTTGCAATTTTTCAAAATTATTATATTAGGCTATAGTAATATGAAAATTTATCTAAATAGGAAGGTTCTTTTTATATAAGGAAAATATATGATATAAACTACAAAATTATTAGTTGTTTAAACAGAAATACAAGATAATATTTTATATGAATTATTATTTTTCTTTATTTTGAACAAATGGCTTCATATCCAGATATAATTTATATGAGAATATTTTGATATATTTTTTTATCTATATGTTTAGGGAGAGAGAGAGGGAGAGTATCCATTTAAATGAATAAAATCATTTTTTTCCCAAACATCTTTCACTAGTCATTAAAAAAAAAAAGAATTTTTAGAATATAAAATAACTCAAAGTTAACTTTTAGCTACTTTAAATCTTAGTCATCCAAATTTTTTTTATGAATGGTGAAAAATATGGGAGAATAAATAACTTAATAGATAATAGAACTCTTTATATATATATATATATACAACACACACAAAATTAATATTCTATGCGGACATCGTACGTCGTTTGGAGACTAATCATGCGCCATGTCACCCCCTTGCTTCTGCTGCTTGGTACCGCTGATCGGTTCGCTGACGTGGCACATTTTGGTTGGTCTCCAGACGGCATTCTGCGTCCGGTCTCCGTACAGAATGATCTCTCCACAGACACAACCATTATATATAAAAGATATATATTTTTTTTTAAATTCCAGACTGATATACTATATGCTCTTTAAAATGAAATAAATTTGCACCATCTAGTATGGTGATGGAATTATTATTTCTCAATTGTGTAGTTGATGATCATGAGGCTGTTAAAAGAGATATACCTACTATCATGCGTTTTGTTTTTCCGTCTCAATTTTTTGCATGAATTAAATTCATGATATACCATGATTTGGAAAAGAGAACAAGCTGACAAGAATTGTATAACAGGTCTCATGGCCTTTTTTGTCACTGTCATTATGTTTGGTGAGATAGATAGTGAATGAGGCTCACCATTTATTTGTACTTGCTTTACGCTTTTAGATTGTGCTAATACATATTAGTATGATACATATAGATCCAGTGCATTAAGAAGTCATAAGCTATTCTAACCTAATAATCTCCCTTTTATTTATCATCTATATAAACGCTTAGCTTGCCTATTTAGGAGACTACCTGTTAGCTCCTCTTCTATATTGACATGGCTGCCATTTCCAACTTAGACTTTAGGAAGTTTAAATCAAAGGAAAATCAAATTTAGGTCAAATACACTGATAGTTATATTTATTTTCAACTTAAATTTAGGGGTGTCAATTTCGGGTCACGGGTCGGGTTCGGGTCGAAGCCGAAACTGTCGAAGCCGAAACTGACCCGGCGTTATTCGGGTCAACTCGAACCCGACCCGTTTTTACAAACGGGTCAATTTTCCGGACTCAAATCTGACCCGCTTCGGATTCGGGTCAACCCGACCCGAACCGAATGACTTGGTGCCAATAAAAACTTGCTTTTCTTCGGGTCCAAAAAAGGATCAATCTCCGCTTTTCGGGTAAAAAATGGGTCAATCTCGGTTGCCGGGTCAAAAACGGGTTTCTGGGTAAAAAACGGATCAATTTCAGGGCAAAGGGTCAACCTAAACCCGATCCGATTTTTGAAATTGATCGAATTGTTGAATCCAAACCCGACCCGTTTCTGGTTCGGGTCAACCCAAACCCAAAATTTTCAGGTTGGGTTTTCGGGCCGGGTCCAATATTGACATCCCTACTTAAATTATAAGCCCATGTGTGAGAACAAACAACTTTGTATTCAAAATGAATATGTTTATAATATCTAGTACCCCTTAACTAGAGCCCACTCAAACAGTTAGCTATGATAGAAAAGGTCAAAACTTTTATGGAAGTCATGAATTGTGTTGGGATTCTTGGAGGAGTTCTTGAATGAAAGAGAGAGGGAAGGGAGGAGAGGGAGAGAGCACAAGTCTTGTAAAGGAAACACAGAACTGAATTCTAATTATTTGGCTTGAGTAAGCAAATATTACATCCATTATGTCTATGTACAGGAGAGATTATTCTGTGTGGACTCCGGACATAGCTTACTGTCTAGAGGCGAATCAGGTGCAGCCACGTCATCCAGTATCGAGCAGTATCGAGCTGCGGTACCGAATATAGGGTGATGTGATGCATTTTCATTGGGCTCTGGACGGCGTTCGGTGTCCACACATAATAATTTCTCCTATGTACAGACACGAAGGAATGCACTATGCAAAAGGCTATACAAGAAATGCCTAAAGAAAGTACACATATATAAAACTAAACAAAAAATACAAAAAGAATTAAGTTGGATCACAATAAACACTAACCAATTGCATGAACCACCCGGTTTCTTCTACATGAGAGATTAAACGTAATACTCTTATGTGCAATAATATGAGGTGCGCATTTGAGCTCATATATATTTTTTTTTCATTTGATCTCAGGACGCATTTGAGCTTACCAAACACCTAATTTCTCAGAGGAATAAGGAAGAACCTAAACCAGCTGATGCTGATGTGGATGATGAAGATGATGATGATGATGGAGAGGGGGGCTACCGGGAGGGTGAAGATGAATCCTCAGATGAAGATCGTGAGGGGAATGGATACCCTAAGGACAACAGCAACAGCAAGAAAGGCCCGGGTGATGCTGCAGCAGGTGGAGATGAGCATGGAGAGGATGAGGATGATGATGAGGATGATGAAGGAGATGATGATGATGATGATGATGATGGGGATGATGAGGAAGAGGGCTTAGACGACGAGGAGAATCAGGAGGATGATGACGAAGATGAAGAAGACGAGGAAGACGAAGAGCTTCAGCCCACAAAGAAGAGGAAGAAGTGAAGGAGGAAAAACCATATCAACTCAGCTGATTTCTTTCTCTAGTTGAGCTTTAGAATGGAGGTTCTACTTAGTACTTTGTATTTGAAAGGTATTTAATTCGCTGTTGGCTGTAATCTGATAACATTGTTCTCGAAGCTTTTAATATTAATGCCTTCTCTTACTCTAATGTGTGTTTAGATTATTTGTTATAAAATTTCGAGTTAAATTTTATTAATGATTCAAATATGATGAATAAATTTAAAACAATTCCACTTTTTATGAGTAAATAAAAATCATTTTAAAGATTTATATTTATATAAATTAAGAAATATTTTCATAAAATATAACTGCTGGATTCTACAAATGTTTAAAAGCTTGCATAAGATTATATATAATTTTGGAATAACTAATGATTTGACTTTTTGGATTTGGAAAATATCTTTATTATTGACTAGAAAAATTGCACCATTTCTAGTCTTAATGACTAATGAAAATATTGGTCAACAACAATAAGTCTTTTGTCTCATTACATGGCGTATCAGAATATTAGATTATCAAATTCATGTCATAATAATTCGACAAATTTTTCATTGACTATCGACTATCTAACGTAACTTTTCACTTTTCTCATCCATAACTTGGAACCTATCGATTATATAAAAACCTCGAGTTCTTTTATCATACAACAATATTTAAGTTGTCAGCACTATCTTTCTATAAAATTATCAAGCAAAAGTCGCAAAAACAATTTGTCAAACACTTATTAATTACAAGTGATGCAAGATTACACATATAGCCTAGAAGAATTATATACTTGTAGCTAGATCAATCCATCGAGATACAAAGTCAAGATTGCTGTTCTACTGGACTGTAGCTTTCCTTTTCAAAAGTAGATTCAATTGCCAATTCATTCAGGATGCTCACTCCTGGAGTAATTATTCTGTGCGGATGCGGAACATCGTCCAGAGCCTAATGAAAATATGCCACGTCACTCCGTATCGAGTACCGAGTGATAGTACTACTCGGTACAGCAGCTCGGTACCGCTCGATATCAAGTGATGTGGCGTATTTTCATTGGGCTCCGAACTTTAGTTATGTCTGTTATCCGCACAGACTAATTTTTTCCAGAAGACTCAAACTGCAAGACTGAAAGAACTTGGAGAGCAATCCAACTTCACAACAAAATCCCCACATGAACTGAGAACTGTGGTAAGGATAAAATCATCAACATGAAATCCTTCTGCTTGCATTCGATACATGAGCTTCATAGCCTCCTCACACCGGCCATTCTTCGCATACCCCAACACCATCACCTTCCATGAAACCATATTTCTCTCGGGCATTGTATCGAAAACTCTGAAGGCATCAGTAATATATCCACATCTCATATACATACCAATGAGAGCACTTCCCACAAACACATTTGGTAGAGTCATCGTCTTGTTAGCAGAAGCATGAAGCCACTTGCCATAATTCACAGATTCAAGCTTTGTACAAGCCTTTAAAGCTGAAGAATAAGTGAATGGGCTTGGTTCCAGCCCTTCTGCAAGCATGTTATTTAAGAACCTGAGTGCTTCAAAGCCATGGCCATGGCTTGCAGAACCTGAAATCGTTGCAGTCCAGGAGATGCAGTCTCTTCTGGGCATCGTTTGAAGAACCCTAACAGCATAATCATAAAGCCCACACTTGCAATAGAATGAGATCAGGGTGCTCCCAATGTGAGTATTGCTCTGAGAAAAGCTCTTAACCATCCATCCATGGACTTCTTTTCCTAAGAAGGGGGATGAAATGGAAGTGCAGGCTTTAATAAGGCTAACAATAGTAAGTTGGTTTACAAAAATACTTCTTTTCTTCATCCGTTTGAATAGATTAATGGCCTCCACACCAAAACCATTTTGAGCATACCCAGAAATCATGGTTGTCCAAGTAATTGTGTTTCTCTTTTGCATTACATTGAAGACCGACCGAGCATCAGAAATCTCCTTGCATTTCACATACATTCCCACCAAAGAGCTTTCAATGAACACATCTTTGGTGAAGATACCCTTAACTATGGCGCCATGAAGCTGCTTTCCAAAGCTCAAAGCCTTTAATTCTCCGCAAGCTTTCAGAATACTGCAAATGGTGAACTCATTGGGGCGAAAACCTTGACTTTGCATCTGGGAAAACAGTGAAAGGGCTTCGTCTTCGCGACCATGCTGTGAGTAAGCTGAAACCATTGTAGTCCAGCAAATAACATCCCAAACCAACATTTGATCAAACAACATCGACGCGTGAGAAAGATGGCCACATTTTGCATAGAAGAATAAGAGAGCGCTATCAACTATCAGATTCCTCCAGTTTCCCTTGAACACACAAGCGTGGATCTGCCTGCCTAGCTCAAAATCAGACATTTTGGTACACAACTTCAATAAGCACACAAATGTCAAGCTATTAGCTGAAACATTGCTTTTGATCAATTTCTCAAACAGCATAAAAGCTTCATCTTCAAAGCCGGCATTTAAGTACCCATTGAGGATTATAGTCCAGGAAACAACACTCCTTTCAGGCATTTGATCAAACAGCTTACGGGCGTCTACTAGGTTGAAGAATCTGGCATATGCATTAATCAAATTGTTATTGACAAAGGTAATTGAGGTACCAAAATACTTCGTGGAAAGAGAGTGCACGACTTGCACTCCCTTGAGACTTGAACAAGATTTCAGTAGGTAGGCAATTGTTGCAGGTTCTAACAATTGACCCAAGGAACAATAACGAGAATCCGCTTCCGGGCATGTGGAAGGTGGAAACTTTGAAATCTGAATTTGGGATTTTGAGCCTCCGCATTGGCAAGATTTGATCTTGAAGAAATTCTTTTGATTTATCTCTGGTGTTTCTCTTCTCTCTGTCTGTTTGCATGGAATCGGAAGGGAAACTGGTGAGTGGAGTAAGAAGTTGTTGATTTGGAAAGGAGAAATTCTCAGACATGGAATTGCTAGCATTTGCAGGGGGAAAAACTGTAAATTTTACCGGGAATCCTGTAGAGGAACGCCTAAGTGGGGCGTTACAGAGGAGTGGAGCCAAATAACGTTGCTCTGCTTTTCACATTTTAATATGACTTTTTTTTTTGCAATTTTTCAAAAAAATTTAATGAAAAAAAAATATATAATATTTATTTATTCATTTATTTTGTTATAAAAAAATTAATTACAAACTAACAAAACCTTCTATGACACTACAAATAAAATGTTTTTTTTTTAACTTTTCAGTTTGTAAGAATCAATTTATTCCATACTGCAACTGATTTGAAGAACTCAGTAGCCAGCAGGTAAACCTCCTTTCCTTGGATCACTAACTGCAGTTAGGCTACCAAACTGAACTCTTTCATGTGCTATTGATTTTGATTTCTCTATGTTGTGAACAATGAATTGACAAATAGTCCCACCAGCCAGAGGTTCTAAGACATGACCCTTCTTCTGCAAGGCCTGCCTTGTTGCAGCAGGAACCTCAAAATGACCTCCACTCACTGTTGTCCAGTTCTCATATTGAACCACATTAGGTATCAACTGCAATAATAACAAAATGAAGAGATTAGCAAAAAGAACATAAATGTCATTCAAGAACTAAGGCTTCGTTTGGGACGGTTTTCTTCATGCTTTTTAAAACAGTTTATTAGTATAAAAATTATAAATTTTGTATTAGAAAGCTGCTTTAAGAAGCAGTAAGAAAGCCGACCCAAACGAAACCTAATTTGATGTTTTAAATACTTTCACCCATATCTCATTAGGTTTACTTTCTTACATCATGGGCATTCTGCATGAATTTCATGTTTCGTAGCCACATGCGACACTTAACAAGAATGAGTTGATACTGAAAAATATAGAGCCGATGCCACATAGTTGGAATAGATTGATGATGATGACAATATTATACTTGTGTTCCTTTCAAATTAAGAAGCTTCAAGAAAATTTATGTGAATGATAATAGATAATAGTGAAGAGAGAGCGAAATGGGATGCTATGTTAAAGTTGGGAGTTTAATTTTTGTTTTATAGAGAGAACATGTTATGTATGTTAGTTATAGGTCGATCTTGGCAATAAGATGGATAGAGGAGTTGGAAGGGAGATACCATCTGGGTGTTTGGGGGATAGCCTAAGAAAGATGTCTAATATTTATGGATTATTTCATTAAGGGCTTTTGAAGGATTTTATAATGTTTTTAATTGTCCTAGACTATTTTTGATAAAAAGAGGGCATTATTTTTATATTGTATGAGAAGATTTAAGGTTGTAATTCTCTAGCATCAAAATCATCGTGAAATCTATAACAATGGCAATAGGAGGTAGCCATCAATTTTATGAACTTGTACAAATTTATGTGTATTTTTGTGCTTTGTTTTTTTTTTTTTTCATTTTGTTTTCACTGTCCGTGTTTGTTTTTTAGATTTCAGCTATTTCCTAACAATCTACACATACTTTTTACCGACACAAGCAGGAACTGGTAGAAGGTAGCATTGACTTGGAGATTTGGGATTTTGAGCTATAAACTGTGATATATCATCAAAAATTAATCATGATCGAGCACAAATCTAGAGGCAAAATCAAATTGGAAACTTCTGAAATTAAACCCGGGATCATCCGAACTCCAATTTCAGCAAGCTTATAATTGAACTGAACCTCTCGAAAAGACAAACCCAATGACACCAAATTCAACCCAATCTGAGCCCAAATGGATCCAAATTGAAGACCCGAAGCGCATTCGGAAAGTTCGAACCATAAATTAGATGATCAAACGATTTCCAAATGTGACATGTTTATAGTCAAATCGAGTGGCTCAACCAGAAAAATCCAACGAGCCTAAGATCATTGAATTCTGATATCATTAAGATATTCAAATGTTCAATAAATGGTCCATGATCAAGGGAGTTGATATCGGTCGTTCATTTAGAATACTCCCAACATGCTATTGATCTTCTCCCTATCTACTGGACATGCCACTCAAAAAACTATAAATAAACCATTCATTTTTCAGTTAAAGGGACCCAAGCAAGGAAGAGAAGGAACAAAGAGAAACTAGAGTTCTGTTGCCAATTGACTCCTCCTCGACCACTGTCGAACCACCAATCATCGTAGAACCACCGACTGACATCAGGCCACTGTCGGATCACTAGTCGTTGCAGGACTTCTGCCTGGCCACCAACAAACACTGGACTTCCGCTAGTCTATCAATCGACAATGAACTTTTGCCCAACTCTCAAAACTAAATAATTTCACCGTTTTCAAGTTTCGAAACGGGTCAATCTTTGTAACCTATTCAAACAATAGTGGAATCATTGTGACTGAGTGTGACCCCGTAATTTTTCCCTTTTCCTGGGTTTTCCACATAAAAGTTTTGGTGTTTTTACTGTTTCTGTTTGTGAGCTGGATACTCATACAATGTTAAGACTCAAAATGTTTTATACGTTACCGCCGCAAATATTCTAGTATGCAACAAACTGGAAACTGGAAGACAAAATAACAGAATTACACAAAATTAAAAAAAACGGTGATATTGGATTCTGAAAGAGTTCCTTGTAAAGAGTTCTAAATAAGATTCCAAATAACAATAGCAATTTTGATGAAGACTGGTTCTGCATGTTTCATTTTAATGCAAATAGAATGCAGTTTAAAACCTTGTAAGCTCAAAAGATGCAGTCAAATACTACGTAAGATTCTATAACAGCATCATCCAATTAAAACTTTATTTTTCTTTCGATCAATAATATGCTTTTATAAATGCGTACATAAGCAAATATGCTGCTTATTCTAGATTGCACAGACGAACATTATAGATACAGGTAAAAACAGTCATGAAAACCAGGAAGAAATATGGAAGTATTGGAAGTTGATGCAAGGAAAATGCGCTGACAAAACTGGAAATTATCTAAATGAGGGGGAAAATATAGGAGAAATTATTATGTGCAGAGTCTGGACGGGAACAATCATCCGGACATGACAGAGCGTGTACACAGATGTGACATACACTGTGAATACTATGTACATAGCGTGTGTACACTCAAAGTCCGGATGGTTGTTCCCGTCCGGACTCCGCACATAATAATTTCTCAAAATATTGAGGAGTCAAACCGACCTGATGATATAATCTAGGAGACATGACAGAGCTGAGTGGATCCATTCCCTTGGCAAAATAATTCAAGAAAACCTCAGTAGTCCCTGCAATAATCATGCTTCCTCCACTTGCCCCTACTACAGCCTTTAGCTGCCCATCCTGTGGAAAAGAACACATGAAGCTGGGAAAAGTTCGAGCAACAAACCACCATTGACCTACCGCTGATGTATTTATCAAAATCAAGTTCAAATATCTAGAACAGTAATGCTTCTGCAACCCAATGCAAGGAAAGATTCATTACATTTAAAGTGTATTAAACTAAAATCATTTAACAGTTTTGTTCTGTAGGGAGGAGCAATTATCCTTCAATAACAAACGACAAACTTCTCCAGCTTATACTCATTGAATGAAGGTAATTCAATATAAAAAAGATTATAAGAAACAATTGACGACATTTTGGTAAGGTTTAATTGGATGAGGAAGATGGAGTCAGCATCTTATTTCTGTCATTTAAATCACCCATAAATTTGGGGGAGGGTAATAGATTGAACAATATTGAACAAATTTAAACAGCTTCTTTTTCTACCTCTTCTCTAATTTTCAAGTCATGGAATGTATGAAAAGGCTTGTCATAACATAGTTACATGTAGTTCGTTGATAGTAGTGTAGTAATAACATTAGAGACCAAATAGAAGGCTAGCTAGTTCATGTAAGAGTCAAAACTTTCAAGAAAATTCTGCATATCTAAAACTCATTTTTGGGAATTAGTAACAAAACAACTTTTCTTACGCATGGATTTTGTTACGGGTCTGGGAGCTCAGGTGGGGCCGGTTCAAACATACAGGAGGCGGGCTAACCCGCCTCCTTTACACCCCACCGCCTAAGCTAGCGGGCCGCCCCCTTCTTTGGACGGCAATGAGAGAGAGAGAGAGAGAGGGTAATTTGAATTTCTTTTATATTAGGAAGCTTTTATTAGGAAGGGAGGTATTTAAAAAGGATGAGAAGCTAGGGTTAGGGTTCCTACATGAATTGAGTTGTCTTTTTGGAGTTTCCTTGGTGTCTTGGGCTCTAGACTCATCGTCTAGAGATTGAGAGAGAACGATCCTCCTCTCGAATTGAGGATCAATTGTATCTTTGCTTGTTCTCGCTTTCGATTTAATTCCTATAATATAATCTACTGATTTTGGATTACTTTTATTGAAAATCTTGAAGTTTTTTCGCTGTTTTCACCAATTATTGCTAGGATTGCTGACGAACTCAAGTATTCCAGCTAGGGTTACTTGCGAACTCAAGTATTTCCTATCATATTTCTATAGAAAACTAAAAAGCTAATGCCTTTTTTAAGGTCAATAAAAATGACAGTTACCTTGTTGAAAATGATGATATTTTTAAATAAAGATTTTCTTCATTCCTTCGTTCTGTCGCAGTTAAGAAAAAACAAAAGCAATAAACTAAGGAGCATTTAGAAGATGACCTGAAATAACTACCTTGACAACAATTGTTGGTGACATAGATGATAATGGCCTTTTAAATGGTCTGATGAAGTTTGCTGGAGCAGGAGGAGGAACATTTGCAGTAACATTCATAGGGATGGAAAAATCATCCATTTCATTGTTAAGCAAAATACCAGTACTTGGTGATAGAATCTGTGCTCCAAAGTATGAATTAACAGTGCTGGTCATTGAAATGGCATTTCGTTCGCTATCAACAATGCATAAGTGACTAGTTCCATGATCGCTCAGTACATTCCACCTGTCCATGCATTACTATAAATTTACTAAATGTTTTAATTCCATATATGAAAAGGTACATAAAATGAAAGAGAAAAAGAGCATAGAAGATTTAAAAAAAGAGACCGTTGTAGCTTACTTTCCGCCATAGTGATCAGGAGTAAATGTCATATTATCCAATATGGTCTTCTTCAGCTCATGTGCAAACTTAGGGGATAGCATATCAGAAAGAACTTCTGAAACATTCACAAAGTCAGGGTCCCCTAAATTCATTCTTACAGCAAACATGTGTTTCAGTGATTCTATCAACCGATGAAGCCCGACAGAACCAGAAACACCTGATGGAATTCCATATTCAGCAAGGATATTTAAAATCTGTGCCATAAAAAAAAATAAACAAACTAAAAATAAGTATTTAATGGAAGCTTCAGATTGATAACTTATTTTATAAAAGTACTAAACGCTTGCAAAACCCAAATTATACAAACAGAAAATCTTAAATCTATCGGGATTGATAAGCATTAGCTGTTAACATTTTTTGCAGTCAAAAGAAACCGATGAACATTTGTTAATGGAAAGCGAAGTTTCCTTCCGTTTGAACTAGTCTGTTATGGTCGTCCATTTGTTAACAAGTCAACTTCCCCACCCCAACGTATCCCACCTTGTCATGATAGTTTAATAATCTAGCCAGCGGGCTTTACAAAAGCAACCTCTACAAACAATATGACAGGAATTTTAGTTAGTTAGGACATTTTTCTGTCATTCATGACCCACAGTTTCCATACTTTCACAACCAGCTTTCATATGATGCTAAATTATGTTGGGGAAGTAAACCAAGAATGAAACAAACAAGAGAAAGAAAATGCAGCAAAAGAACACCAGGATTTAACATAGAAAAACCCAAAATTGGGAAAATACCATGGGGCCACACGACACCAAGAAATCCGCCATAAAAAATGGGAGAAATTGTACCGATCTTCACTTTAACACTCTTTTCATAGATTTGCACTCATGTCCAACATATCTAGATGTGAAAACAAGAGTTTCTCACAAGTTATATACACCACCAATTGGAAACAACTCTTAAAAACCAAAAGAAAAAGGAATCAACTAACTCGCAATGCCCAGTACCCGTAGCGCCTCGACGCTGACTCCTCTGTTTCAAAATGAGATCATAGCACAATAGTATTGTGTCTATAGCGTCGCGGAAATGTGTTCACAGTGCCTCGATGCTGTGTTTACAGAGCCTCGACATTGAGCTCTCTCTCCAAAGGGAGATCCACAGCACCTTGACACTAAAATTACATCACCACGACGTTGTCCGAACAAGAATTTTTTTCTGGGGCTTTGCCTCCAAACCCCCTTGCAGAGGACACACTGCCTCCTTATAGCCCTCGGTAAGCTCCTTGTTGAGGTATCAGTAAGAAATATAACCCAACTAATCGACATAATCATATTCCACACAAAACTAACAAATTAAACTACCACCACCTTTGTTTGATAATGCATCAACATCTAGGGAATACATCATAGCACCTTTTATTCGCCGAGCGGTAGTGGAAAAGAGCTTAATGTGAACAGAAAAACTATAACACATGATAAATAAATTATATATTCAAATATATTCTATTTTATCAGTTTAATCATCATAATAATCAGTCTTACCTCAACTATTGGGTCAGTTTTATGAATCTTAAGCGTTCATTTATTGTTGTTGAATGCCAAATGAAGTATTAAAACTATTTTCAACCTTCCACTATTATTTTTGCTCCAAATCTGGTCAAACTTCTGTCTAATGATCCAAGTGCATATTCTTCTCTCATATTCTGATTATATGGTTGCTTAAACAATTATCATTCTCCAAAACAGTTGAGTTTAGGCTGAGGATAATGATGCTGGTCTTGATGATGATGAAGATAGTAAAAACAGTGAACAGAATTGAAGCATCGCAATTTATGAAGACTGACACAAGGATTATGGCTTAAATAAGGAAAGTGGATATAACTAGTAGTGACATACAAGAAAGAGAAGTTCAGAACTTACGAGTGTCATTCCAGCACCCCCAGATGAAGGCGGAGGCATTCCAAGGATATTAACCCCCATGACATGAGTAGATATTGGTTCCTTGATGCTGACTTTATACTCTTGCAAGTCTCTCATTGTTATTATGCCGCCAGACTTTTTAATATCTTTGACCAAGGCAATTCCAATAGAACCATTGTAAAAAACCCGAGGTCCATGCCTTGCAATAGCTTCTAATGTATGTGCAAGTCTATAATTGTGACAGAGATCACCTATTTGCAAAAGGGATCCATTTGATGTGAATATTTGGCGCAACCCCACATCTGCCAAAATTCCTTCTTTTGTTTTAGTCATTTGCATATGCAAATAAGGAGAAATTCTGAATCCTCGAGCTAGATGTGCAGCCGGTTTTACGAGCCTTGACCAGGGAAGCTTTCCATGTTGCTTCCAGGCTTCATGAAGGCCTGCAAGTTCCCCTGGTATTCCAATGGAAAGGCCACCACTTCCTTTTAGTGCAACATTGCCGCCATACATATTCTGTGAAATCATGAAAGCTTTATAAACAGACTTATTGCAATATCAAGCGAAAAAAAACCTCTTCAAAGTTCAAAAATATATATGGATAAACTGTAATTAATAATGATCAATACTTGGTTATAGCAATAAGGCAAAGAACAACAGCAAAATCACTTGGAAAAGATCAAAGTTCCTGCATAAATTATTTAAAACCTAGCAACTAGAAGGCGACAGGTACAAGCAATGCATGAGCCACATGCTAACCACAGGATTGATAGATGGGTGAGGGATTTATGCAACTTTACTCATGCTTTTGCTGTGAGCAGTTTCCAAGTTTCAAACTTGTGATCTACATGCTAATAATTGCAGCACAATGGAACCATTTTCACTGGTTCACCCTCTACTTAAACCTGACAAGTGAAAGGAGGAAAAATAATAAATAATAGAACTTATTTCATATCCAATAATCTACATGAATGAGTAATGGCCTTGGTTTGCTTCGAACTTCAAAGAAAATATTTTCTATTTTGCCTAAGATGATTCAAATTACTAGGGAAACAAGGACCATAACCTCAGGTATCCCACCACTGACCAAAAAGTACTCCATTAGGTCTCTCTTGATATGTAAGCAATTGGCCTTCTGATGGAGCGAAGAGAGGACATGGAAGGGCACATGAGGTGTTGGTACAAATAATTTATGAAAATAAAAATATTAGTATTTTGTCAGGGTCATCCAAGCAAGGGCGGATCCACCTTAAGCCCAGGGGGGACAATTTTGATTATAAGGATATTTATGGAAAAAAAAAATCTCTATACTTTTACTTATAAATTTGCCCACCCCCCCTTCAAAAATTAAGGCGAGTTCCGCCGCTCGTGCATCCAAGGGGCAATTGTCTGCATAAGTTGCATTTCAAAACTTTAGAGCTGAAAACACTTTAGCATCAAGACAAATTGTGATGGAGTCATAGAGTCCACTGATCATTTATGCTGTTGTTGACCCCTAATACTAGTGTCGGTGTCGAGTCGTCGGCGCAAGGTGGGTTTCAAAAGCGAAAGAGCTCAAAATCGCGCAAAAACTCACCCGACGCGTGTCGACTGAAAATCCAAAATCGTCGAGACTACCTTCGTTCGCGAAACGGACAGCTCCGATGCGTCCGGAGCAACGGAAACAGCTAAGATCGGCACCCATATTGATGGGGGTCAACGATCGACGAAAATTTAAATTTTGGGCGCGTGGATCGAGACGACGATGTGTGCGAGCAGCAACGCGGCGACCAACTCGATGTAAGATTAAAAATTTACTTTTATTTTTGAGCAATATAATTAAAAAATTTTAGAAAGAGAGGGAGAGAAAGAGCTTTTTAAATAAGAAAAAGATTTTTTTCTAACTAAAAAAATCCCAGAAATACCTAAAATACCCTCACTTAAACCCTAATATCCCTCATACTCTCCCAACCGACCCCCCCCCCTCCTCTCAATTTCACGTTAAACTCACGCCTAGGAGCCGAACTCCCTCTCCCCATTCGCCTCTCTTGCGATCCAACCGCCGGCTTCCTCCCTCCAAACTTCTCCAAGGTTTCTCACCGTCGCCGCCATCCGTCGTCGCCGCCTCGATTACTGCACACCCAAGGTAAAAAGTCTGACACTAGTATTTTACATTTCTATGCATGAAATAAGTACTCGTGACCACTTTTTTTAGCGGGCGAGGAAACTTAAGTACCCGTGACCGCTCTTAGCGAACGGGGAAATTCGTATGCATGAAACTTAAGTACCCGTGAGCGTTTTTTTTAACGGGCGGGGAAATTTGTTATTTGTTGAAAAATTGTTTAATTAAGTACCCGTCATTGCTTTTAGGCGGGGAAAATGATATGCTTTAAATATGTGCTCAAAGACCCCGTGAGCACTTTTGTTAGCGAGCAGGGATTGAAAATATGGCCGCGGTGTCACCTGACACCTACTATGACTGCCTTTTTGGCAGGCGGGAAGACTTTACACCTCCGATGCAGCCCCCTACACGGGGACGACGCAGGAGTACTGCCGAAACTTTCAGCAAAACCTGTGACTTAGAAAATTTCAAAAAAAAATTAAAATCCACCTAAAAGTTTTAAGTCAACAAAAAAAATAAAATACATGACACCCTAGGCTCCGAACACTGAAAACAAATACAAAAGAAAATTTATATCATAATATGAGGCAACTTACACCAAATTCGTAGGGGAATCAGTTGTCACCAGCAAGTAAGAACCAAATCCTTTCCTCCTAACTCTTTACTTGCACACACCTAAACCCCGTAGCAACACTCCTCACTAAAGCTCTTTGAAGAAATGAAGTGTGAAAGAATGAGCTTAGCCTCCATATTTATAATGTTGGATTCATATTATTCGCGGGCCCCACTAGCCTAGGATTCCATTGCTACAAGACAGAGAAGGTACACCTGTGGGCCCCACCAGCCTAGGATCCTTTGCTAAAGGACGGAGAAGGTACACTTGCGGACCCCATCTACTTAGGATCCTAAGATGTCATTTCAAGGGTCTGGCATTGAATTCCTAGAGTATTCACTAGCAGGTGAAATACGAACGTAAATACGAAAGTAAATACGAGTTTAAATACAAGTGAATACGACTGGTAATTATATTAAAAAAGGGAGGGGATAAAAGTAAAAGTAAAAAAAAATTCCTACGAGATGCTTTTGTGATCATCATAAACACGTAGGAATCCTCGCACATCCTCGGTAATTTTCTGATTGAACCTCTTATGATAAAAAATGCCCGTCACATTGCAAGTCGTGGGTGCTCTAACTAACGTGCACGCCAGCTGTTAAAGTTAGGCGGCTCGTACAGCCCGTGAATATATGTCTTCAAAAAAGAAACAAAGTAGCGCACTCTTATGTGTCATGGGTTGTACGACCCCTAATTAAAGTAGGCACACCACCACTGGAAAGTTTATCGCCTACGAGTAAAAGCAGGAGATTCGTTAGTGCACTATGATCCACATACAGAAAGCAACATTTAGTGCACGACAGACTACCTGTACAAAGCAACAAACAATTCAATCCACAAGCTGCTACAACCCGCCACCGGATCTGCAACACTCGTACAAGCAGAAAGAATGCGTACATAATCTCTCAAATAAAAAATTGTGTGCATTTAAATTGCAATTACATGCACAACTAAAATATTTTAAAATCCCCCTGCGCCTACACCGTAGTTTGTATACACATAGGTACACTAAAGGGGAAAATACGATCTTGACCCGCATGGGCCCCGGCGAGCGTATTATTGATACACACATGACGTCTAGGGATGCTGCGCGGGTCGATAAGTAAATTCAAGTTCGAACCCGATCCTTCTATACAGATCAATAGGAGTCAACAGGGTTTGAACCTTCAAACAAATATACGGTTATGGTGATTGGTGTATTTGTTTTAATACATTCATATTAGGCCTTCGATGTCTATAATCAAGAGAATTCACTAATGAAGAGTATAAACCTACAAAACCCGATCCTCCTAAGTAGGTAAATAGGAGTAGACAGGGTTTAAACCATCGAATAAATATACGATCATGAATTTGATTGGAATATTTATTTTATACATTTATATCAGACCTTTAAGGCTTTTAATAGAGAAAATTCACAAATAAAGGTACAAGGCCTACAAGAAACCTAATCCTCGTTCAACAGTTTGGTCGAGTCGACAATGTTCAATCAACAAATGGAAATGACCCCACACACCCCGATGATGGCCGCGTTGAACGAAAATCTCAACCGGAGGGGTTCACAAACATTTTCAAATGTCTCCCAAAAGTCCACACAAAATCCAAACTCTATAAATCCCAAATTCCAAGATATTTAAAATTTGAAATCCAACCATCAAGTGCTTAAAGCAAAATCCAACCACCCTCCGCAACAGTTTGCCGAGGTGGACAAATTAAAATTTACTTCAGCTCATAAAGAGTCAAATGACTAGTCGAAAATATCACTAGGGTCCATTCTCAAACAATCTCCTGCCAGTAAGGACGTGGTACGTGTCCTCTAACTAACAGTATTGCAGTCAAATGACACCGCAGAATAAACGGTTATGACCCATGGCCCTCTGAACCGAGTGGTTTTGCCGCCAAATGGCACCACGAAATACCGGTTATGGCCAGAGCCAATACGTTCCTTATTGGCATCAAATCCTTGAGATATGAATCAATAGGATATGATCGATAGGGCATAAAGCCCTTTGTTAGCTAAGATGGATTCAAATTTGTCCCCTTAGACAAACATTCACCCCAGGTCTACAAGGTCCCCTTGGACGAAGCAACCCATGGCTGCCGACAAGGATCCTTCTGTCAGGTTGGGTCGACTACCTCCTCTGACTAAGTAGACCAGGGACCATGATGACCCGGGATGACGGAACCATGGGATCTTGATCGGGATCATCATCATTCCCCCAATTATATATATATATATATATATAAAAGGATAAAGAGGAAAGAAATGTCAGTAGATATAGCGTAGAAGCTTTCACACCAACATATATAACAATAATTTTTTTTTGTATTTGCTGTAATGTTAGAATTATATTGTTAATTAGAATGATTTGTTCACCTTGTCATTGACCATCAAAAATTATGTCACGCCTCCTATTCTTTGACGGGGAGCTATAACTGGCAGAAGATTTCACACCAACATATATTGATGAAAGAAATAGACCTCTGAAGATAAATAACATATTAACACTTGAACAACTTAAACTTAGGATCCTTAGAGTAGTAAATCACGTACACAGTGAACCTTGCATGTCGACTACACAATAATGGCGGTCACACCGTGGTTTGTATTAGAGATGATGAGGTCTATGAGTTCGTTATGATCGAAGCTAGGAGGAGGACTGTGATCGTGTATGTTAGGTTTGAAGAGTTACCCAGGCAAGTGGCACGAGCTGAGTGCCAACCACTCATGTTGTTTGATAACCACCCCTGACACTCCATTATATACACATATTATTCTCAAACATCATTCCATAGTAATGCCATGCTTACTCTCAAACTTCATCACATGCTCAATATTAAAGTTGTTGCAATCAATATCTAGTGAATTACCACCTTCTCTCTCACGCAGTATCTCATGATATCGCATATGCAAGAAGTGAGGACTGACAAGACGATCATCTTCTTCGAAGAACCACATCTGAAGATATTCCCAACCTGCGGCATTTAGAAAATCTCTCATCTTATAGAGTTTTACTCTCATTACATCAGCATGCATACTCTAAAGGGCATCATCCTCATCTACTGAACATTCTTGGATGCAACACTGAAATATCTCATTTGTATTTATCTTTTGCTCCAATGGACTATCACCGACCCGGCCCGTGCTATACATTCATTCATTCTTTTGCTTGCATCATCAAATATTTCTTTATTGGGGATACTACAAATCCTTTCCATACATAGCCAATACATTTTGAAGGCATAAACTAAATTCTTCCCAACTCAACTTCAAATGTACATGCACACCTTAAATAACAGAGGTTATACATATCATACATTCACATGTAGCTTGAAATTATAATATTACTTGATTGGATCTTACATCTTTACATATCATCTAATATGATAGGTTGCTGCAAGCTCACTTATTGACAACACTGCTTTACAACTCACCTATTGTGATAAAATGCTTTTAGAAATAGTACCAAATAAATAACTTTAATCAATAATCAGACAACAAGCAGAGAATCCAATGCTAGTGGGACAACTTTATAATGCACATCTCTGCCATAAATCTCACCAAACTGTTTATAAGATATTATTACTATTTCAAAGCAAGTGTAAGAAGCTGTCCCAACAACACCAATAATATTAAACAAGTATATCATATTAACCATGCATAAATATTAATTGGATCAGGAATCCAATGTCATTAATCGTGCTCCGCTTTATTATTATACTCATATTAATTAATCCTATATAATTACATAATTTAGTATTCTATTATTTATAACTCATACTTTCACAAATGATTATGATTTTTTTTACTAATGATATACACCTGACACCCAAAATATAAATAAATTCTAATAATTATCAAATTTTCAAGTATTTTAATCAGTGATTCTTTAAAAAATTTACCCTAATACAAAATTAACATTATTTCATATTACAAATTAAAATTAATAAAAACATTAATGAATCTTATAATATATTTTAAATACTAACAAACATTGAAAAATTCTTCTACAAACATCAATATTTTTCTACTTCTAACCACATTTTTAAAAAAAATTGAGTTAAAATTTATTTTAAAAATACATTTTAATTAAATATAATTAAATTCAATATTAAATTTAATCAATCAATTGAATTTAATTTTAAACAATTTAAGCTAATAATTTTTAAATTTTAATATCATAAATATTCTAATACCCCTTCTACCATCTACAAGAATAAATCCAGCCATCTAAATATTCTAATATCAAATTTATACAATCTAAAAGAATAAATAAACCAAATTTAATACTCTAGCCGTTTAAAACAAAAAAAATTCCTTAGCATACAAAACACAATTTTGAATTGCGTTTTAAAGAAAACACAAGAAAAACTTGCTTTCTGAGCAGAAAACGCAATTATTTTATGCGTTTTAAATAAAAAGCGCAATTTTTTCAGATAACCCTTCTACTAATTTAATCGTTAATGAAGATCCTTTTTAAATTTCGCCAAAATTGGAGAGCTCTCCACAGGTTTCTATCTATATTCTGCTTGCTGTGGTCCTTTTCAAGCTACAAATCATTTTGCTTGTGCGGTCGTCACTCTCTTTATGTTTTGATAATATCGACAACAATATTGCCAATGACCACTAATAGTGCTGACCAGCTATTTTCAATTTAGTTCTCCCTCCACATCAAGATAATATCACCCAAGTTGCAGGTCAAAAAGAAAAGCAGATTGTTGGTCAAAGACAAGGCCACCTCTACTTTGAACCAAATAACAAACGGAAATCTAGAAGGGAAAAAACTCCTCATATGTCACTTAAATAAAGCTTTTATCAGCAACTATGAAGCAGTTGATTGAATTAAAGTTCATTTGACAATTCAATAATATAGCCACCAAGGACGACTTCTAAATCTAAATTAGTACTACAAAAAAAGTAATCTTTATGAAAAAACATGACTAATGCATGCAAAAAGATTTCATCATAAAATAAAATACAAAAAAGAGATAAGATGAATTACCTCATAAGCTCGTAGAGGAGCAGTTTCCCTGCTATCAAAGGCCTGTGCCTTCCCATTAGCTAACCTCAAGAGCATGAAAGCACCACCTCCAATACCGCTCGACGCAGAGCTAACCACGCCCAAGCAAAGGACGGATGCGACGGTTGCATCCACAGCATGACCTCCCTCCTTAAGGACAGCTCTCCCAATCCTGGAGCACCTACGATCATCGGTGGCAACGGCCCCATGCTGCAATTTAATCTCCTCAGGTCGATGTTCACCAAATTCTTTTCCAAAAGTTGGACTTAGTGATAGTGCAACCACGATGATGAGAAGTGATATCTGCAACATAGCTGCACAGGACCAAGACAAACATCTTAATTAGATATCTATTGAATGTTCTTTATGAATTGGTGTATGGGTGGCTATATAATTGCCTCCTCATGAAGCACAGGCTGTGACTAGTTCCTAGAAGCCAAAGATCAAAAATTAACTTCCAAAGTGAACTTATAGCAAAAGCCCACCTTGTATTAATATTAATTATAAAAATGAAGGTCACCATAACTCAAATATCATGTTAGACACTGCTTTTCATTCTCAGTAACAAGGCTAAGATAGTAAGATTGCAGGTTATGATTGGCGCACCATACACATCTTATATTCTGATAACTCCTCCAATTCCCAGTTTAAGGTGCAAAAATCTTTCTAAGCCATATTGTCTATAAGGTGGGAAAGATTATTCTGTGCGGAATCCAAACGCATCCGAATTGGCCTCCGGATGCGCTACGTCATCTAATGCACTGTGCATTGGGTGACATGGCGAGTCCGGAGGCGAATAAGGTGGGTAGGTGTAGAAGATATTAGTAGAACACAAATTTTCATTATTCATTTTTAATTTCATAAAATCAGAACAGATATGCATAATTTTATCATTTATAATAACTCCAAGCTCTATTTCCTCCCCAAATAATCTCAAACAAACAAAGAGTTCTCCTCCCCCTGATATTTTCATTTATGGAGCATACAATTGTCTGATGAAGTGCAAAAAATGAAAAAACACTTAAGCAAATTTGATACAGAGTTGATTAAATCAAAGAGCTAATTAGAGCTAAAAACATAAAAAATATTGTCTTTAGGGAATTTTAATTCTGGTCATAAGGAACACACTTCAACAATCTGTCAATCACCTATAGTTCACTACAGAAATCAGTTGCAGGAAATTGGATAAACCAGTTATAAGTTTTAGAAGGAACAGATGCAAATAGAACAAGCTATTGGGCAGGCATTGGCGCATAAATTCACCAAGATCAAATTTTTGCAGACTTTCGACAATCAAGCAAGCAACATTTACGAACTGGACGAGCTAGGAGCGTTCCGGGTCCCAACCCACGTAAGCAAAACTTTTTTTTTTTCCGAAAATAGAATCTAAAGAAGAAAGCAGCAAGGAAGATGAGGAGCAAATAGAACACTACCAATCATCGCGCTGAAGGCGGGAGGCTACAGGAATGGGAGAAGAGCTCAGGTTCTTACGACCTCGTGATCCCTTCTTGTACTGCTTGTGCTCAAGCCGAAACCAACGACGAATAGCAGAAAGTTCCATAATATTTAATGGAAATCGCGATGGAAAAGAAGAAAGGAAACCGTGACTTCTGGGAAAGTACGATGGCTTTTCCTTTCCAAGTGAAGCCGAGTTTTTCCCACACCACCTCGGATGCTGAGGCTTCTCCTTTATCTCAAGCTCTTTAATCGCGTAAGCCGACTTTGATCTTTGAACGTTGCCATCGTTTTCTGCTGCAGTGGAGTCCCAAAATCATATATGGAAGCAAGCGCAAGGTATTACGACAAATTTGTACATAGATTTTAATCATGGACAATATGGAAAGGGTGACACGCTTGGCATTGTCAACCAATGGATCATAATGGATGAGTTTGAAACGTTTAAATGCCTCTTTTTTTTTTTTAAATCGGGTATCCACCACTGTCACCTTCGAAAGCAAGTTTGATGGTACGACTAATTTTTGGCTAATCTAAAAGAGGCACCCACCTCAGAAATCTTCTGGCCCGAATTTGATTGGACCCCACTTAAGAGGTGCTGACACTCGAGAGAAATCGAGCATGGGTTATTGGGTCTCCCACCAACCAACCTAGCAATGGTGGATTAAATGTATGTACATGTTAGGGTTTCTTGATTTACTAATGAAAAAAAAAAAAAAAAACTCAATATCTCTTGAAAATTATATTATCATAATCTCAAAATCCATAATTTTATTAAATAAATTTAAGAATTTAAGATTCATTTTGATTAAATTTTAATAAAAATATTCTAATCCAAATAATTTCTTTTGATAATAAAGAGCTGCTTTCGATAATAGCTCGAGTATGAATATACATACATATTTAGGATTCATTTGTGACGGTTTTTTTAATGTATTTTAAAGCAGCTTTTTAGTTAAAAAATTTTAATTTTTATACTTAAAAGCTGCTTTTAAAAACAATAAAAAATCCGTCTCATTAATTAAAATTACTTTTTAGTGTAAAATATTTTGAAAGTAGGAAAAAATAGCGATCTAAAACAGTTCCAAACGAAGCCTTTATGTATGCAACTAATTTGTGTTGAATCAATAAATTAACGAGTCAAATGAACTTAAAATTTTAGTATATTTGAATAATATAGACAAAATTCAAACACTATAGTTAATAATAATATTTCAAATTTCTCTTGACTAAGGGTTTCTTGTTGGACAACCGTAACTTTTTATAAAGTTAATTATAAAATTGTTATATTGAAAATAGTTTTTTTTTTAAGTTATTGCAGAAAGCAGCTTTCTAGTATTTTTTTTAAGCAACAAAAAAATGACCAAATAAAATATGTGATTGTAATCTAAAAAGCAAAGCAATAAAAAATTAATTCTTAACTTAATTTTTTAACTCTTTTAAAATAATTTTTTAGTACAAAAATTTTAAATTAAAAAAATTTATGTACTAAAAAAATGCTTCATTAAATAGTAAAAAAAGTTGTACTTGAATAAGCGTAAATTAGCTATCTAAAATAAAAAGAGATTTTAATTTTAAAAAAAAATTGTTTTTCATTGAAATAACCGCTAATTTTTAATATTTATTCTTCTATATTTTATTGCTTACTTTCTTATTTTAATTATAACAAAACATTTTGATATTATTATTATTATTATTTTCCATTCTGACGGGCGTAATTCGATGCACATTTTGCCATTATTTTGACAAATAATTACTGATGTACAGATTCATGTAACCAGCTCTAATTGGTACAGCTCGGTGAAAATGATTAAAAAATCAATATAATATTTTTATTACATAAAATATAGAGAAAAAATAAATTTAAATGGAGAGTAATGCTTAACTTCTTATACAAAATTAAAAAATCTTTAAAATATTGTAGATTTTTGTGCAAAGATGCTGAAGGAGTGCAACTTGCAAGAGCTATATAAATCGTTATTTATTTATTTATTTTGCATATAATGGTTATGGAGTAATACAAAGTTAATGGTAGAATGAGCTGCAATTTTGAATTATAATAATTTTTTAATGTCATTAAAAATTTAATTTGATGATGTTAAAGCATTTAAATTTTTAAATTACAAATTGACTTTGAGATCGTTTAAACTCTATTTTCAATAAATCTTTAGGAGCAGATTAATGAGATGAGACGTAATTTATGATGCTAAGAATATCTCGAACGAAAACTAAGAGTTTATTTGGGACAATTTTCTTATTGCTTTTTAAAGTAGATTTCTAGTATAAAAATTTTTGTAATTAGAATTTTTTTTTATATTAGAAAGTTGCTTTAAAAAGTAATAAAAAAATGCCTAAAACAAAGCCTAAAAAGATCTAAATCAAATACTCAAATGTGTGAATGGAAATTCTTGAAGCTATTTAAAAAATAGGCATCTAAATTAAATGAATCTAAGATCATTTAATTATGATATTATTAAAATACTATAACACTATAAAAATGCTAAATAATCAAATAAAATTAGTATAAATCATTTGATGGAGTGTCCTAATTTCCGAAATACGATATCTATAAAATACAATAAAATCTATATATTATTTTATAGCTTTATAAAATCATAACTTTCATTTCACCTCGTAAAAATTGATAATATTATAGTCAAAATATTTATAAAATCCGTATCATCGTATACAAAAAGTTACATAATAAATCAGGAAAAAATATGTTTTTATCAATTTATGAGAGAAGAAATTCGTCAAATTCAAAATCATTGAAAATTAAAATCAGATTTTGATTACTTATTATGATCAGAAGACTTTTCATAACTGAAGTGACAGAAAAAAATGCCCCAAACGACATTCACTCTCCTCCCTCTCCATCTCCCTTCCTTCCTTGCATGGCAAGTTTCGGCCGAACAAGGGATGGATGGGGTAATTGCTGCATGTTGAATTCAAAGTTATTTTAGAACATAGACACAAATGCCTCAATGATAATTTTTGGCACCACTGTACTCTCAAAACTATCGCCGCTTTGCTTTAGTTCAAACATAAATTTTATTTATTTTTTAACACATTTTGTAATTTCAAATTATTAAACAAAAACTGTGATCCGATAAAAAAATTATTACATGTTATGAATGGCAACTCCCCCAATTGATGTATGCATGAAGCATGGTGTCTCCGAGTGGCATTTGTATGAACAATGATGCATCATCAATGGAAACATGGAGCATTGCATGATAATTCATCATTATCCAGAGTCATATTAACATTGATGAATGTTGCATGCATCTTTTATCTTCAACCGGTTGATTGATATTTAGCCATCATGAATTGGAACAAATGATATTATCCAGAGTCCAACACGAGAAATTATTCTATGCGGATGCCGAACGCAGTTTACAGTCTAGAAATCAATCATAATTCGTCATGTCAACAATAGCGAGCCGTGTACCATGGGGTATCGAGCCGCAGTACCGAGCAGAGTACCGAGTAGAGGGTGACATGACTCATTCTGGTTGGTTTTTGAACGACGTTCAGCATCCGCACAGAATAATTTCTCAAAACACAAGCCGATAAATATGTAGTTGAAAAAAAAAAACACGCTTATGAATCTCCCGGTATAAATAGAAAGAGCGTATTATTTGATGTGCTCAAGGCATTCCGATATTTTGGCTTGATTATAACCACTTGATAATCTCCTCATTTTGAAGAATAATTATTAGGTCCGGACACCTGACGTAGCTCTACATCCGAATGCCAATAACATGTCGCCACGTGCTCTTACTCTTTACCACACGGCCCGACGACCACTTGACCAGGACCCGATATTGCTATGTATTGACTTATTTGTGCAGACCAGAGTATTGCTAGGTATTGCTCGATATTGCTCGGTATTGCTTGGTATTGCTCGGTATTGGTCAGCAATAACGAGAAATACCAATCTGTCAAGACCAATACCTAGCAATACCGAACAATACCGAGAAATAGATAGCAATACCCCGGTTTTGCTATGTATTGCTTGATATTGCTAGGTATTGCTCTTGACATAGCGGTATTTCTCGTTATTGTCAAGCAATACCTAGCAATACCGAACAATACCTAGCAATACCGAGCAATATCTAGCAATACGTGAACATAGCAATACCAGGTTCCGGTCTGGGTCGGGTCATCGGGCCACACGGTAAAGAGTAAGTGTCACGACCCGACCCGATCCGGGACGGATCCCGCTCGCACCGGGCTGCGACAAAACCTTTTATCCAGGATCTGGCTTTGGAATTTGGTTACTGAACTGAATCTTCCAAATAATTAAACTATTGTTGTACAAGATTTGTTTAAGGCGTTCCAATATGGGCTTACAATGCTATTAGAACTATCGTGATAGTCAAGAGTGTTAGAACGTCCTGAGGAAACTTGCACTTGTCATGGACCAACACTAGTTTTGATGGGAATAAATGGTTTGGTCAGCTGTAATATACGCTTTGTGCGGTGGATGAGGTCAACATATGAGTATATAATGTCTCACATCAATGTTCAGGTCAGACCATCCAAGAAAGGGCACTCGTACCAACTTAGGATAAACTTCTAAATTATTCTATGCGGAGACCGGACGGCGAGAACCGTCCGGATTTACTGTGTTTTTATAATTACCCATTAAAAGGGCAATAAATATGCATTTATAATTGCACTTTTGTTGACTTTTTGTTGAGTATTTGCTAAAGCGTAACAAATATCATACTAATTGAATATTTACTACCCTTTTGATACGCTTTAATAAATACTCAACAAAATGACAACAAAAGTGTAATTATAAATGCATATTTGCTATCATTTTGCTGAGTATTTGCAAAAATGCAGCTAAAGCGGAGCAAATCCGGATGGTTCTCTCCATTCGGTCTCAGCACAGAATAATTTCTCATGAGCAATCTCTAAAAGTATTCATTAATAGACTTCCTCTCATTTTAACAAATTCTGGAGAGAGGTTGTAGGAGTCTTTTATGCTTTACAATAAAAATTAAGCAAAGAGCCAGCCTGGTAAGCTCAAAGAATAGTCCCATGTGAGCAAGGATGGAATTTTGTTTGGGCATGACCCTTGAAAGTAAATAGGAAGACATGATGGAGTGCAGTTAAAGGCATGTTGATCATGCATAATGGCCATGTAGTTGTCAAAGTGCTCATAAGGGTTAGAGAATCCATCATATAATTGGATAGCCTGCCAATATGAAGGTGTCGTAAAATAGTGTTTTTGAGTGGAAAGGATACCTAAAAGTCCCTGCAATGAGTGACTTGAGTCCTGCACTTAAATATAAACTTTTTTTGAACCAAACAGCAATTATTGTGGATGTTGCGCTTGCTCTTAAGATTTTCGACATTAAATTGATCAAGGAATGGTGAAATAGTTTCTCCCATATAATATCAAATTATTATGTGCTAGAACATTCTTGGTGATTGATTGAGAGATTTATAATTTTACCATCATATGAAAATTCAACACACAAATGTTAAGAGTTGCAAACAAAGCATAGGAAACACAAAAAAAAATTATATGGAACCCCAAAAAAGAGAAAAAACTTGAGGCCTAACCCAAGTGAAATGATTCCACTAGTTTAAGTGAGAAAGGCAAATCCATGGGTAACATGTGAAAGACTTATACTATGGGGAATATCTCCCGTTGTGGTAGTTATAAAGGGTGTTAAGAATGGCGAAGTTGAGAGCATGCGATGGGTGTGAGACAATGGCCAACAACAAATGTTGAAAGGCGGGATATGGGAGTTCGTTGAGGATAGTCGCTAGACGACAAGTAATATCAAACATCAAGAGTTAGTTGATGACAAGCAAAGGTAGGCATCAAACGCCAAGCAATGACGAGCATCAAAAGCTAGGAGATTGAAGATGGGCAACAAACATTGGTTGATGAGAAGTCAAGCAACAATAGGTGATTTGTGCGATCATTTACCTAACCGGAGGGGAAAGTAGGCAACTGAGAGGCAAAGAACTCTAGATGAATGAAAAATGACAAACAGTTATTTGTTCCAAACAATAATAGAGCTTTATAATTCCATATGGTTCACAAATTATATAAATTGAAATATAATGATATATTTATAGATTTCGAGAGCGGTTTGTCCATTTCACTAAAATATATCAAATCATCACACTTATCAAATGATCCAAATTGCTTCCTCTCATTCGAAAAATTGACAAAAGTATCTAGCACCTGGGTCAGCCAAATAAGCCTACCTAGCTAAGCTAAGCCCAACCCAAGTGATCAATTAAGGGTCAATAACAATTCGACGGCGATGGCCATTGACAAAGTATCCAATTAGCAAACAAAGAATGCCATTATGAAGCTTTTGATAGCATGAATCCAACCAAGTACAACAACATTAAGCCTTTACCCACTACGTGGGGTCGGCTACATAAATTCTTTTTCTCTATTGTGTCCTGTTAATAGCCAAATTCACATTTAAATCTAATAAAAAAAGATCATTTCTAATATTTTATAATAAAGTCTTTTTAGGTTTAGCTCTACCTTTCTTAACATAAGACAAATATAATACATCTACACTTCTAACCGGGTCATCGGAAGGCCGACGTTTTATGTGTCCAAACCATCTAAGGCGACTCTCTCTAATCTTATCTGTCATTGGAGCTACTCCAACCTTTTCAAATATATAATCGTTTCACAATCTATCTCTTTTAATGGCCAACATTATGTACCATAAAGCATTGTAGGTCTTGCCACCATCTTATAGAAATTTTCCTTAAGCTTGAGGGGTACTTTTCTGTCACACAACAGGCCCATGCATTCATCCACTTCAACCATCCAACTTAAATTCTACTAATAATATCCCCATCTATTTCACCAACACTTTGAACAATAGACCCGAGATATCTAAAATATGTACTCTTATTAATGACTTGATCGTCCAAAGTTACACTACTAATAAAATAGGCATTCACAACACTTTTTTTGACCTACTGCAGTGGTTTAAACACCTACTAAATTATTTGTAATAGTTTAGAAGCCGTTGCACATCCGCTGTATTTATGTTACTTGGAAAGACTTAAACAATTGATTCCTAATGCTGCAACTAGAGGATGGTGACGTGCAAGTTCCTTCCCATGACCCTCAAACAGAGGATGACAACACTTCAAGTCCAAATGGTCATGACATGCAGCTATTTCCATTTAATTCAAAATCTGGGCGTGATATGCAACAATCTTTGCATGGTGCTCATACCTCTATGTCTTACATTGAATCCAAAATGTAGGGCAAACCTGACCACAAGGCCAACAAATGTTGGCATGGTACTAATCCTCAAGCTCTAATACCTGGATAACAGGAGCAAACCTGTAAGAGAGAAATACAACCGCTACGTTGTAGAAGAATATATTAGAGAGGACATTAGAGAAAAATGTAGAAGATTTCTCATTCCACTTGAATGCTAGAAGATAAAGTACAATGACTATTCTGAGAAGAATCAAATACAACAGAAATCAAACCGCTTGGATGAAATTGCCAATGATCATATAACTCACACTCACAATTTATTTCAAAGTACTATTGTCCTTGCTTTGGCATCATCATGTAGAAATGAGAATAGTAACTTAATTAACGATTTAGATTTCGACATAACAATAAAACTACATGTTTGAAAGAAACAGATTAAAGTATAGTTAACAATAATTTAATATACAAAGCCCAAAGCTGCATTGACCTGTCTTTATCAAGGAGAAGCTGTAATTGTGGAACTAATATATCCAACAAGTTACATAATTGATAAATGCTCAAGTAAAAATAAAATGCTCTCAACCATCCAGATGAATAATTGTTTTGCCTAAAAGTTTATAATTCGAAGTAAAGTCTAAGCCCAATTAGCATAAAAAAACTGCATCAATATTTAACCTCCTAATGCAACTCCCTCTCCCTTTACAATAGAGAAAGATTGCAAACTTCACCGCCAGGCATTAAAATTAGAATGAAGCTAGAGACCCTCAAACTTATCATTCTTGTTTTCTTCATACTTAGACAAGCTGTAAATGATTTAGAGTGGCTGAAGTTAACAAAACATTCAAAAAATGCAAAATCAAAGCATTATGAATTTTCATTCCACACATAGCACATCTATATTACGAAGGTAGACAGCACAAATAAGCATAACATTTCTTTGCAAGAATGTTTGTGCATTGATAACCCTTAAACATCGGATGCATTTAGACATTATCATCACAAGCTCAAAGAGAAGAGTGCACAGAAAATTCGTCGTAATGCCCAAAATAATTAGTTGAGACTAATGCATTGAGAAATTTTTATGTACATGCAACTCTTGGCCTTATCGTTGTTAACCAGCACCTTGACAATTTGCAAATCGGGCATTATTACGTGAGCTTCTACTATCAACACAATCCTCCTCAAGAACCACCAGCACTAAAGCTGCAGCGAAAATTGTGTTAAATTAATGGAATCGGAACTGTTGCAACCATAGCTATCAGTTTTAAACAATCAAGAAAAAAAAATGGATGTGAGACATTCCAACACAACACATGATAAGATAATTCACGGGAAGCAGCAAGAAAAGATTCAGTGAAATCCATGTTCCACAAAATACTTCCAAAGTTATTTCTACTAATCTCACAAAAAAGCCGCAACTTGCCATCAGAATCTGGTAAATTTACAGCTTTTCCATCAAATAAATTTATACATAGACAAGAAGAGGGCGTGAAAAGCATGAGAAGAAGAAAGATCCCACTTTTACCTCAAGCAATTACAATGTTTGAGAAATCCAGCTGCGCTGCAATCTCATCGAGCTGCTTCTTAACGCTCATATCAATCAGCTTCGACCCCGAGTTCCCATACCTAATCGTGAACCCAGCAACCAACGAAGGATCAATCGCCGTCTTGACCCGGACATTCTTCGCCCCCGTCAGCCTCTGCACCGTCTTCGCAATCTGCGCGAGGTGCTGCGACTCGAGCTGCACCACTGAGGAAACCACCGCGACCTCCGTCCCCGTTATCTCATTGTAGCAAAAACTAAACTCCTTCACGATTTCAATAATCACATCGATCCGCTTCATGTCGATGAGGATGTTGAGGAAGTTGGCAGTGTGGAGCTGCAACTCGGATGCAGTGGCTATTTCCTTGATGAAATCGAGCTTCTTCTCGTCGGAGATAGTAGGGTTGATGAAGAAAGACAGGACCGAGGAGTTGGAGAAGACGGTTTCGATGTTCTCTAAGTCACCCATTGTAGCGTCGAGAGTGTTGTTGGATTTGGCAACTTCCGCGAGGGCCGAGGCGTATCTGGATGCGGGGGTATCAGACATGGTGGCGCCAGCAGCAGAGCCTCCGCCGGCGTGGCGGCGGCGAGGAATGGAAATTTTGAGAGAGGAGAAGCGACGGCGGTGGAGGGGGAAGGGGGACGGGCGGAGGGAGGAGGAGATGGGCGGAATTTGAGTGGTGGGGGAAACGGCGAAGGTATGGATGGCCGCCGGAGATAGCCGGATAGTGGCCATTCACTTTGATTAGGATTTTGTGGTTTCTAAGTCAAGGCGGATTATGGGCCGAGGGAGAAAGATAAGGGAGGAGCTTTATGGAGGTGTGTTTGGACGGTGGAGATGGAGTGAGATAGTGGCCATTCATAATTTTAACTTTTAGAAAAAGACATTCATCATCCCGTTCAAATTTAGAATTTAAGATTGGCACACTATTTTAAGAAAAAAACTTGCCAAAGCGTCTAATATTTAGGACTTTAGCGAAACAAAACTTTTAATAACTGTTGAGAAAAAAAATGAACAGTCGATGAATATAGAGATTAGTTTAGAGGAGGACGTTGCATTCTTCATGGAGATGGCATACTCACAGTATGCGGAGGTTGAAAGGCAATATGCAAACTTTCAGGAAGACTTGAAGATAACAAAACTATAGCCAACCATGGAGAGTTTAAGTTTAAGGTATGAAACAGAAGTTAATTTACTTGGAGCTACTGTAGGTTTCAACTTATCTGTAAATTTTTAACTCCTCTTAAGTTTTATTATGTTTCCGATAAATGTAAAGTTTTTAGGGTTTATAGACATGATAATTTTGTATTTTTCATGTAATAAAAAAATTTTGTGTATAGATTGTGTACTTAACATGTATTGATTGTGTATTGACCGTGTATTCACCGTGTACTAACTTTGTACTGACTGTGTATTAATTGTGTAATGATTATTACTGCTTGTGTACTGACTATGTACATACTGTGTATTGACTGTGTACTAACTTTGTATTAACTGTGTATTGATTATGTACTATGTATTGATTGTGTATTATATGTTGCCTATGTATTAATTGTGTATTGAATGTGTATTGATTGTGTACTGACTGTGTATTGACTGTATACTGATTATGTATTGAATGTATACAACTTTGTACACATTATGTACAAAGCTTACGTAGTTCCCCTTATCATACCCTATGGTGTGCTTCCTCTTCTTAACATTTTTCCTTTGTATACAGGGTGCGTATAAAAATGAGAAAGATGCCTAAGAGTTGTACTACAAGCATGCCCATAATGCTAGTTTTAGTATTTACAAGGATTATCACAGTTACTGACCAAATTCCATAAAAATAAAATGCAAGGTCTTGTCTGTTCAAAATCTGGTTTCAAGAAGGGTCTTGATTTGAATTGTCAAATAAAATTTAAAAAATTAGATAATAGAACGGGTTGTCGAGCTATAATTAGATTTATTGTTGATGAAGATGGATATTAGAAATGCACAAATTTATTGAAAGGCACAATCATGAATTGGCTAGGCCAAAAGACCAACATCTACTTTGATTATGTAGAAACATGGGTAATGAGAAAGCATCAGTTCTTAAATCAATAAGAAACATCGAGGTAAGAACCTTTGATGCATTTTCCCGTCTTACATATGAAGTTCGAGGTATCGAGATAGGATGTGGTGTTTGGCTGAAAATATAATCCTTATGCAGCAGGAGGTCTGCTTCCTCTTAAGTAACTCCTTAGAGGGAATCAAAAATTTGCAATACACAATCAATAAACTAACATGTATTCATATCTATCATTTAGCTCATCAAATATTTGTAAGATGAACCAAATATGCATAAGATCAAACATATTATTAGCAAATAAATTTTTTATATGAATTAATAATTAGAAGGATATTTAGATCCTATTAGCACTCGCAATTAGCAAATGTGCAAATCCATTTATATAACCCAGCGGGCTCTCCTCTACAAGTTTTTTGGATATCTCGTTAAGCTAAGAAACTAAGAAATCCCTAATGGCCCTTGTTCATTTATAAGATGAGAAATTGTCTATATTTTGTGCAACATTAATGAGTCTTTTTAGGGGTTTATAGTTATGAAATGAACTAAATAATTTGGACAATATAAACATGAAAAAGTTATTTAAAATAATGGATGATTTAGTTGATTTGTTGATAAATTTCATCTCATTTTTAATGTCGATTATGTTGTACGATATTAGTGGCTCACTTTCCGAGCTAATATCAGCACCTCTGTTTGGTAAACTTGTAAGTAAAGCCACTTCATCTGCAGTGAATCATAGCTCATGTCCATTAATGATAAAACATTGATGGGAAATATCCCATAATATATGCATGTATATAAGGGGGAACATTCTGCCACATTGCATGGAACTCTAGAAATTGATATATGTGTAATTTCTTCATGATGTCCTTGACTTCCTTATCTAAAATATCAACCAAAGAGTCACAGATATCTCTAAATGTTGATGGTCTACAATGATAAATGATCTTTGAAACGTACATCTATAATACACAGCTAATACCCAATTAAAGAAGAATCACTAAATGTACAAAAATATAACATAAACTATTTATATCTTTGTATATTAACTTCTCACATGCAATACACAATCAATACACAATAAAAACACAATCAGTACACAATAAATACATAATTAATATATAATAAATGCATAGTCAGTACATAGTTAGTACACAATCAATATACAATATATAAGTTCTAAAAGCATAACACATATAGACAATTGATATCTTTGAATCATAACTTTTAAAATGCAATGCACAATCAATACACAGTATATAAGTTCTAAAAGCATAACACATAAACCATTGATATCTTTGAATCCTATCTTTTAAAATGCAATACACATTCGAATATTAATAATCGAATAGCACAGTCAATACACGATCAATAAAAAGTCGGTATATTGTCAATACATAGTGTATAAGTTCTAAAAATATAACACATAGACCATTGATATCTTTGAATCCTAGTTTTTAAAATGCAATACACATTTGAATATAATAATCAAACGACATACACTGATTTGCAAGTCGCCAAGAGCATCCAACCGTACACCAAACCAACTAGCCTTTTGTAGTAGCCGCGCTACTCACGATGGACGAAAAACACAAAATGTGTTTATGTTCAGCATTCTTTAGAGGCTCGCGACAGCTGCAAACAGATGACAAGCAAATGATGTAAACCCTAAAAAATATTTTAAGTTAAATTTGACATTGCGAATACACAATGTGAATATGTCTGCGGGATGAGAGAGTAATCCTTTTTTGAAGATGAATTGATCGAGAATGACAGACTTAATCTTGTTCGAAGATGATGAAATGAAGGAGATGACGCTGCGCCTGAATTGAAGAAGGAGAGGAGAGCAATTCGGGTTCGAAGATGAAAAGTGAACCAACTCCGCTTCTCAAACTTTTGTTCAAAATTTTCATCCCAGGACTAGGTCGGGTCGCCAGGTCATGAGCCATAATAAATATATATTAAAAATTCACTTGTACAATTCACATGTCACGATTTCATTGGAGTCCGAACGCAGAGCTGCTTCCGGACTCTGCACGTAATAATTTCTCTTTTTCTCCTTTTAAAGAGAGTACTTCCAAAAATTTACATTTCAAAATTTTTGGTAGTACTTACACAACACAAAATTTTAAGAGAATTTACATAACTAATATGTCAAAAAATATTTTTCATATATTTAACCCATAAAATTAATATTTATTTGTGTAACAAAACAAATTCTTCTATAGAGGAAATTTATCAATTATTTTTGTTAACCCTCATTAGTTAACACGCATGAAATAGTCCCGCACGAAATAATTGAATTATGATTTCAGGTTAAGAAGCTTTACTTAATCCCCCTAAAGGAGCATAAACCATGCCTCTTCCACATGATAATCGCCCCTCTTGATGAATATCTCATCCCTTCATGAAAATTTAGCCACAAAATTACAATAATATTATATTAATTGAGTCAAGCTCTCTAAGATTTCATTTAGGACGACTTTTTTACTGCTTTCTAAAATAATTTTTTAATACAAATTTTTTAAACTAAAAAATTTTATACTTAAAATATACTTCAAAAACAGTAAGAAGGGATCCCAAATAAAGCCTGAATCTCAAATTTATAAATAACCATTAAAGATTCATTTGAGATGGCTTTCTTACAACTTCTTATAGTAGCGTTCTAATATAAAATTTATTTTTATATTACAAATTTATTTTAAGAATCAATAAAAAAATCGTCCCAAATAAAACCTGAATAAGATTACTTATGCTAAAGAGAGAGACTTATAAAACCCCATCTTATTTACTTATAAAAAAATCATTCAAGCCAACAATTTCATAATAAATAATTTACCTACATAGCACATGCACTTAAAATAATATGAATACAAGTAACAGAAATGGTTAGCCATCTCCGTAGATCATAAATATTGGAAGATACTCAGAATAAATAATACAAAATTCCAGCTTGATGCAAAACTAGCAGATTGATGCTGTCTCTTAAGCAAATGATCAAAACAAACAAAAGACTTAGGCTTCATTTGAGACGGCTTTCTTATTGTTTCTTAAAGCAACTTTTTAATAAAAAAAATAAAAATCTTGAACTAAAAATCTGCTTTAAGAAGCAATAAGAAAGTCATACCAAACGAAGCTTTAACCACCGATCTGCTTCTTTTGCTTTCTCTTTTGCTTTAGCTTCCTATGCTGCTTATATTCTTCATATAACCTTAAAGCCGAAGTTGTTTTATTGAGCTCCAACCTTAGCTTCTCATTCTCTTCAATGTCTCTAAGCACTATAAAATGCTCTTCAAACTTCCTTTCGATAACATCTTCATCCATTTCACTTTCTAAGCTTCGAACTTTCTCAGCATCCATTATAACAAACTCACTTCCTCTTTTACCTTTTTTATTAAAAGATGATTTCCTATTGACTGCTTTGAGAAGCTCTCGTTCAATTGTTAAGTCTTCAAAGGCCTTTAATGGAGAAACAGTGGAAAGGTAAGCTTGAGTCTGCAAGGGATTCATACTGGCCATACTTGAAATGCTTGAAGCCATTCCTGATATGGAAGGATTATAATGCTTAGAAAGGAGGCTAAGTTCCCAGAGAACCGAGGCAAGAGCCCCACTTAAATGTGGATCTGTAGCATCAGCGTTGTATTTCTGGACATTATGAGGAAGATTAGACCATTGAGAGTGATAAATAAACAATGAGAAACTGGTCATGATGGTCTCTGGACTATCAAAATATCTAATTTGATCTCTTTAAATATGATATAAAATAGTCCCATAATTAGAATCACAGTCTAATTTGCTTGAAATTTCATGCAAAGTTCACAAATGAGAAAGGTATTTTCAGAAAATGAAATTTGTATATTTCTTAGGCTTCCTTTGGGACTGTTTTTTTACTGCATCTTGAAGCAGCTTTCTAGTACAAAAATTTTAATTTTTATGCTAAGAAGTTGTTTCAAGAAGCAGTGAAAAAGCTGTCCCAAACGAAACCTTAATTTGCATGAAATATCATCATTCTCAGCCGCATTCATAACTATGTAGGAAATTTCCAACAAATTAAGCAGGGAATCTAAACATGGATTAGTTTGGATCATATTTGATGAGTGAAAAAAAAAAACTAACTAGTCTGGGAATAAAAGAACTCCCCACAAATAGTCCAGAGATCATTTTGACTATTTCTCAATAAGCAAATGTAATAACTTAACTTACCACAACTAAACCAGAGAGTGAACCACCGCCAGGGTCGTTCTCCAGCAAATTACGGCACTTGCTATTTCTTAGGAGAAGATATTTTAGTGTTACCAAGGCTGCAATACAATTGGTATTAGTAACTAAAACGAACCAAGTTTATTTTTTTAGCTTTGCAATCAATATATATAACGGTTTTATTGATGAGAAGCATGAAAAAAAATTACTACATTTAAGGTTTTAAATAACTCCAACCACAAGAAATAGGCATTATGTTTAAAGCATGGTTCTAATTGGTTAATCAGTGAATCACTAAGCATTATGTGCAAATGAAAGTTTTTTAAAGTGTAGTTTTAATAGGTTTAAGTGAGAAAATTGTTTAAGTGAGAAGTAAAAGCAATGTGAACAATGAAAAGTTAAAACCAATGACTTGATGCTTAGAAGATAAATGGATTAGGATTAACAAAATAAAGAGTAGGTATATGATATGACTAAATATTTGTTAATAATACTATAAAATAAAGTGATATATGAATGTGATAAATATCATAAATCAATAATATGTATGAATGAGAAAATAAATGAAAATATAACTTCGAAAGTGAAGTTTGCGTGGTTAAAATGGAGAAGTGTCTCCAAATTATCATGCAATCAAAGATAATCATGGAAAGCAAAATTACAACTAAGGCAACTATATTGTATGGATCTAAGTGTAAGAAAAAAAAAATTATCGATAGATAAGTTGTACATGGAAAGCAAAATTAAGAAATATTAAAAAATCATTATATTAAAAGGACGGTGGAAGTATCATCTAATAAAGGCAAGTGAAAAAAAAAAAGACTTGGCTAGTTTAGCATTTAAAATTGTAGTGATTATATCAAACATTGAGGGCATTTAAGTAATTCCCTCGCAACCGCTAATCATACAAAATTAAACCATCAATGATTATATTATTCTCTTTGTATGACCAAGCTAGAGATCTTACAAAAAAAAGGAACGTGAGGCGTGATTGTCTAAGAGAGACGTACAGGGCTTTAAGGTTGTTTCTTCTCAAAATCAAAATCGAACAAGGAAAAGAGAGGAAGTGTTATTCTTGCGTTTTTGGAGATTTGGCAAAAGAGAGGAACCCTCTATTTAGCTTTCTTTTTCAGAATTTTTGCTCCAACTTAGATGAGATTTTGTCTACTCTCTTTTCATTATTTTAAAGAAAAAATTGGCATATTTAGGTACACCTCAATTTGCACTCAACCATATATTAGATAAGGGATATATGTGTACCTCTTTAGATTTAGATATTATAATCAAAATTTTATTAGGATGAATTAAAAATTTTAGAATTTATTTTAAGATCAATGCATGTAATATAAATTAAAAGATTTTTTTTTTACTATGACTATCATAAATAGAATTAGAGATCAATGAATGAATGATATTTTAATCACTTATATTGAGAAATAAATATTTGATTATATTGATAATAAAATAATCATTAATTTTTTTCAGAATATAAAGAATATCTGCTAAATTATAAGTTTTTTATCATTTATTTTTTTAGCTTTTTAAAATAACAATTTTAAATAAAAAAAAATTTAAAGCTGTCATGACCATCTCAAGCAAAAAGAAAAACAAAAAAAAAAGGTTGAAAGAATATCTAAAAATCTAATTTATGCCCCATTAGAAAAAAAAGTTTGGCTCCAGGCATAAATTAGGTTGAAGGGAGGTAAAGGTAACGAAATGCAATTTAATGATTTGTGATCTAATTAAGAATCCATAGCCATTTATTTGAGCTTTTCAATTACTTATTTTCATTTACTTTCACTCAAATTCTCTATATTCAAACCAAATCAGAAAAAGCCAACTTTTAATAAAAGAACAGGAGCTACCTGCCATGCCCTCAGACGAACCAAAACTCAAAGCAAATGTGGCTAGACGTTTTACAAAAGCAGCTGCTCTCTGCATATCATGTTGTTTTCCTTCCCAAAGCATGGTCTTAAGAGCTTCAGCCAGAACATCACCGCGATCTCTATGTAGACAAAATAAGCATCATAAAAAGGCTTATTGCACGAACACCAAAAAGGAGTTTTGATATATTTTTTATTAAGATCAAGCATTGCTAACAATAGGGTGAGGGATAAGTAACTGAACATTATCATATAAATATAGTTTAAAACAGAACAAACATTCTTCTGCATGGTGGACAGGTTGTAGCAAAAAAAAAGAAACAATTAACCCTTCTCATGACTTAAAAAAAGAGTATAAAATATATAATAAACTCAGACCGCAACATGATGAAGAAAGGCATCTTATTCAAATAAATGAACAAGTTATGTAACGACACAATAAGACAGCTTGTGCTCTCAAACCATACTGAAATAACTTCTCAAGCATCATAAAAATCGCAACAAAATGATCTCATAATCTCCCATAATATTAGGAATAAACACTGGTGCTTATACCTAAAAGAAAAGCATAATTTTCTGGTATTCCTAATGTGTATGTTAGGCTTCGTTTGGGACGGCTTTCTTATTGCTCTTAAAGCGGCTTTTTAGTACAAGAATTAAAAATTTTTAACTAAAAAGCCGCTTTAAGAAGCATAAAGCAAACCGTCTCAAACGAAGCCTTAATGAGTTACTGTCCATCAATGAGCAACCACTGCATGGGGCTGCATTGATAAGGAACACCTTGCTCGTGTATGGAAGATGGGATGCAACTATTCATAATTAAATTAACTCAACTTATAGTTAGGACATGCTTAAACGCACGCTAGATGATGGGATTTTGCATGATGAAATTATCTCAAAGGAAGAAAGTAACAATTGAAAACAAAGTGCAGCATTAGCCCTCGGTTTAATAATGAGTACATAAATTTTCAATTGACATTTTCTGGATGACTATTTAAAAAATATTACAATGAATATGATACCTGAGAATTATATGTTTAGATACCTCTGATCTATTCTACAAACCAATGAGATGAAAATGAGGGTATAAGTAGTTGATTCCAAGACAGGGTGAACAACATATAGAAAGGCCTCCAAGGTGCTATAAAAGATAAGTGAATAATAATGGAGGCAAGAAAATAATATAAAATAACAATAAGATCGCAATGCTGTATAAATACTAGGGATAAACCATAAAGTTGTCACAAATAACCAAGTGTAATATGGCTATATGCATGCAAAGATTCACTATACAAAAAATAAGTGCAAAATGTTATTTAAGGAATGTGATAGTAGCATCTATTGAGCAGGTCTTACAGAGCTTTGGTTGCTTGCACCTTTGCAATGTAGGAAAAATGAAGTGATAGGGTGTAGGTTCAGAATTATTATAGGAAATCCTTGAGTTCGCAAGTAACCCTAATGGGAAATACTCGAGTTTGCAAGCAAACCTAACAATAATCGGTAAAACAGCGAGAAAACAGAAGAAAATATAGTGGAAAAACAATCAAACGATAGATAGTCTTATAGAAAGCAAAGTGAAACAAGAATGAAGCAAAGATACAATTGATCCTCAATTCAAGAGGAGGATCGTTCTCTCCCAATCCCTAGAAAAGAAGCCTAGAACCTAAGACTCCAAAGAGACTCCAAGAAAAATCCAAAATTTTGCATGCCCTAACCCTAGCATCTCCTCATCCTTAAATAAAAATATTTCTAATAAAAAACTTCCTAACATAAACCAATTTCAAAAACTCTCCTTATGCACTAGCCGCCCCTTCCTCTCTCTCCTGTTGCCGCCTCAAGGGGGGCCCACCTGCTGGGCAAAACTCATTAAGGAGGCGGCTTAGTCCGCCTCCTATAGAACTGGACCAGCCCCTCCTGGGCCGGTCTGATTAGTTCCGTAACAAATTTTTGTCGAATGAATAGAAAAGGCTAAGAGGTTAAACCAAAATTTTGCATGAAGATTTACTAAGCAAGCATGCCATAGTCCTCACCACTAAGCATAGGAATGCATAACAATGAGGAACGGGTCAGTACAGTATAATTTTAACGGACTAAACAATGCATCATAGATTTTCTTTAAACTTAAAAGCTCAAAACAATCTAGTTGACAACAACAGAATAAATGAAGGAAAAAGGTAAATTTATAACAGTCATAGTCATCTTTATTGCATAATGACTAATTGTGGCAACATACCTGAAAGGCCTATACTCCAGTAGCAGATTATAGAGCTGAACATAAAACTCCTGAAGATCTACATTAAGTGCATCAAGATTGTTCCTCATCACCCTAAATGCAACAATGCAGCATTGGAGTTTCTCGGAAACTGTCAGACTAACTGAAGGATTATCATTGTCAGAGTCACTGTGTCCAGCAAGCTTTTTCAGGCAATGCATTAAATCACCCATAAAATCCAAATCGATCAAATGTGAGAACTTCCCCAAGCCCATCAAGCATGGACCAAGCAGAGGATGATGGCCTAGGCCAATGGATGAAGAAATATCATTCATCATAGGCCTGGAAGCACTAAAACATTATAACTCCACCTAGTACGAAGAAAATACAAAATTCTAAAAAAAATAAGTTCTGTACAGCTAAAAATCATGCTTTCATTTTGCTAATATGCTTGGATGATTAATATAATGTAAAATGTTCCTAACCATTGGCTAAATTACATGTTTCTTCTCTTTGACTGTAACTAATAGATCACCGGCAAGGAATCTTTCTGTCAAAAGGGCTTGTCGGAGTGACAATGTTTTCCTTCCTAGTATTTCCCTCCCTCATCAGGACCAGAGAAACCTAGCTTAACTTGATGGAAATATCATTATTTTCCAAACTAATTAGAGTTGGAACAAAATTTAACTATGCCTGTAATGTATAAATGGTTACTTCGATGGATTAAATTCAAGTTTGAGAGAAACTCTTGTCTAGTTCAGGTTTATGGAGGAAAACTTGCAAACATCACAAAATCATGTAATATAAAGCAAATAAAATTTCGAAGTACATTCTAAAAAGACTTGGTTAGAAAATATTAGGAATGACCTTTCTTTATTAGGTTTAAATGAGAATTTGACTTTCAATAGAACACAATGGAGAAAAAGGATTCATGTAGCCGACCCCACGTAGTGGGATAAAGGCTTGATGTTGTTGTTGTATTCAATGGTTCCTGTTTAAGTTGCCATTTTTGTCTTCCAACGCAAAAGCAATCCTAGTTAGCATTAACTGTCAATTTATCATGACTGAGCTAGAAGAGCCCATTTAAGCTTTTCTTTTAGGTTCAATCTTATGACTATTAGGAACTTTAAAACCATTACAGCTATAAGTATAGAAAGGATGAGGTCATCTTCTGTGAATCGTGAACTACTTGGCAAGTGACCAATAATTTCGCTTCTTTATCTTGGCTGGAAATTCAGATAAACTAATCTTCCGCTAGCTCTACAATTCAAAAACCACTTTATAAAGTATAAACCTAAAAAAAGCATACAGGCTATTCCATCTCATGATTAAATCTAAAAATAAAAAATCTCATGATTAAATCTATTATTTTTCAGCAATGCAAATCAGAACTTGGCAGTTGTATCCTGAATGTGAAAATGACTTGCATTGGACTATATTTATTTCTTAATAAGTTACTATATATATATATATATATATATATATATACATATACATATACATATACATAAGACAGAAATTTATTTTCCCCCACCATGATATTAGAGTGGGGTTAATCCTTACCGTAATTGCCCTCTCCTCCCTCTCTCCACCTTCCCAATCCAAAACCCAAACTCCCCGTGGTTCCACATGCCACCAAGATCCCTCTCCCAATCCCTACATGACACATCGATTCCTACAAACTCCATCATGTCGCGGCATGCGCTTGTCACTAGGTCATGATACTCGTACCCTCCCTCGACAGCCATATTGCATGGCGCTCGCATTTCTATACCAACCTTGTTATCTCTCCATTGTAAAATGTGTCATACCCGATCGCTACAAACATATTCACACACACAGTCGCATAAATGCAACTCTAGCCTCTTCAATGTCAACCAATGGCAGATTCTACAACCCCTAACATTGCAACTACTTTCTAAGTTACTCAAGCCATTGAGCTTTCAACTCCCACAGAAACAAATTTAGCCCAACATTCTCTTCCTACAGGGAATCATAGTGGTCGTGGTGGTTGTGACCATGGTGATTGAACTGGAAGTGGCTGTGGGGGATAATTTTTTCCACTTCCTTTCATTACAATCGTACAATCATCCTTTAGTGCATTCTTGAGGTAAATTCACATATCCCTCCACTCTTCAGCATACCTTTGAACCCTTTGTACCTATAATTAGTGCTTGCACTCCAACTATCTCTTGCAAGTTTTCCACTTTACAATTAAACTCATCTAGGTATCTACTTCTACCTCACATGTCATTTCCCCCTCTGGTTCTACAGTTGCTTGCCTCAAGCATGCCCAAATTTTAAATTTTGGTGCATGTTCACATATGACAGTAGTCAATGATTCCCTAGAGAATAATGTGAGATACTCAAACTATGGTTTATGAAATAGTAACATTTTTATGTAATTGTGATAGTATTTTTATATGATTGTCATAGCATTAATTCCAGTTTCATGATGTTTTTATTTATTGGTTCATCAGCTGAGTTACGGGATATTTACATCTTCGTTACAAAAAATGTGAATCTTCATGAAAGATAAATGAGATAAGTCATAAACGGGGAATATGCAATAACCAAAAAAAAAGACGAAAGATCTGACGAGGTAAGCCTTAGGGACCATACAAAAGACACTCGACTCTCTCACTTTTAGAAGTTGGTAATTTATATCCAACTTTGAATGAGAGAGCTCTAACTTCTAAAAGTTGAGAATTTAGACCCAACATTAAAAGAGAGAGTTATAAGTGTGCACAAGTCTATAGTCATCATATGACTTGCCTAAAGCAAACAAAAACAACATCAAGCCTTTATCCACTATCTGGGTTAGCTAAATGAATCCTTTTCTCCATTATGCTCTGTTAAAAGTCAAATTCTCATTTACATCTAATAAAGAAATGTCATTTCTAATATTTTCTAACCAAGTCTTCTTTGGTCTACCTCTACCTTTTCTTAACATGAGTCAAATCTAATACATATACTCTCCTAACTGGGTCATCGAAAGGCCATCGTTTTATGTGATCAAACCATCTAAGGCGACTCTTTCTAATCTTATCTGCCATTAGAGCTACTCCAACATTTTCATGTATATGCTCATTTCGTATCCTATCTCTAAGAGTAAAGCCACTCATCCATCTAAGCATCCTCATTTCTGCAACACTTAACTTAATATTATGTTTCTCTTCTAATGGCTAACATTCCGCGCCAAAAAGCATCGCACACCATCACACAGGGGCTAAACCAGTCATAATTTTCAGGGGGGGCAAACTTATAAGTAATTGTTCGCATATATGTCAGTGGTCCAAGGGGGCAACGCCCCCTGGCGGGGTTCGACCTGCCCGGTCAGGTCGCTGGGTCAAGGGGCAGCGCCTCCAGAAAAAATTTTGATTTACTATTTCTCTTTGTATTTTGTTTATCATTCCCTAACAATAACACATATACACAATGCATTTAATTATATTGGGGCAATTGCCTAAAAACCATAATATTTTAATATTTTTAAGGGGCAAAAAATCTCAAATATCCTTGGTCGTGAGACATATAATTGTCACTAGAAAGAAAAACTTGTAATAAAGATTAAAAATCACCTATTGACATAATAGAAGTAAGTGGATCGATCAAGTGTCCGAACTCTAAGAAAAAATCATTATTGATGGTCCAAGACCATAGATATTGATAGGTCAAACTTCCATTTATTTGCTGAATAGACAGATTGGCCGAAAACCACATAGCTATACTTAGTAGTAAAACACTTAGGAAAGCCCACATACGACGAAGATCTTTTGTTGCTGTCGGAATAAGTAATAAGTAGAAGTCCAAATCCTATTGACATAGATCTTGATTTCTGTATTGAATAGAAATCTCGTATAGAAAGATCTCTTTTCTCTCACTTCTTTCTCTATATCCTTATATATAGTAGGAATGCACTTGCGGCACTACATGTTCACTGACCCCACATAGTGGGATAAAGGCTTGATGTTGTTATTGTTGTTGTTGTTGTTGTGGGGGCAATTGCCTCCCTAGCCCCAAAGGGGTTCCGCCCTTGCCATCACATGACTTGCCTAAAGTAATGAAAAATTAATAGACAAAGGAATATGTTGAAGGTTATAGAATACTTGCAGTGGTTGAAATTAAGGGAGTCAATATTAGACTCAACCCAAAAACCCGACTCGAAAATTTCGGGTTAGGGTTGACATGAACCCGAAACGGATCGTTTCGGGTTCGAGTTTGGGTTCAACAATTCGACCAGTTTCAAAAATCGGGTTGGATTTGGGTTGACCCGTTGACCCGAAATTGATCCGTTTTGACTCGAAAACCGAATTTGACCCGTTTTAAACCCAAAAATTGAAGATTGACCCATTTTTGGACCAGAAAGCTAGCGGTTTTTGTTGGCACCAGATCATTTGGGTCGGGTCAGGTCGACCTGGACCCGAAGCAGGTCGGGTTCGTAAAACCGACTCGTTTGCAAAAATGGGTCGGGATCTTAATAATGCAGAGTCAATTTCGGGTTTGACCCAAACCCGACCCGTGACCTGAAATTGACACCCCTAATTGAAATTGTTATGAATTAGTTATTTATACCATTTTTTTATTCATATAAAAATTCATATATCATTTGCAATTGAATGCAAAAAATTTATGTTTTTTTATTTCTTATACTATGGCTAGCATTTTATTGAGCTTTAGCTCATTAACAATGGTTGTACAGCAGGAAATGTGAATGAGCCCGTGAGGCTTTAGGCAAGAGGTTGACTGCACTTTTGTGTACATATATTTTGGTTGTGCATAAAAGCCATAGTACAAAGTTGTACAGTTAGACTTTTTGGGTATGTATATGATATTTGAAAGTTTAATAAGCTCTCTGTTTTATTTGATGTATTTTAAATATACTTCCAGTTATGAAATGCTGATTCCAACTATGAATTAGTGAAATAGAATCTTAAGACTTAGAAAACTTGATGTGTTGGGATAGTCTGGATAGGTCATTTCCTACTCAGTTGATCGTGATAGAGGTATTTCAAGATTTGTGTTAGTAAAAGATATCTGATGCGGACATCAGATCATGAAAAGTCTTTCAGAGACGTGACCGACGATCGACAGCCACGATCGCACCGATCTATTTCTGAGTCTTCCTATGTATTTGTTTTATTTATTTGCTTTATGTATTTGTTTTAGTAGCATTTCCCATTTTGCCTTTAAGGGTTTTGTCATATGTACACCCTAAGGGCAATGTCGTCTTTTATTTCCTTTCATTGTATGAGGCAATATATAAGCCCCAAATGTTTCTTTTGAGGTTAATGAATGAATGACAATGAAAATTCCTACAATCACGTGTTTGTGTGAGAGCTTGAGAGCTTTGGAGAGAAATCCCTCGGAGAGGGAATCGGATCACCCACCAACCTTGTAAGCGTTCGGATTCGTGGCTCTTTTCTTCCTTATCTTTCCTTCTCTTCTTCCCCTCTTGTCCTAGCCGCCGGCCACCCTAAACCACCTTCTAGCCGCCGGCTACCCTAAGCCCTCCACCACCAAACCGCCGCTCCCCTCACCCCACCACCTTTCTTCAAGTTGTTGTACTGATTGTCAAAAACCTCCTATTTGATGTACTGAAAGTTCACAGCTGCTGTCCAGAGATTCCAGCAGGTTTCTAGTGTCGTTTCGGCAAACGAAAGACTTCCATTCGCTGCCCAAAAGACCACACACGGCTATCCACTCGCGAGACTACATCAAGATCAGCCACCAACCTCTGAAACTTCCTCCTCGCCTTGCAAATCAGACTTAAGAACTTGACGATGGTGAACTCTTCCCCAAGTTTCATGTCTTCCTAGTTTATTTTCAATTGTGGTTATATATTGATTCACAAAGATCGTGTTTATTATCCTCCGCTAAAACTTAGTGATCTAGAGAGTTGAGTGAGGGATCCTTGCATAGTGACAAGTCTTATTGTTAGTATAGGGATTTTTTATGAAAACCTTTCATGTATGCAACATTCAAATAATTGACTATTTTGGGATCTTAACCTCTACGAATGCGATTTGGCCTAAGCTTGTTTATCGCCTTATTGTTTTATCTCATCGTTTAAAATCAATATAAGTTTATTTACTATTGTTCTCTAAAATTTAAGCTTGAAAAAATCATATATCAAATATCGTCTAAGCATTATAGTTCTGCATCAATATCTCTCCAAATTCGCCTTCTCTGTTGCACTCGAGATTGACTAAAAGGGAGTCAAAATGGGGTGTGACGGTTACTATCTCTTCCTCTATATCTATAAATTTGAATATAAGGAATGTGAGCTAGATAAATGTCATCAATTATCTTTTCATTCTCCATGTTGAACCCAACTAATGACCCATTTGAATTAATTCATTATGAATTTTTGGGTCCTGATTATGCTCTTACCCGCATAGGGTTTAAGTAATTTCTTATTTTTGTTAATGATTACTTCAGAGCATTTGGATGTATTAGTTTAAGTGCAAGTATAAAATCTTTTTTGTATTTTGCACCTTATATGAGAAAATAAAAGTTCATTTCTTCTATTATGATTAAAATACTTCGTACTACTAAAGATCTACAGTATATGCTACCGTAATCTAGCTCATTTTCCGTTAACTAAGAAATCATACATCAGATTTCATGACACAAATCATTTTCATGTCTGTTAGATCTACTCAGTCATTCGATACATATTTTCAATATAATCACATTCTCAAGAAGACTTATTACTATGACCCGAATAATATATATATATATATATTTTTCAACGAATATATCTTCTAAAGAATCCTCACCATACTTCATATGAACCATCCTCTCCACCTATTCCGCTTTCTCTAGAAGTGCTTATACATCTGTCTCCATCTATACAGGTTTACACATGATGAACTTATTCTCCTGCTACAACATCTCCATCCATATTACCCAAAGTGATTGAGTGCCTGCCTATTAAGACTTACATAATCTTCAGGTAACTATTACATTTGAAAAGTATTAATCATCCTAACTGTTTTTATATGTCCTTTCATTATCTTTCCTATAGCTTATATCATTTTGTCTTGCCTTTATCATTACTTTCTACTCCTGAGGCATACCATGAATCACTACATGAACATAAGTGAAAATAGGCTACAGATACCGAAATGACTACTTTATTAAACCAGCATATATGGAATATAATTGCTCAAATCCTTGCATTAAGTCAATCCCATGTCAACCAGTTAGCTCTATCAAATTTCTTCATAATAACTCTATTGATAGATACAAGGCTCGCATAGTTAACAAAGGTTTTACTAAAATCTCAGAGAGAGACCATTCGGACACCTCCCTAGTTGTCAAGATCAATTATGTACAGATTCTTTTGTTTGCCAATATCAATAAAAATTGTCATTGCTGGAAATGGATATGAGCAATACCTTCCTCTATTGTGATCTCACTAAAGTCATTTATATGTAACAACCACAAGCACAAGGGTAGGTTACTAAGGAAAAACCAAATTATGAAAGGATAACAAGGCCATTTATGGGCTAACGCAAAGCTATTGAGCTTGGATCGATAAATTTTGAAAAATCCTTGCATAGGTTGGCCTATTTAGCAACATAAGAAATCGCTTAATCTTAGCCAAACATACTTCTTTCGGACTCTGTTATGCTGGTAATCTACGTCATTAACATTGTACCTATATAGAGTGATTAAAAGGGATTACGAAATAAAAGATTATCTCAAAAAAGTATTTTTGACCAAAGATTCAGGTCCTCACAAATACTTTTTGGGAATACAAAGAAACTTGTCTCAAAGAAGGAAAACTAGTCTTTTACATTGCAAAGCTGCTCATACATTGATTAGCATTCAAAATATTGCTAATAAAAAAAAATTTAGGACTCTCATTTACCCATGTTAGTTGGTAAATTAATCTATCTTACTATTAACACACCACATAACCTTTATTGTATAGGTTAAGAGTCAACACATGCAAACTCCAAACAAAATATAAGGAAGTTGTTTCACGAATTATCATTTATCTTAAGCAGTCACCAGGGAAATTTCTATTTAAACTAAGAATGGGCACCTTAATGTGGAAGTTTTTGTAATACTGATTATGCTAGATTAGTTGGTAATTGGTATTAAAAAATTAACATGAAGTACTACATATGTATAAGGAGGTAACTTGGTTAAATGGAATATTACGAATCAAATAATGGTGGTCAAATCAAATGTGAATGCTGAATACGAAGTCAAGGCACACTCTACGGTTAAAATGATGTGGGCTTTAGACTCTCCCAGAGATGTTGATTTTAAAATTGCAAAACATATTATACTAAATTATGACAGTTATATTATCATCAACATTATCAGTAATCTAGTGTTTCGTGAAAGAACAAAACACATTGTGGTTGATTTCCACTTCATTCGAGATGTAGTGTTATCATATAAGTGCATTACTCCTCATTTTACATACCTAAACAACTGTAGAAATATTTATCAAGAATTCGGACCCACTATAATTTTTAAAATAATGTAACAAGTAGTATGATGCGTCTTGGAAGTTAAAACAACAAACAAAAGAGAAGAAAAGTGTAAGAACACGAAGATAATGATCGTTTTCTTATTTCTCCTTCAAAAATAATGGAAGATACAATTGATCTACTATTCGAGAGGTAGATCGGCTTTCCCAAAAACACTAAACGCCGCTAGTAAACTCAAAAATAAAACTACAACAAAAAATAAATTGCAAGATATCAAATTAACAACATAGTTAGCCCTAAATAGGCTCTCTTAATTCCCTCCCAAATCGGCCCCCATTCCTTAACTTAATTCCTCAAAAATCAGCCCCATTTCTCTTAATTAATTTCCTCTAAGATTTAAATTCAAAATCCCCATTCTTTCTCCCTACAAGGTTCCGCCAAGTCCGACCCCTAATTCAGTCCCAGCTAGGTCGATCTGTTGGCCCCCTGCGTATCAATACTACCCCCTCCTAAAAAAAAGAACCATGCCCTCAAGGTGAAAGGATGGGGACTGTCGCTTGATCGTCTTGTATGGCTCCCAAGTAGCTTCGTGCTCCGGAAGGTCCTTCCATTTGACTAGTACCTCCAGTGCTCATGTTTCCCCTCGACACACCCATTCTACGTCCATAGGCTCCAAAATGACCTCCATTTCTTCAGTCATAGTCAGAGGTAATAGAGACGATGTGTGATCTCCTATCGCATGTCTCAACTGTGAAATATGAAATGAAAGACTAAGGTCGGTAGCAACTATAGGAAATATACAAATGCTACAATGCGTATTAGGGTCATTCCTTTGTCAGACCAAAGTCCTCTGTCTAGAAGGCCATATTTTCAGATAAACCCTATCCCCAACCTCAAACTGCACATCTCTCATGTGTCCATCTGCCAACTTCTTCATGATTTGTTGTGCTCTCCACAAATGTTCATTAAATTTTGCCAAAATCATGTCTCTTTCTTCCAAGTACTACTCCATTGATGACATTGGTGTGTTGTCATGCCCATAATATATCAAATGAGGTGGATCCCTCCCATATAGGATTTTAAAAGGCGTTATTTAGGCTGTTGTATGATATCAAGTGCTATAGTAATATTTTGCCCATGCTAATCACTTGGCTCACATCTTTGATGTATATGATACAAAGCAATGAAAATAAGTTTCCACATTGCGATTCATCACCTCCATCTGGCCATCCGTCCGAGGATGTAAGTTATACTCCGCTTTAGGATAGTCCATTACATCTTGAATAACTCCCTCCAAAAATGACTCAGAAAGATCCTATCACAATAGGACAGAATGACCTCAAGTATGCCATACTTATTTTAGGAAAATTTTCTATTTATAGTTAGTGGGCTATATTTATTTCACTGTATCTTTAAGCATTATATTTGGTTCCTCCGTTAACAATTTCCCTATTATTATAAATAAGGGCAGCACTACAAAATAAGAAACAGAATTTTTTTTGCCAAACAGAAACAATTCAAATTTCTTCAGTGTAATTCACCTTTGAAAAGAAGTATTCATACAATGCTTTAGAATGCGAAAGTATGTCCCAAAAACAGCGGACAGTATTTCAGATTGTGTCCTTCGCCGTTCATCACTATCAGGAGCAAATGACACCGACTTCAAATCTGCACTTAACTATAGGGAAAAAAAAAAGGTCCTTGATTAAGCAGCTCGCCCAATTCAGGAAATATAGTAAGTGGAGAGAAAAAGTACCTCTTCTCTTGTCTTTGTCATTAATTCATGCTTCCTCCTCTTACCTTCACTCACTAGAAGTTGATTTGATTGCTCAAGACGTTGCTTTCGCTTTTTCTTTTTTGATATTTTTTCCTTTTTCTCTTCCTTCGGCTCAGATTTACCAAGATCTTCATCGAAAACCAATGACAAAAATACCTGCCGAAGAGCAAGTTATAGATCATCCTTATTTGAAAAAAAAAGCAAGAAGTTCAGATAACTATATAGTCTAATCAAAATAAGTTTCCCTCAATTGCAAAATTTCAACAAGGATACGATCCAATGCTTACTTCTATGCTGTCTGGATGGAGCTGGCAATCATGGGCCTTTACAAGCTCTGCAATCAACCGAACAGCTTCAAATGTAACTAGGCCGCCATGCTTTCCCTCGTTGGTAAATACAGATCTTATAGTTTCACAACATAACTTCCTAAAGATATAGACGCAACAGACAATTGAGAACAGATTAAGGAAGAATTAATTACAAGTTCAATAAATCATAGCTATTGATGCATTCTTCCATAAGGAATAGATGCAACAAACTGGTACAGACAAAATCGCATCAGCAAGTTCTCAGGCCAACAAATGCAAGGCATATCTTACAATAACAATATAAATACCACTAGTTTATCATTATGGTCACAGCAACAGATTGCCACATCGACAAATGTTTGGTTCAAACAGATATAATCTTGTTACACACTGGCAAAAATATATAAAACGAGTAATGCTTAGAAGAAAATCAACCAAGATAGAAAGATAGAAACTCCCAATTCAATACATGCTCAGTAGGATCCAAAATTACTAAAAAAAATTGTGTTTTTCAATATTAACAAGAACAACTGGTTCAAGGAAAAATTCCAGCTTTTTTTGTTATAAGAGATGTAAAAAGGCATTACAAACGTTTCAATGATCAAGAATGAGAACAAAAGTTCAACACAAAATAAATTCCTGAATGTAATAATCCGAACTTCAAATATAAAATAAGATCCAGATGTATAAAATCCCCGCATGACCATGTCACAACATCTGGACATAAGAAGATTTCAAGCTTGCTAGTATGTTTATTGTATACAAAAATGCAAGCAGATACCTTACCAACCAAATAGCAAGATTATAGGTGAGAACCTTCATTAATATGCCAGTAGAAGTATATATTTCTTCTTTAAGAACTCACAGTTAGAAAATAGAATGTAATGCTAATTTTATAAGAACCTTACGACATCATCTGAAGAGCTTATATTCCTGACAACAGCAGCAACTAAATTCTCACGAAAGTTGAAGTGTGGCACCGCATCTAACAAAATACACATGCACCTTACTGCAATGCAATGAAAAGAGAGATCTTTCTCGAAGGCCATCAACTTTAGAAGGTAAGCCTGACATGACATTAAATATTAATAAAATAATCAGCATTTTCTTACTAACATGCAATAGTAATGAATAATGATGATTCATTTCCAAGGTTTCTTTCTAAAAGTGTAACACGCAAAGCCAAGCAAAAAGGTGCTGCTACTTCCAAGCAAAAGCCGAAGTGAGAAACCAAGCTAAAAACTCAAAGCATGATAAGCATAATCACTCATAATTTAAATATTTCTACCATATATGCATTATCGAATAAACGAAAAGTTTCTCAAATATAAAATGATTTATATTACTAAAGCTAAAAATTAAGAGTATAAATATAACAATTTGTATGATTAAACCAAATAAAATAATGAAAATAATAATAAAATATGGGAATTAAATAAGGTAAATACATGCAATCTAGAGAAGAAACAAAAGTAATATTACTTTATCCTAACAATTCCAGATATTAAGTTTATATAATAATTTTAAAAAGTATACATTTATTTCTGTTATTCATTTAAGGGAACAAACCCGTAATTTTTTGCCATGTAAAGCTGGAGGAAATATTTAAAGATTTATAATGGAAATTATGCAAGAAGATTGCAAGTGTAGGAGAAGACCTTGTATGAATTTAGAAGGGTAGATTCATAAAAACGTGTCTTTTGTACATCTTTTGATACTTTCATCTCCAGCTCTTTTTCAGTTGGCAGCCGAATACGATAGCTGCAGTGAATCATATGGTTAGTCATGAAAAAAATAGCACGCAGTAGAAAACAATATATGGGCTGATACGTGAGCCACATATAGGGGAAGAGAGTGCTTGAGGAAATGACAGAGAATACCCAGGAATAATGTCCTTGAAAACAGCTAATAGAGACATAAGCCCAAGTTTAATAATATTATGATCCTCGTCAATACAGATATGTAGCAACTCTTTTAAAGATTTAATATTTGACTCAGGATCCTCAAGCAATGCCATCCCTACTTCTGCAAGCTTAATCTTCTTTCTAGCAAAAAGATCTTGGGCTGAAAGCTCCTCCTCCACCTTAGCCTAGAGAATAATATCGAGTTCAACTCCGTGCATAAAACAATCAAAAGAAGAACAATGCACAACCCAAGAACGAGAAATAACAAAAAAAAAACAGCAAAGAAGGATTGAAAAACAGAATGATTGTTGCCAGACCTAAAGAAGTATTTTTTAATTCACATTTACAAGTATGAAGTTCAAGAAATAGCACATGGCAGATGAACAACCAAAAAGAAACTTACAACATTTTTCCTAGTTGAAGTTCCTGATCTGGAATTATACATAGACAATAGAAAGAATTGAAAACCACTTCATGTAAAATTGTAAGAATGATATTGATGGAAGATACATGAACTGGCGAGCTATTTTTGTCTCAGTTTATTAAAAAAAATACAACTATGGGACACCTAACATGAAGATTGTTGAAAGAAAATCATATAATGTCATGCCATGAGGCTGAGGAGAAGAGACCAAATCAGTTCAAAAACCATCAAGTTTTTGCTTTCTCTTAAAAACAAAATTTACAAATGTCAACATTTGAACAAAGTTGCTTAGAAATAAACCCAAAGATTTGCAGTAATCTAACTTCAAACTACTTTCATACCACAATTTAGATACGGAACCATGGCTGTTGGTGCCTCTCTTAAACAAAGCTATCCTGCAGACACATTACCTCGGACAAAATTGTCAGAAGGCTTCACATGTCAAAATTATTTGTCCATTTTTGGGTTAAACAGTAACAACAGAAAAGAAATTAAAGTAGCTTATGTTAGTGCCACCACACCCATCAATCTTTAAAATAAAAAAAGGATAAGGGTAAGTTTGATAGCTTGTGACATTCTAAACATATTTGAACTGTAAAGCAATCATGGCCAAATTAGAGAAACTACCAGTATAAAATATTCAATCCCAAATTTAAATATAAAAAACCAATATTAAAGAAATCAAAACATGTTGCTCTGGAATCAAAGCCTTCCATCAAAAACAAATGGCTAATAACTTCATTAGCATTTCATCTAAACAGAAGAAACAAACTAAATTAATGCAGTACCAATATTTCCTTGACTGATCAACGGTATTTCTAATTAATTACAAATCATCAACATCATCATCATAATCATCATACCTATATGTTAAATATCAGATCCAACGTTCTGAATGTTAAATCAATGCCAAATGAATCAGAAAATGCACTCAGGAACTAATGCACTCCATCAAAGCCAAGTAGCTCATAATTCTATTAAAATTTCATCTGAGAAGAGATTAAAAAGTAAATGCAGTACCAAATATTTCCTTAAAAGTGGTTAAATAATCAATTACAACACATCATCATCATCATCATCATTATCACATCATCATCATCAGACCAATGAGTTGACTACCATATGAATCCTGATTGTTCATTCATTTTGCATTAAATGTTTAACTTGTTTTTTGCAAATCAAACTTCTAGTCATGTGACATTTGATCTTCCCCACTTCTTTCTCGATTCTTCATTTTCCTTCTTGGTACATCTTCAAACCTTCCTATTATATGCACCAAAAACCAAAGTATCTTCAACAACATTATGTCCATAGGAAGTGTTCCCTATTGAAAGATCATGGGACCCGATCCAACCAATTTTAATAGAAACCATTAAACACGCAAATTAAAGGTTCTAACAAAGGGTGTAAATGAGCCGGCTCAAATTCGACTCGCTAACGAGCTCACTAGTCAAACTTATCAAGCCAAGAGCTCAAGCTTAAGCCTAAACTCGAGCTCCAATATTAAACGAGTTCGAGTTTGAGCTTGACAAAGCTCGGCTTGTTGGCTCGTGAGCCGACTCGAAAAAAAAAATTAATTTAAACATTACATTATAATTTAACATTAAGGTTTAATTGAAGGATAGTTTTAAAAAAATGGTTGTACAATTTTTAAAAAAACAACAAATGAAACCGTAAACTTTAAAGAAACAGTAAATGTTGTGTACTTTTAAAAAAACGGCATAATTAATATAAAAGTGAAAAAGCAGAGCTCCTCCATCAATTCTCCTACTTTTTGCCAAAACGTTCATTTCTCCTTTATCATTTCTCTTCTTCGAGATAAGCGTCAATCATGACTATGCAAAGCTCTCTCGATTTCATCTCGAGTCGAGCTCTCGAGCTCGAGTAAAAAAGGACGAGTTGAGCTCGAGCTGGTTCCATGGGCTGGAATCGAGCTCTAGTTTGAGCTGCTTTTTAGAGGGACGAGTCGAGCTCAAGTTTGCTACAACTTGAGCTCGACTTGACTCATTTGTAATTCTAAACATTGGATGGATCCTCTTATAACCTTTAAATTGCATTATGTATGCCTCCCCTTCATCTTCTAACTATTAGCCCCACTTCAGAACTTTTCCTCTTCTTTGTTTTTTAAATAATTTTGATTTATTTTTATTCTAAGGCTTTTGGATAAGTCAATATATACTTCCAAACTTTGTATAAAATCAAACAATAAAATTCAAAGTAATTTTTTCTACTTTTCTACATGGTAACAGGGCAAGGTTAGAGTTTCTTTCTTCCAATCTTTATTCTCCTTCCTTTTTAACAGGATTCCTCCTCCTTTGTAGTATGTCTTGTTTATTTGACTTCCCTTCTAAGGAGTCAACTATCATGAATGATGAGAGTCATACTACGATAAAACTCGATGGGCTACAAAGCCCATGTCACTTGAACAAGGGAAAATATTTGTAAGAGTTGTAAAATTGCTAAACATCATTATGTTATTTTTTCCTAAAAATGATTCTAGATCCACTATTTCATTTCTAATTATTCACTTTGATATTTGGGAACCTTTGAAAATTCATTAAAAAAAAAAATTAGCTATATGAATTGTCACCTTCAACAATGATTGCACTCATATGACAGATAAATTTTATCAAACAAAATCATATGTAAGCATTATTCTCCATATTTTTACTACCAACAATAACAAGCCTTTATCTCACTACACGGAATCAACTACATGACTCGTTTTTTCTCCAGTATGTTCTATTAAAGTCAAATTCTCATTTAAATCTAATAAAAAAGATAATTTTTAATACTTTCTAATGAAATATTTTTAGGTCTAACTCTACCTTTATTAACGTAGGCCAGATATAATACATCTACTCTCCTAACAAGGTCATGGGAAGGCCGACGTTTAAGATGACCAAATCATCTAAGTCGACTCTATCTAATCTTATCTACCACTGGAACTCCTCCAACCATTTCACATATAAACATGTTTTGCATTCTATCTCTAAGTGTAAAGCCAATCATCCACCTAAGCATCCTCATCTCTGAAACACTTAACTTATTTTTATGCTTCTCTTTTAATGGCCAACATTATGCGCCATAAAACATTATAGGTGTCACTACCATCTTATAAAAGTTTATCTTAAGTTTGATGGATACTTTTCTATCACAACAAGCCTGATGCATTCCTCCACTTTAAACATCCAACTTGAATTCTACTAATGATATACCCATTTATTTCACCATTATTTTAAACAAAAGACCCAAGATATCTAAAATGTGCACACTTTTAATGACTTTATTACCCAATGTCACAATCCCACCACTAAATCTATTTTTTATTGTCACGACACACAAATAAATCCGTACTAACATCAAGTTATTTTCAACTCGTAATACTCGTGACTACTTTAACAACACATTATTGTCATTTGATCCAGAAAGAATATATCATCAACCAATGCTTTGCCCTGACACTACCCAAAAAACTAGGGTCAGAAAAAAATCATTATTTTTTGGAAGTCATTAGAGCTCTTCTCTTCCAAAATCCAGTGCAAAAAAAAAAATACTAAAAAGTCCATAAGCATTTTAAACTGTCACATGCCTAATCAATATAATACCCTCAAGACTCAAGAGTGATTGACTTCAAAAGTTATATCAACTATTTGACCGAATTCTTCCCCCAAAACAACTTTCTCTTAAAAATTTCTCCAAAAATCTTTAGTATATTACCTATCCACAACCACAAACAATATAGGGGTAAGCTTGCTATTAGAGCTCTCAAATATATCTTGATTGGATATTCCTACACTCAAAAATGGGTATAAGTGTTATTGTCCTCCCACTACAAATTAATTGCTTCAAAAGGTGTCACCTTTGATGAGACGCAAAATTTTTTAAATCAAACTCATCTTCAAGGGAAGAATTCTCAACTAGAAAATAAATATGATGAAACATTTATCTTTCATCTTGACATTCCTAAATCACAAACTCCAAAAAACCTAAATTTTATGCCCTTCAAGTCTATATAAGAAGGAATAAATGTAGCCAAAATCTCCAACGAGCTCAAGATTCAGAACGTTTATTAAATAACAATGACAAGCCCATCACTATATATTCTCCTACGTGTCTCATCTTGCAATACACATCTTTTTAAATTTGTTTTCCACCACACAAAGTCTTCATCAAATATCAGCTCTACTTCAATTACAATGCTGCAAACTCTATTTGAGATGCTTAAAAATAAGAATTAAAAGGATGTCATAAGAGAAGAGATGAATGCTCTCAAAACAAAATCAAACTATCGAGATCGCTGAATTACCAAAATGGACGAAAACAATATAATTCAAATAAATTTTTTCTGTAAAATATAGAGCAGATGGAAGCCTAGAATGGTATATAGCGAAATTGGTAGCCAAAGAATATACTCAATCCTAGAAAATTGATTACCATAAAATTTTTGCTCCTTTCAAGGAAATGAATACAATACGCATCTTATTTTCTCTAACTGTAAATCGTGGAAGGTTCATGCAGTATTATGATGTAAAGAATGCTTTCCTACATATAGAGATTGAAAAGTCTATATGGATCCACCACCTAGATTTGATAGTTCTTTCACAAAAAATAAAGTTTGCAAATTACAAAAGACTCTGTATGCAATAAAGCAATCTCAGAGAGCAAGATTTATCAGATTCATAGAAGTTATGTATAAAGTTGGATACAAACAAAGCCAATGATATCATATCATGTTCATAAAACACTCTTCTTATAAAAAAATCTCATTTCTCATTGTATGTATTGATGATATAACAATGATAATTGAGAAAATAAATCTCTCAAAAAATTGAAATTTTTGAGATCGAAGAGTTGGGCAAACTCAAATATTTATTGGGGGTAAAATTTGTTCAGTCATAATAAGGAATATTTTTCTATAAATGAAAAATGTCATGAATCCTTGAAAGAAACTAAAATAACTAATTGCAAACTTCATAAAAACCCCAAATGAACCCAGTTAAAAATTAGATGCAAATGAAGAAGAAAAGAAATAAACATAAGACAATCTCAAAGATTAGTTGGAAAAATTATCTAACTTGAACTGGTCTAGACATCACATTTACAGTGATAACTCACTCATTAGTCAATTTATACACAAACTCGAAAAATATTACCTTCAAGCTACTTATAAAATCCTCGGCTACCTTAAATTAAGTCATGGTAAAGGAATTATCTATAAGATGCATGATACTTTATAAAAAAAGTTTATGATAATGCAAACTATGTAGAATCGCCAATGGATAGAAAATCTACAACTAGATACAGTACATTTTTGGGAGAAAATCTCATACATGGAGGAGCAAGAAACGAACTACTTGTTTCAAGATCTAGCATTGAATATGAATTTAGATAATTTGCCTAAGAAATTTGTGAGCTTCAATGGATCAAAATTATTTTTGTAGATTTAAAAATCAAATGTGAATGAAAAATGAAATTATATTGTGATAATAAATATGTCACCAATACGGCTAATAATCTAATACAACATGATTTTACCAAGCATGTGAAGATTGATCAATATTTCATAAAAGAACAATTGGAAAGCAAGTTAATTGGCACTCCATATGTGCCAATAGAAAATCAACTTGTAGATATTCTCACACAAGGACGATGAACTCCGTGTTCAAAAAAATTGTAAGCAAACTTGGAATAGTAGATTTATAATATTCAGTTTGAGGAGTGTTGAATAATCATGGGACCCACAAGTCAACCAATCTAGATATAAATTCTTGAGCACATAGATCAAGAGTTCAAATCATTGGATCAATCTTTGTGCCTTTTCTTCATCTTTTAGTTGTCAGCCCTCTTAAGATCTTTTTTCCTTTTTTATTAGTAGACCCTTTTGAAAATTTATACATACTTCTACACCTTATGCAGATCAAGCAATAAAATTCATATATATATATATATATATATATAGTAGTAAAATCTATTATATATATATATATTTCAACTTTTTCCACATTCCCGGATCTCTATAATCTAATCCTTTCTAAACATATAGCTCATAATTCTATTAAAATTAATCTAACGGATTAAAAAGCAAATGCACTACCAAATCTTTCCTTAACAGTGGCTAAAGAATCAATCACCAAGCATCTTCATCTTATCACAAACATGACACATATCAGTGGTCTGCTTCATGAATCCCCATTGCACATTCATTTGGTATTAGATGTTAACTTTGTTTTGTGCGAATGAATTTCTAACCATGTGAAATTTTATCTTCCACATTTCTTTCATAATGCCTCTACATTAATTTTATCAAATTGCCTTCATGGTACATTTTCTACCCTCATTATATGCTCAAAGCATCTAAGTTTATTTTCAACAACTTGTTTCAATAATCATTGCTCCCACAATCTCTATAATTCAAACCTTTTAAACATGTCCTTCCATCTTAAAACATGTTTAACTTCCCTTTAACAACAAACATGATTATCAATGACTTCATATTAATCACTCAGCTTTACCAATAGAAGTTATACCCATCTATATCTCCAACCTTTTGGATAAAATATATAACTTAAATCTATCATTATAAATTATCTATTGATATTCTGACAACATCGACTAATAATTAATTTTGCATCCACTAAAATTAGATGTAATGTATTCATCTCTTGTTCTACCAATCCTATGTCACTTCTTAAAATTCACTTCATCCATACGTTCTCAAATCATTCAACAAAAATCTCACCTATTACATTTATTCCTGAAAACTCTTATCCAATGATTCAACAAACTGGCATTTTCATCTTTTCGTAATTCCTTCATCTTTAGAAAATACCTTTCCACCTTCAATTTTATTACATATAATTGATCAAAGTTTTAGATCTCCTATCACATCGCTTAGCTATTGGTATATCTCCTTTTTTTTCCTTCCTTAATACCAAGTATTCTATAATTCATAAAAATGTAGCTTTTTCTTGCTTACTAGTACAAGAGCTTTGGCTTTCACATAATTAGTGTAAGTTTCAAAAGTAGTTTGTTTACCTCACCCCACTACCAAGTCTTGTTATATATGATATTAGTTATTACAAGTCCATCTTAAAATGTTTAGAGCTATCTTCTTAATGCAATAGCTCACCAAAAAACATCAAATTTTGATTCAACTACAGAATTTTAATCACATCACTTAACAAACTATATTGAAAGATTGCCAACTTCTCATCATTTATACAACCTTAAATGGTGAGATATATATATATAGTTGCAGCTTTTATTTTGCTTATTACCATTTTTCAAAAGTTCTAACCCATAATTGCAAGCCTCAAAAGTAATTATTTTTACCATCAAAAGCAAATTTCTTCTACTTAATGATCTTTACACATCCTCACTCCACTACTAGGTCTTGTTACTAATAAACTATTTAAGAAACAAGACTTAGTAGTGGAGCTAGGTCTTGATACAATTCCCCTGCTCCCCCTCCCCTTCTAAAATGTTTATAGCTATCTTCTTAATGCAACTAGGCCGCTTAAAATATATCATATCTAACTCAACTACAGAATTTTAGCAACCAATCTTAACAACTTACATAGAAAGACTACAACTTTCATCATTTAAGTAGTCTTAGCAGGGTGACAACCATTGCTTTCGAATGATTTTTTTTTTTTTTTCTATGATAAACATCCATAACTACTATTGCATGTTAAACGAACTAACTTTATTTTAAATCACCTTATTATCTTAAAAAAAAATCCTAGCAAGAAAAATATTATTTATGATTTAATAACTCTTTTGAAATAAACTAAGTGCTCTTCTTGTTTCAATAAGTATGCATTTTCTTTTTGCAAAAATCCAACGCTGCCATAAAATGAGGTATAGCTTCATCTATCAGATGTTTAATATCCATTATAAATCCTTTCATAGTCCATCTTGACAAAATTTTGAAGCTCATTAAGTTACCACCAATAAATAGCATATCTACCTCAGGTATACTTAAAGGCAGTGAATCCATCAGTTCCAAACATTGATTTTTCAAAGTATAATTCATGCCTGACACATAATAAATAAAACCCTACATAAAATATGGAAAATGGTACAGAAGTATAAACTGTGTGAGAAAGAATTTGAAATAAAAAAATGGTAAATACATATGCAAATAAATAATATTTTTAGGAATACGCTAGGCAAAGTAGTGCTAAAATAAACATTTCGACATAACAACCACCAAAAAGTTGAATATAATTACCAAGGATGTACACCATTATCGTCAGTTCTAACCCATTTGAGGTTGGCTTTTTTTAGTCCTTCCTTATTATTATACATTATTGAAAATGAAATAAATCATAAAAAAGAGTTATGTTACATTAACTGGAAGTGTAATGGGAAAGTACCAACACATCTGAGTGTAGACCTTCAGCAACAGTCTCTTTGACTTCCTCCTTTGCTTGCCTTTTAGCCTCCTTTTTACTTTTCTTCAATTTTTGCCTTCGCTGTGCTTTTGTAAGCTTCACCAAACCTTTATCACTATCAGTATCTTTGACCTCGGATGCAGACCCATTTTCCTTATGTGCAATATTCGACTCCACTGATTTTAAATCCACAAAGTTAAAACATAATACTGACTCGAATATCATGTAACAAGATTATTGTACTTGATTACTGCATCTGCTACATCATCGTGATGATAATGTGCTCACTGAGTTCTAAAACCTATAACATAAATCTCAGTACATGAAGAGTTTCCTTTCCAGATGCATAAAACCGCATAAAATGCATGTTGCTTTACGTTGAACATGCAAAAGAAGATAATTCATATACATCTAAGGAGATGAAGAAATTTTGATTAAAAAATATAAGATATGGTCATCATCATCATTAACCTTATCTCAACTAATTGGGAGATTAGGATCAACTTTATGAATTATCATTCTCCGTTATTTTATATGCAATGCTATGAGAGTGTTAAACCTATTTGGGCAAATCTTTTTGCACAACTTCTATCCAACTTCACACTACCCTTTTTTTTCCTTTATAATCCTTCTACATTAACTAAATATGTCATCCATCTTATAAGTGCATCTTCTATCCTTTTGCAATGTTTTAAAAAAATGAACCGGAATGGCAGATTCAACCGATTTAACCGACAACCGAATATGTAACCAATACTTCAAAACTAAAAACTGCTTTACCTTTGGACCAATCAAAACTATAGTGGACCATCAGTTTGACCTAGTAACCAGAGAGCTAGTCTGGATTTCCAAAAATCAGCTAGTTCAATTGTTGACCATTTTAACAGCTAAATAAATTAATTTTAAAAATTTATATAAAATACTAATTAAAATATTAAACTTAACAAATAAATTAAAACTATATATATTCAATTATCTTAAAAAACATTAAATTCCTATAATAAACATTTTTCAAACAAACACCAACTAAGCATTCCCATATGTGATGTAGGCAAGGAATGGGTCAAATCAAAATCAAAATTTAATGACCCTTGGACTTCTAGTGGTTCTTGGTTTGGGCCTTTTAGGTGCTTTGGTGTTGAGCTATTTTAGTGTTAGCTCATTATTTTGAGCTCTTGGTTAGCTCATTATGAGCTAAAGTTTAGCTCATTTATTTCAAGGTTAGTGGAAGCTCATTATGATAGAACTTTTCCCTTCCCCTTCCCCATGCAACCTTCTCGGTTTGCTCCTTGCCCTTTCAGTTTTTTTGGTTTGCTGCTTCAGATTCCTCCCCATGTAATGTTGTCTCCTCGGTTTGCATCCTAGTGGCTGTCCCGTGGCATTTGGGGGCTGTTTCCATGGCTTTTGGTGCTATGTTTTCAGTGCAATTTTGGGGGCGGCTGTTGGCCTTTCATCTCTCTCATTTTATATAGAATATGAAGAGATTTTGGGCTGTTTTTGGACAGAATTTAAACAGCTTTATGGGGACTGATTTGGTGGCTGTTTGGGGGTGAATTCCAAGAGTCTTTCCATTATTTTCTGTGCAGTTTTTCTGCTGAATTTTAGTGTTTCTGGCCGGATTTCTGGACTCTTGGGCTGCTGTTTTGGACAGCTGGTTGGGCTGTTTTGGGATGTTCATTGGTGGTCTCTTGACCTTCTAAAGTGTCTGTTTAGTTCCCCCTCTCTTGCCTATATATAGTAGATGTTTTGGGTTGATTTAGATATGTTATATGATGTGATTTTTGGAAAGAAACCTGAGGGTTTGTTGTTTGGAAAAGCTTGCGAGCTTTGTCCAACCTCTCTTCTTCTATCTCTTGGGGAGACTTGCGAGTTCTTCTCCACCCTTCGTCTTGGCTTCTAATCTCTTTCCTCTCTCCGCAAGTTCATTCCACCTGTATCTTTCTTCTCAAACAAGAAATGCAACTTTAGGTGTTTGTCTTGTTAAAGTCGTTTGTAGGGTGTTCGTGTTTCTAAGTGTCTTGTAAGCATCTTTAATGTTATGTCAAAAGTTTGTAAGTCCTTTTATATGATATAAAAAGTTTATGTTTGTTTTAATTTGCCTAGTTTTATGAGTTCTTGATATTTTCTAGATCCTAGAAAGAGTAGTTTTTTGTGATAAAAAATTTGGGACCCTCCCCAAATTTTTGATTGCATCAATATGACCCACCACTCCATGTGAATTCCTAACATATGTAAACCTAAAAAACTATATAAACAATATTGAGAGAAATTTCCCAAATGAAGGGGACTAAAAAGTTGAATTTATCAAGTTCACAACACATACAATATATCTTTTTAAACATAATTTTTAATTATTTTTAATAATGTGAACATTATTTATTTTTTGGTTAATAATATTTAATTTTGTTAATTAGAAAGTAACAAAATTAATTGTTTATCTATTTATCAATGATAAATGATCTAACATTAATGATACATAGATCCAAATTTATAATGTGAATTTGGTATAGAATCAATAAGCATAAATCATATCTAAACAACAACATCAGGCATTTATCCCGCTACATGGGATCGTTGAAATGAATCATTTTTCTCATTCTATCGGGTTAACAGTTAAATTCTCATTTAAATCTGATAAAGAAAAGTCATTTATAATATTTTATAACCAATTCTTTTTAGGTCTACCTCTACCCTTCTTAACAAAAGTCAAATCTAATACATTTACACTCCTAAACGGGTCATCAGAACGCCACCGTTTTATGTGATCAAACCATCTAAGGCGACTCTCTCTAATCTTATCTTCCACTGGAGCTACTCCAACCTTTCACATATATGCTCGTTTTGTATCCTGTCTCTAAGAGTAAAGCCACTCGTCCACCTGAGCATCCTCATCTCTGCAACGCTCAACTTAATATTATGCTTATCTTTTAATGGCCAACATTATGCACCATAAAGCATTGCAGTTAGGGGAGTAAACGAGTCGAGCCAAGCTTGAGTCACCCTTGGCTTAAGCTTGAGCTTGATTAATTAATCAAGTTCGAGCTCAAGCTCGAGCTTTATTTTATGAGTTCGAGTCGACTCATGAGAGGACTCGTTTAGCATGAAAGAGATAAAATAATTATGATTCCAACCATTATTATAATATAAATGGTAAAAAAAGAGAAGAAGAAGAAGAAAAATAAAATAGAATAACTTAATTAAAAAAGAGATAAAATTTAAAATATTTTTAACAATTTTGCATTTAAATAATAAATGTTAATATATTTTAAGTGCATTTTATATTTATATTTTTTAAACGAGCCTCCTCAAGAGCTAACGAGTCGAGTCAAGGCTAGCTCAAGCTTGGCTCGTTAGCTCATTGAGATCGGTTCAAGAATCATTTATTGAGTCAAGCCTGAGCTAGCTCACGAGTCGGCTTGACTCACTTACACTCCTAATTGTAGGTCTCAACACCATTTTATAGAATTTTCTCTTAAGTTTGAAGGGGAGCTTTTCTATCACACAACAAGCCCGATGCATTCCTCCACTTCAAGTCTTCAACCATCCAACTTGAATTCTACTAATAATATTCTCATCTATTTCACCGTCGCTTTGAACAATAGACCCAAGATATCTAAAACATGTACTCTTATTAATGACTTGATCGCTCAAAGCCACAATCCTCCCACTAGATCTATTACTACTTAAATTACACTCCATATATTCAGCTTTAAATCTACTCAAGCAAAAACCTTTGGACTCCAAGGTTGACCTCCATAATTCAAGTATACCTTCAACTCCCTCTCTAGTCTTATCAATAAGAAGAATATCATCAGCAAAAAGCAAACACGAGGGTACAACCACTTGCAAATGTCTAGTGAGAACATCCATGACTAAAGCAAAAATATATGGGCTTAAGGCTAATCCTTTATGTAATCCAATTGAAAAAGGAAAAAATACTTTATCAAACCACCTTGTGTTTGAACACAGGTAACAAGTCCAACATATCTATCCTAAATGACTTGAATATAAACATTAATAACCCCTTTCTTTTCTAGAACTCTACATAGCACTTCTCTTTAAACTTTATCATATGCTTTCTCTAAATCAATAAATATCACATGTAGATCCTCCTTATTCTCTCTATATACTTCTCAATCAAATCTATCAAAAAATGTATAGCTTCCATAGTAGACCTACCCGACATCAATCCAAATTGATTTTGAGAAACATTAGTATCACGTCGTAACTTAGTTTTAAAGTATGACACAATAACTTAATTCCTCTATAATTCGTACAATCTTTTGCATCACCTTTATTCTTAAAAATAAAAATCAACACACTCATTCTCCACTCTTCTGACATCTTTTTAGTCTTCAAAATAATATTAAAAATTTAGAAAGCTAAGAAATTCCTTCATGTCCTAACCATTTCCACAACTCCATTGGAATATCATCAAGTCCAACAACTTTTCCACACTTTATTTTCTTTAAAGCGTCTCTAACTTTAGTTTTACTAATACGCCAATAAAAAATAAAAAACTTTGTTTTCATTTAGGGTGCTAAAGTCACTAAAGTCAATCGTATTCTTACAATCTTCATTGAAAAGTTTAGCAAAATATCTCATTCACCTTTGTTGAATATCCTCTTCTAATAAAAACATTTTTGATCTTCATCCTTAATGAACATCACTTGAACTAAATCTTTATTATTCTTATCTCTTTATTTGGCTAATTTATACATATATATTTAGCCCTCCTTAGTATATAATCTAAGGTAAAAATAATTAAAAGCTAAGATCTTTACATCACATGTTTCTTTCTTAGACTCCTTACGGGCCACTTTATATATTTCTCAATTATCAGAGTTTTTACACCTAAACCAATTTTTTGTAAAAAAAAATTGATCTTTTATCTTTTCTTACACATTTTAATTTCACCACTAATGCTGAGATGTTCTTTAGGACTACTTGTAAGCACCTAAAGATGCTGGAGTTTATGTAAGATGAGTTTCTTGCAAGCAGTTTGAGAGGAGGCTTGCATGTCATGGTTCAAATTCCATGAATTTTGAGATAAAAACCAAAACTATGCCTTAGTAAGATGAACAATCAATCCATAATTTTTATTGGCAAAACAGATTCATTCCTCTTGAACAGTTGAACCAGAAACATTCTGGCAACATAAAAAAAAATAAGATGAACAAGGAGTTAACCAAGCCAATTGAATAATGAGAAATAAGCTTACACGATAACCAAAATTAGAAACTAAATGTACGTCTTACCTTTCCCAACGAGCAATAACAATAAATAAATAAACAACGCTGGTTTACTACCTGTTCTGTAACACAACTCTCCTTCTAAAGTTTTGATGGGCAGAGCATCCACTCGGTCTACTTGAAGGCCCTCTTCCTCCTTCGATTTCTTCAAAGATGCTTTCTTTTTCTTCTTCTCATAAAGTGCTTCTAGCTCGTCTTCCTTGTAATCAGCAACTCGAGTGACATGCCTTCGATAAAAAATTCAGAACCAATTAGACAGACAGCAATAAAATAATTACAATAACTAGAGCGTAACTGACCGCCGAAATAATTCCGTTGCAATACGTTTAGCCAAAAACTAAAATTAAAAGGGAACTCTTTCATGCCAATAGATTCGCACCTGTTAATCAAATTAGTGTCAAGCTTTGAGAGGAAGCCAGCGTATTCAATATTTTTGTTCACAAAATCTAAATCCTCCTCAGAAACCTCAATTTCTTCATCTGGGATATCCGGCGGAAGCTGCGGTGGAAGAATTACCTTCTTCTTCTTCCCCATTTCAGCTCCAAAATCAGGATTTATGCAGTATTTATGCTAAATCCTACCGAACGGGATTTCAGCAACCGGTCAATCTCACGGCAGAATAAATCCACCGTTTCCCTCTTTTTGCCGTAAATTCCAGATTTACTAAATCCTGGAATTCAGTGGATTTACCGGATTCGGCCGAAGAAGCGCGCGAGAGGGACAAAGATAATGCCTTTACAGAGAGCGAGCTCCCGTCGTTACTTCCGATCCAACATGAAGAACGCCGTCGAAATGTCGTGACTTCCGATCCGACAGGAAGGGAACGACGTCGAAGGAGCCGAATAAGCGACTCGTACAAAACACGAGCAACGAAGGCGAACAGCAACGAAGAAATATTCGACAGAAAAAGCAAACCCTAGACGCCTCCCAAGATTGGGAATATATTAAATTAAATCTAATTTTTAAATTATAAATTAACTAATTAATATAAGTAAGTAGTTTTTTTCCCTTTTTGGGTTTTCCACGTAAAAACTTTTGGTGTTCACTCCTCTTTTCTGTTTGTGTGTTAAACTTACGTGCAACGCTCGGACGCGAATTTAGAAACTCTACCGCCGCGTATTTTCTGACACGCAACAAAAGTAATTATGATTAATAATATAACTCTAGAGATATAATTATTTATTTCAAACGGAGAGATGAATTAGTTCTTATTGTAGACAAGTATATCAAATATATCACTATAATAAAGGAGCACTTTATCATTAGACAATCAACAACATTCATGCTTGAGGTAGAAGGAAGCTCTGAAAGGCATGAAGTAGATATTGAGCAGCAAGCTTGCAGTTGCAGGGATTGGCAAGTGATTGGGATTATGTGTATTTATGTTGTTGAAATAAACACTTATTATGGCACATTTATGTGAATGAGCATTATCTTATTTTTTAAAATTATAAGGGATTACCCCACATTCATTAAATGAAAAGAAGTATAACAAAATCCTCCAAATGAGGCATCCACAAAAGGAAAAATGAAAGGAAAAAAAATAACACTTAGAGGTTGTACACAACAACCTAAAAATGGACAAAAAGACTAAAAATAAAAACAAGAAGGCGAAACACCCACAGAACTTAAGAAAAGCAAACTCTGTTATAAAAATTTCCGTCACAAGAAAAACCCCATCATGTTGCCAAGGCTACGGGCCATCCTAAAGAGGCACCACAAACACAAGTATAAAAAGTAGTCCCAAAACAAATAAGATTTTGACCGAGCTTAACAAAATTTCCAGGGAGCATAAGAGTGAAAGTTGAGGGATGCAATAGTAAAAATTCATACAGCAAGAGAGCGCATAAGATTCGAAAAAGCCTAATGCCTCCAAGGTTGCCAAAACTAACGATGACCATCCCTAAAGAGGAAGGAAGGCTGTCACATCCTTGTCCATAAGAAAATCCCAGCATGCAATAGAAACATGATTAGCAAGAATCCAAGGCTCCAACAACAACACCCACAAATTCTAGAAACTCTAGAGAAGAAATGAAGCATGGCCAGATAGAAGCAAAGCCAAAAAAATCAAAACTTTGCTTAAAATAAGAGTCTTAAACAAGTATCATGATTTTTCTAACCATAAATCTTAGCTTTAATAGCTCTTTTAATCAAAGGCAGAATAATATTCAAACAATAATGGGAATGACTATACCTTATGCTATTGTGCTCACACCAAATGTAGTAGATGGTAGCACAAATGGCCAAATAATAGTAACATTTAGTGTTCATAGAGAGCCTATGATCACCATTGATGCCATTATAAACCTAGAAGATGTTAGTTCTAATAGGAAAATGTTAGCACCCGAAAAAAAACAGCTTTTATAATGCTAAAAGAAAATTCACATTTGTAAAAAATGCTGGAGACATATTCTTCACAGTTGTTATAAAGTAAGCAAATAAGATTAACAGAAATATTTCTAAAAATAAGTTATTCAACTAGTTTAAGCCCATCCACCAAGGCAAGCTAAGCAAAAACAAAGAATATCATGCAATATCTTTTATGCCAAATAAATTTATACCAATTAACCTCTTTTGAACTTTGAAAAAAAAATTGAAAGGAAGCTTTTAACAGTAGGGTTTTCAGTATTGCACTTAAAGGGAAAGGGGGTTCAAAATCAACATTATCATTATTACTAGTAGAAATAGAGATACATAGAGAAGGGTAAAATGACTAAGGCAAAGACCAATTCCCATTAGAAATAGAGAGCAGGGAGAGAAGGGAGACCAAGAGGCCTAACCAATAATTAATGGAGATCTAAAAACTTAAAATAAATAAAGAAAAGAACATCATAAATGCAAGCTTGATAGAAGAGACAAAGGACATGGGGAAAACTCTATGAAGCATCTTATTCAAAAGGAATCTTCTAGAGACAGTATCAAAAGCTTTAAAAATGCTAAACTTAGCATGGAAGAATTTAGACTTGGCAAGAGAGTTAAATTTAGATAGAATATCAGAAGAAAGAATAATATCATTAATAAAAATTTTACCATTAATAAAGCCAAATTAACTAAGGTGAATAATGTAGAACTTTACAGATTTAAACCTTAAAGCTAAGATTTTGACAAGATTTTTATAAAAAGTGTTACTTAAAGAAATAAGTCAAATTTTTTTAATATGGGAGGCATGAAGCCCTTTGGGAATAAGAGCAAGAGCAATATATTTATCTTTTTTAGGAAGAAAGGGAGTGAGATAGAAGTGCTTAATAACTGTACAAACCTTATATATATTACTAATAATAGGCCAATATTTTTTGCAAACGTCAAAGGTGAAACCATTCGGGTTAGGAGTAGATGAGTTAGGGCTATAGAAGATAACTCTTTTAACATCATCATAAGTAATTGGAGCAATAAAGTCAGAGAGAAGATGAGCAGGGTGAGAAGAGCTAGTAGGGATATTACCTTGGAAGAGAAGATATTGGGAAGTATAGTTAAACAACTTAGTAAAATGAGTGATGAAAACATGACTGATATCAGTAGGAGAAGGAAAACTCCCATCAATAATAGTAATATTTTTATAACATTATAATTTTTGTCTCACCCTAATTTTACAGTAAAGAAATTTTAAAAAAAAAATCATCCTTACCCTGTATAAGCCGCTCAGCCTTGGCCCTTTGGATAATCCCAGATGTCAAGAAATCATGATGAAAATAGAGCTTATCATTAATATATTTAAGTTGATAATTAAGAGGAAGATAAGGAATTTCCATTGAGAAAATTCAAATATTATTTTTGTTGAAATTGTAACTCAAAAACTTTAGAAGCAACAAGAGAAGAGGAAGACTAGTTCTTAGACTTAATCTCCCTTTTGAGATTATAAAAAAAAATATTATACCAAATATTAATACGGTCCCCATTATTGATCATAGAAATAAAAGAGAAAAGGATTTTTCAATAGTCATGATAATTAAGCCAAAAATTTTTAAACAAGAATCTATGCTTCGTAGTCACATTATTGTTAAAATCTAAAAGCAGAGAAGATTAATCAGAATATAAGGGGCTTTCCACTTTATAAAGGAAAACAAGAAAATACTCAAGCTACAGTTCATTCACCAGCACTTTGTCGAGTTTAATATGAATATGATAATCAACCCTCTAATTATGCCATGTGTACAACAAAATCAAAAGATGTCAAATCATCAAGACCATTCAATAATATCATATTATTAAAGGTCCAAAGCTTAATGACAACCACAAGAAGCCCTCTAGATTTATCATTGGGATACTTGCAACAATTAAAATCGCCTAAAATAGCCGAAGGTTTGGAGATATTAGCTCCGATCCTTATAAGCTTGCTGCCATAGTAAATCTCTATCACATAGAGGCTTAGAAGTGGATGAGCATTACCATGTAAAGTATTTGTTATCAAGATTTGCTACATATTAGTTTTATATATAACTTTGTTCTTGTAACTACAAATATAACATATATTGGTCTATGATACTGTAGTATCAACTCTTCCAGAGAAGAGTAAGTGGACGATAGTTAGTGATATTGTTCAAATTGGTGTTGCTAGCCCAGTGCATCCTATAAGTTGGCAAAGAAAAAAGGAGGATAAAAAGCTTCATGGATAGCCAAAAAAAAAAAAAAGAGCCAAAGAGTTCATAATTATTGTTAGTGCAGATGTTGGGGCATCACAAGAACACTTGTAAGAATCTACTAGATTAAATCCACAATAGCTAGAGGTTGGCATTTCCTCATATTATTTAGAACTAATATATGCAGACTTTGGATTTAGAGTAAAGATATTGGTCCGAAAGGGAGGAAATGAAGAGTTCATTTGGAAGGCAAAGCTGAAAGAAAACAATTCCTTTTTTTGGCAAGTTATAACTTTAGATGTAATCATTGTAAATTACATCGACAAATGACTTAATCCGAAAGCCCTTTAATTCAAATGAATGTCTTTAGCTCATTTTTTATAATACAATATTGTTTGAACAAAGTCATAGAAAGATAAACTATTTACACCTTCTCACATTAAAACAATAACAAAAGATTAAGAAAAAAGAGATTATAAGAGCCGTAAAATTAGTGTCCTCCAATCACTGCTCCACTCATTTGAAGTGAAAAAGATAATGTGAGTCTGGCCACTAGCATGCCTGATTTAAAGTTGGTTGAACATTCTCTCTTTCAGAGACATCCTACAAAACCGATGAATTGGAAATTCTTTCTTTAAGAGATTGACATTATGCAATAAAAAATGCAACTTTAGAGATGGAGCATCTTCCGCTTCCTCATAAGATAAACATTCCAGCAAAAAAAGTTATGAAGACCATTATATTATTAAAAAAGTACATTTTTCTATAATTTGTCACTTGAACATCATTAGCGATAAAGAACAAGGTGATATATACTCAACAATTCTACACATAATTTATTTAGTCATTCTTCTAATAACGTAAATAATATCAGAAAACAGACTCATCCATCTTAGCAATTTTATTATAATGATATCATAGTGTTGCAATCACTTACTAATAATTGCTTCAAAATTTGTTGGTGCAATTTACGTTTTTGAGAATTTGATTTTCTTAAATGATTTATACATCAAGTTAAATATCTATAAGGACTTTGAGAAAATTTTAACTCATTTATAAATTGAAAAAAAGGACAAAATCTACAATCAGCAAATTAAATGTTCTTTAAAATTTTCCCCATTAAATGAAAGTATTTTGTTCTAAAAAGTTCATGGAGATAAAGCATGATGCCATCAACATATAAAAAATATATAAGTTTTTTTTTTGTTCATTTGTTTGATTTCAAAATTTGTTTGAATTAAAAAATTCATATTTTAAATATCTAGCCTTCATCATCTTTTACACC